GAAAAGGGTAGAAATTGCAACCGATAGTTTCTAGTTAGTATTTAGACTCGAAACTGTTATCAATATTAAAATTGCCAGTGTTTGTGTTTGTTTATTAGAGGGCTTATTGCTGTGAGGCAATATTAAAGTTCAAAGATAATTTATAGTTGTCGGGCGCCTACGCGTGCCGAGCCTTGTATACGCCTCTCCATATTCGTCAAGTGTATGCTTAGAATTTTTGATACGAACAATTTGTTTTTTTATGTCGATATTTACCAAAATTGGTATCTTGTTAACAATATGCATATTTATAGTATTTCTTCCAAAGCTGGAAATGTTTATAATGTTGTAAGATTTAAATTATTAATAAAATAATTAGTTAAGGAAACTGATTGAAATACACGCAATTTTCTTAGGATCTCTTTGTTATTTCCGGAACTACTACGAACTTGAAAATTTCTTTAAAAAACTTATGTATCTTAACATAGGCGCACTAAGTAAGCTTCTAAAATATACCCACTAGGAAATATAATTAATGAATCCCATAAAAAACAAATGACTATAAAAACTTAAAATAATAAATAAGTTAAAGCTAGTACATACAAGGTAGTAAGTTTTAGCATAAGGGTCATGTAAATTTACATAAAGGTATTACCATTCCCACGCATATTATAAGGTTGTCAAATTTCTTGACCTTAACACTTCTTGACATTCTTTCTAAGGATTCTCTCATACTAAGGACTGGAAGGCAAAGTGGAGGAGACGCATAGGACCCCTTCCTAAGCGTCTCCTCCACCGTTAATGAAGGGTAGCCAATGCATCTGCAATTGCGGATGTTTATGGGCAGCGGTCGCTTTTCATTTCGGTGGATTCAGGTGGCCGCTTGCTCGTTTGCCACCTTATATTATAACAAAAAAATAAAACCTTAAGCTGAATATCACTATAATTACTGGTACGTGTCTCGATGTATGACTGAAAAATGTTGGTAAAATATAGGGTTGGTAAAATAACAAATAAGAGCGTGATGCCTGCACATATCGGTGAAGAAATTCAAAGATATGTGTGAAGTCAAACAACCCGCAGTAGGCCAGCGTGGTTGACTACGGCCTAGTCACCCCTCATTAGGGTAGGCTCCGAGCCCCTCAATGGAGTACTGTAGTGAGCTGGTTTATTCATAGTTTTACATTCATTTGACAACCCTATATCGGTCGCTCCCACTTCTATAAAACAGTCTGCAGTGAGCAATTCCGTGCAGTTAATTTCAGTGCAGTTATGTCCCTTCCAGGTATTTTATGTGTTATCATTGTACTCGCTTGTAATTACACAGTAGCGGCTATTGAAATAATTTGTGTTCTCATTGTAATTACAAACATCTCAAGCGTTTCTTATTTATACGTTTGTTGGTTTTTGTGAATTCATCAACTCATAATATTGATCGAAACCTTTATGAATGAATATAAATACACTATTAATCGAAACCCACACAGATCGACACCTTGCATATAATTGTGAGAAACCCACGCTATCTGAGATCCATAGTTACGTCTCTAATTTTTATAAGCTTCGTGACATTGAAAGTGAATATCGAGATTGTCTTTAGGAATGTAATAATAAATAAAATAAAAAAAGCTTCCAATGGCAAAAACATAAAAGCTACATAACATAAAGCTCAATAAAATCAATACAATAAATAAAATTATCGTAAAGTTATTACTTACATGATAAGTTTAACTTCATTCAGTTCGTGGACAATCTTGTTGTAATTTTTGACTTCACTGGAATTACATATTTAATTTTAGAGCTAAACAAAGCTACTACACAGAAATACTTCTATCATTGCCGTTAGAAAAAGTGTCTTGTACATTCTATTCTATCGAAATTTCATACTAGCTGTTTCTCACGACTTCGTCATATTAGAATTGAAAAAATTACCTATGTTACTGAGTATTAACATAGCTTTTTAATGGCGTAGGAATTTTTTAAATCGGCTCAGTAGTTTTGAGTCATTTCAATACAGACAATAAAACAGATTTTTCCTCTTTATAATATTAGTATAGATGAACTCTAATAATTCGGGACTTTCCATACTCTGGTATAACATCTGGACATCCTAAACCATGTCCATTCTATTCCTTGAAGCACCGTATCGCATAAGCAATGGCGATTGGCACCTTCGCACATTCCTCAGCCCCTCCCGCAGCGGGTTCAACTTGTGCTCGTCCTTGAATTATTCAAACATGACTCATATTTTATTTATACGCTCTGGTCTTCTATAATCTTTATTTGATGGCGAAATTGGCAAGACGAGTTTGTAGTTTTTATATCTTAAAGTATGCTAGACGTGTCTGAATGTTGTAAATATATAAAAAAAAGCTACGGATTCTGGAACTAATTATACTTCATACTAATATTATAAATGTGTAAGTTTAGATGGATGGATGGATGGATGTTAGAGTTTTTAGCCTAAACGGCTGACTGGATCTGAATGAAATTTAGTATGGATATAGAACATAGTCTAGAAAAACACACATGCTACTTTGTTTTGCTTTTTTTTTTAATTCCACGCGGACATAGACGCTAGCGACAGCTAGTAAATAAATAAGTTTACATACAGGATGTTTCTTAAATCGTGTAGATTATATTCAAAGGGCGTATTCTACATTCTATACTTTGATTTGTATAAAAAGTTACTCGAGACTTCAATTGGATATTTCTAAGAAAAGATTCGATCGCAAAGGTAGAAATTTCCAAGTACAACACAATTCAATCTGGCACAATGGCTCATTAAGCAGTCTGTTGGTAAATATTTTCTATATAACACGAATGGATTTGAATACAGTATACTCTGTTTACGGTCATCGAACTTTATTTAAATATCATTCTTATCGCTTTAAGCGCGCCTGAAACTAATCTATCGCACAACTTAGTCTGCCTTTGATAACTATTATTAGACAACTTATTAAATTGATACTGTCGCTTTAAACTCAGAGCAACACTTCTCGTCAGGACCCAGGTTGCGCGCCTATCTATACTTCTAGTGACATTGACAGCTGTCAGCTAGGGACGTGACGTTTATGCCGATAATCTAGAGTTGCGCCGATTCTAAAGCACGGTACTAATTTTGTTCCTAACATTATGAGCTTACATATATTATATGGAGGTGCGCACAATACTAATAATTAACAATTTCTTATATAATATGTTTTATTTTATTTTTATACAATTCTTGTAAAACATATTATGTAGAGAATAAGAAATAAAGATATATGTGGATAATAATAATCATATAATCATACTTCATACTAATATTATAAATGGAAAAGTTTAGATGGATGTTTGTTAGATTCGATGAAACTTGGTATAGATGTAGCGGACAGTCTGGAAGAACACATAGGCTACTCAATTTTTTTTTTTTTTTTTATTCCACGTGGACGTAGTCGCGGGCGACAGCTAGTTCATTGATAAGGCAAACATTACACTACTCGATTTTTAGTTGTTAACTAAACAGTTGTTCGATAATTTAGTCAGAGGTGTGCGCCCGCTCTTACAGAATACTTATTCCTTATCAATAGTATTAGTCATCGTTTGAAGATTGAACTTTGAATGCTTTCCTATGATACATTTGATTACGTTACAAACAAGTTTTTGTTTAATAGTATACGATCCGGTTTCCGGTATATTTTTATCTATACTTCTTTACTTTGCTTTGTATTTTTGGATTTTTGTTTGAATTAAAATAACTCAAAAACATCTGGACCGAATAAAAAAAAATCTTTCACCATTAAAAAGGTATATTATCAGGTACGTATGCTATGTTTTATTATTTTTTTAATTTCACGCAAACGTAGTCGCGAGCAACCGCTAGTTTGTTATAAAAATATTAAATCATTGTTTAGTGTCTTGCAACCTTACAAACATTTCACACAACATACAAAACAACTTTTGTTAACTGCATACTAAATAATGATATTATTTTTTCATAGCTTGTAAACTAAACTATATGTCTATACTAGCTTTCGCCCGCGACTCCGTCAGCCTGGAATTTAAAAAAAAATGAGTAGCGTATGGTATGTGTTCTTCCAGATTATCCCTACATCTGTACCAAATTTCATAGAAATCAGTTCAGCCGTTTAGACTACAAACTCTAACAAACAACGATCCATCTAAACTTTCACATTTATAAATGTATGATTACTCTGTATAAAAGACGTTATCAATTTTAAATACGAGAATTTAATCGCAAAGCGTGCACTTTTTCGTTCAAACAATATTCTTAGTTATTTGTCTCATAACAATCGTATCACTAATACTTGCAGTAACTAAGTTATGAAAGCGTCGACTTTAACAGGATTTCGTATCGGCTTACAAGACATTGTCAGACCGTGAACTATCAGTTTCATTGTAACCGACTCATTGTATCTTTGTTAGAGAGATAACTGTGCGAAAGTGTAATAAGATCTGACATTACGGCTCAGATTTAAAAACCTATGAGTTAAAGGGTATTTTAATACTTTATTATAATAACGGTTATATTGCGCGGTTTACACTTAGCCAATACAGCTAGTCAGTAGCGCTCTGATTGGACAATCAATTTACTGGTAGAGTTAACGTTAACAGGCGCCAATGAGTGTCGCTTGCCGTCGCAACTCTCCAACTGTACTGGCCATGTGTGAACCGGGTATGACTGTAAAAATAGTATATACTAACTGTTGCTCGCGGCTTCGCCCGCTTGAAATAAAAAAATAAGAAAAAAAATATGTTACTCACTGATAAATAACGTTTCTAACGGTGAGAGAATTTTTCATATAGGCCCAGTAGTTATTTCAATACATGCAAAAAAGAAATCTTTCCTCTTTATGACATAAGAATAGATAATAATATTAGTATAGAAAAGAGCGCATCTATAAATTTTCTTCATTTTCGGATGCTTTTATTTAAGTCACTGAAACCTGTGTACCTGTTTTTCATTTAAATTTGTTTTAATACGCATAGATTTTTAATCAGATGATTTTCTTTTCCAGACGGCTGAGAGGAGTGCTGGCTGGGAGACACACAGGGTACGCCTTAACAGGGTGCCAGGTTATGGTTTCGGCATCGCCGTATCCGGTGGCCGAGACAACCCGCACTTCGCGAGTGGCGACCCGTCCATTGCGGTATCCGATGTGCTGCGCGGCGGGCCCGCTGAAGATAAACTACAGTATGTTTTTGTATTCAACTATACTAGTATTATAAAGAGGAAAGATTTGTATTTCTGTATAAATAACTCAAAAACTACTCAGCTGATTTTAAAAATTATTGCATATTACACAGCTACGTTATCGCCGAGTAATATATGCTATGTTTTTTTTTTAAATTTCACGTGAACGAAGCTAGTTTATTATATTTGTCGATGATTTAACTTTTCGTAGCGTAGTGTTTATTTTTAACAACCACTAACAATGCATGTCAAATACTATTATATAAAACTTTTGTTTAATGATTTCAAAACAGGTTTTAATAAAAACTTAAAGAAAAACAATTTACGTGAAAGTTTATTAATTTGTAACATAGATGGCGTTGTGCTCAATGTTTACTCTCTCTATCTCTGTTTCCCTCACTCAATTATTTGGTCTTACGTTTCCAGAGTGAACGATCGAATAGTATCAGTAAATGGAGTTCCGCTGGAGAACGTGGAGTATGCCCGAGCAGTGCAGGTGCTGCGGGACTCCGGGGCTGCGGTGTCGCTGGTGGTGCGGAGACGAGCGCCCGCGCCACCGCCCACAGCGCCCACTACTATCAAACTATCACTTACTAGGAATGGGAAGAAAGAAGGTACGTAAAGAATATGGGAGCTGTCGCTGCTTGTCTTTTTGAATGACTATCCTAGTGAAAGAATCGAGAAAAATGTTTATACTGTCGTAATTCGTTTTAAAACAATATTGCCTTGTCATTTTGAAAAAGACTATGCTTTAACACAATTAACAGTAGATTTTTTCTTACGAATCGTGGTAGATTTTATTTCTCACTAACTAACAATACGCGTACAAAACTTTCTTACAGTCGCCCGTTCGTTTTCATTCTTCCTTTCATCCTTTAATTTGCGGTTAAAATATCTGGGAAGCGAAAACGCTCCCTGTATTACAGAGAACAAAAGGTCGTCTAGCCCTCGCAGACTTCTTAAACTGAAAGCTTTGTTAACCGCTAGACGTTCACTCGTACAAGAAACAACAATTAATTTCTTGTTTTGAAACTGTGAGTAATTCAAACATAAAAAAACTAAACGATCTTCATTTGTTATAGACTTCGGTATCGTCCTGGGCTGCAAATTATACGTGAAAGAGCTAACAATGCGGGCGAGAGAACAACTAAATCAAGCTGGTCAAGGTTTATGCGAAGGAGACGTAGTCACACGTATTAACAATACGCCGGTCACCGATGTAATGACTTTAAAAGAGGCACGGAAACTTCTGGAATCCTGCAAAGACCGCCTCAATCTGGTGGTCACGAGAGAACTAATACGTGAAGAGACTGTCACCAATGGAAACTATCAGAATAATTATAACAGTCTAGGTAAGACGTACAGATATATCCTTGGTTCTTACCATATTTACAGAAGGTTGATTTGATGCGTTGTTTACTAACAGAAAAATAAACTTATAATCTACGGCATTCGTTGTTTACATATAAATCGTGTTGTGTAGAGGCGTCGCCACTATCTTACGGGGCGGAGTCCCTGTCGTACGGTAGCGGGCAGAATGTGTACGTGGCGGCGCCGGTGCGGGGCGCGGAGCCGCGACGGGACTCCGACCAGCCGCCGCGTCCGCCGCCACCGCGCAGCGACGGTACACAGACACCTTTATTTTATTCAAAAAAAGTTTTCATTTATTAGACTATATCTACTCATATGTACCCTAAAGCCTGATTGTGTTGTATCACACTGACTAGAAATCTTAAAAACTATGAACACTTGTGCACTTTCATTATCATACTCCGATAAACATCCTCTCTGTATCGAATGGTTTACTTTAAGATAACTCTCATGGAGTTAAACTCAACTGTACTACAACCTTTCAATTTGTATTTATTAAAAAATGCTTTATGTATACAGTTTAAATAAATGAAAACATCACACTCATGTTGGCGGAGCCATAGGACGCTTACACACATTTAGGTCCCGCTTACTTCCGTTGCACCTATAAAATAAAGTAACATAACATAACAGTTACATAAACATATACAGAATTTAAAAAAAAAAGACCTCATTGACCTCGATCTCTCAAAGTTCAGTAGTAACGTACATTTCTTAACAAAAACGTAAATTGTTATTTCAGATTACTACAGTAGCAGAAGACAGCTTTACGAAGAAGATGGAATGACGAATCAGAGAAATAAACCACCGTAAGTTAATCAGGTCCATAGTGACCTTTTGTACAAGTGTTACTGCAGTGTACAGATACACTAGTTTTTCTTAATACATTAATTATTTTGACATGTGGTTTTGAGGCTAACATTAGATAGCGTTATTGAGATTATGTAGAAAATATCTCAAGTTAATTGTTAATTATGCTATCTCTTTATATTTCGTTACTGTGTAGTTCATAACAGTCCCAATCGGGGTAAAACGGCGTCGTATAACTCTCGCCCAGGGCGCAAGTGAGGCAAAAAGATTAAAAAATGTAAAGAAAGCATATTTAAACAGTTCACTTGAGATGTTTTCTACATAATCTCACTAACGCTATCGTATGACGTCATTTTCTCCGATCTATATGGATTTTAGGTGCCCTGGGTGGGGACTTGGGCGGACGCCCTGGGCGGGTGCCCTGGGCGGTGTAGTCTAACGTTTCTGTGTATTGTAGGAGCGAGCCGCGGCTGATCAGCTTCCAGAAGGAGGGGTCGGTGGGGCTGCGGCTGTGCGGCGGCAACCGCTCCGGCGTGTTCGTGTGCGGCGTGCAGCCCGCCTCGCCCGCCGCGCTGCAGGGCCTGCAGCCCGCTGATAAAATACTCAAGGTAGACAATTGTCTGGATATAAAACACTACCTGTTACGTGACTTCGTCCACGTGAAATTAAAAACCTATGTTACTTACAGATAAATTACCTTTTTAACGGTGAAAGAATTTTTAAAATCGGCTCAGTAGTTTTTGAGTTATTTCAGTACATACAAAAATACAAATCTTTCCTCTTTATAATATTTGTTAGGATAGATATACATGAACGGTCTTACAAATAAAGGGAGTATAAAGTTAAACTTAGGAATGAACTGAGTGTAAGAAAATATAAGTACGAATTTGCTTATACGCAGTTTATACTTAAGTTTAACTTGAAAACTGAAAGTGTTCAAGTAATGAGCGAAATAAGTTATTGTAAAAGAAAATACAATCTTAATCTTAACTAGTATTATATGATGTTATATTTCATAGCGTAGTACTCAAAGCATCTGGACAATCCCGCAAAGGATTTATAAATATTCTTATGGATAGAAATAGAAATAATTTTATTGAAAAATAAGAGATTATCAATTATAATAACAATTATACCTAAAAGATAAATACCAATTGTGGTTAATATACGTTTAATCTGGTGATGCCCACACTAGGCAATGCCTGTATCGTAGGCATCGAAAACAGTAGGATAATTCTTTTCATACATTAATTACTAATATCCTACGCTTACGGCGTTTCGGTATAATTTATGAATTATATATTGTTCCAGTATAAATGAAAAATAAATATGCAAGATAATATATGGTAGCAACAGTGGTAGTGCCCGCTTTAACATCTTAGCACTGCAGGGCCGGCACGCCCCCAGTAATACCACGACCACACAGAAGACAGGCGTGAAATGGAAGCAATTCCGTGTTTCGTCTGATGAGTGTGGTGCCGGAGGCCTAATTTAAGTCCCTTTCTCTTTACCACCCTTTTCTTTTAAGGAGAGGTTGGGAAGAGGAAGTGGATTTGACGGTGGAGGAGATGCATAGGAAGGGGAAATATTCTCTTTATGTGCGTCTCCTCCTCCGTCGTATTAGGGGAGGCAACGCATCTGCAATTGCGGATGTCTATGGGCAGCGGTCGCTTCGCCATTTTGGCGGTTTCAGGTGGCCGCTTGCTCGTTTGCCACCTTGTGTTATAAAAAAAAAAGTATATGGTATATAAAATAAAACTAAATACTTGAATGAGAATAAACAATATATGTTATATATGTATGTATGTAATAAATATTTATAAACGTCCTAATGAACAAGATTACTTAGAGATGAGGATATTTAATATATTGTACTGTTTGGTAAATGTCAGGTGAACGAGATGGAGATGAAGGGCGTGACGCGCGAGGAGGCGGTGCTGTTCCTGCTGAGCCTGCAGGAGCGCATCGACCTCATCGTGCAGCACGCGCCTCACGAGTACAGCGCCGTCGCCAGCGGACACACGCGTCAGTCACACATACTATATTACTTTCACCTGTCCCACCAAACTGTTGTGTCTGATAACAACGTATGATGTGATAGAAATATCGTATTTTGGTACTCTGACAGTGACGTCACTTTTAAGCTATCTGAACCTCTATCAGCCAGTGGCGGGACATGTACTAAATCTTACAAAACTTGTGTCTTAGCATTTGATTGTTCACAATTTTTTTTTTACTTTTTATGATGTACTAGCTTTGCCCGCGACTTCGCCCTCGTGGAATTAAAATAAAAAACAAAAGTAGTCTATGTGTTCTTCCAGACTATCTACTTCTATTTCAAATTTCATCCAATTTCGTTTAGGCTACAAACTCTAACATCCATCCATCTAATCTTTCGCATTTATAATATTAGTATGATAACCTATTGGTTGACAAGGATCACACCTGATGTTACGTCCTGATTTCATCTTACTTCCCAAACAAATTCATAAATCTTTTCTTAGCAAATATCCGATCCTCTCCAAAGCAGGTTTTATCACTTTAAATGACTCTGAATGTAGCTTTAAATGTTTTTTATTAATAAACCGTGTGCACGTTCCAGCGGGCGACTCGTTCCACATAAAGACGCACTTCCACTACGCGGAGGCGCGCGAGGGCGAGATGTCGTTCCGCAGCGGGGACGTGTTCCACGTCGTGGACACGCTGCACAACGGCACCGTCGGCGCCTGGCAGGTCTACAGAATAGGTAATATAGTTACTATCATTTATAACATGCTACAAATAATCTAAAATAATTACTCATATAAAACTTTGCACGCAATTTACTACGTTCAAATAAACAATCGGCTATGACTGGACCTAGGCATGTGATAAAACTTCTAGCGTCTAATGTAAAACGAGCTGCATTGCTTATTCCATATTAACTAAAATCTAAAGTTAAATGATAAAAGATATCGAACTTTCCGTGTTGACGACTCGAAAGGTACTGAGCTACTGAGGGCCCTCACTGAAGGACTGAGCCACTGAGCAACTGAGGGCCCTCAATGAAGGACTGAGCCCCTCCTGGCAAAGTATTTTATAAAACTACACCCACTATTCCTTCCGTTTCCTAATATTTTCTAACACTTATTATTATAACTGAACTTATCGTTCTCGGTCGCTTTGAGCCGCCCACGATCAATTATTGGGTTTTGAATAAATCGTTTGATAAAGTACTTAATATTCATAACAATCGATTTTTCGTATTAGACGAGTTTGTTATAATTTCTCATATCTTTTGAACTGAAAACTCCTCAGGTCGCAACAACCAGGAGGTTCAGAAGGGCATAATCCCGAACAAGGCGCGCGCGGAGGAGCTGGCGACGGCGCAGTTCAACGCCACGAAGAAGGAGATGTCGGGCAACGACGGCAAGAACTACTTCTTCAGGCGACGGCGCTCCACGCATCGCAGGACTAAGAGTCTTGGCAAGGTAATATTTTGATAGCTTTATTTCTTACTAGCTCTCGCCCGTGTAATATCTGAAAAAAAAAACAAAAGTAAGTAGCCTATGTGTTTTTCCAGACTATCTTACTAGAAATTCTTACAAACATCCATCCATCCAACGTTTCGCATTCATGACATTAGTAAGATTATGTATGACCGAGTACAATATTAAGTACATGTTTATTTTCTTACTTTTCATTCATTGAAAACTAGCACTTTCATATAAACAGCATATGTCGAATAAACACTTTTTCTTAATTAGAGCGCGCACACCATCGACATTTGACTAAACTATCGCACAACTGTTTCATCTCGCTTTGATTCCTATGAGCTTATATGGAGGTACACTACTCGATTTTTAATTGCGCAACTAAACAGTTGAAGGCTGAGAAACAATCGACAATCTCACAACAGTGTGTACTCTACCAATAAATCAATTATTTTTTGATAGTATAGACTAACTTTCGCCCGCGACTCCGACCGCGTGGAATTTAAAAACAAAACAATAGAGCCTATATTCAGCAGTTTAGGCTATAAAGTCTAACAAACAGCCATCCATCCATCTAAACTTTCGCATTTATAATTAGTATAGCAAAGTAATGTAATATTTGTGTATATCCAGGAGCACTGGGACGAGGTGGTGCTGTCGGACAGCATCAGCAAGTTCCCGGCGTACGAGCGCGTGTCGCTGCGCGCGGCCGGCTTCGTGCGCCCCGTCATCGTGCTCGGCGCCGCCGCAGACCTCGCGCGCGCGCGCCTGCTCGCAGACCACGCAGACTGCTTCGCCACGCCCAGTACGTACACCACTTACAACTCCCTGTCACCATCACCACGCCCAGTACGTACACCACTTACAACTCCCTGTCACCATCACCACGCCCAGTACGTACACCACTTACAACTTCCTGTCACCATCACCACACTCAGTTCGTACACCACTTACAACTCCCTGTCACCATCACCACACCCAGTACGTACACCACTTACAACTCCCTGTCACCATCACCACGCCCAGTACGTACACCACTTACAACTCCCTGTCACCATCACCATTGACTTATTTCCTATTCTTTCTGCTGAATTATGAAGCGAATTTTAAACAATTTAAATAAGACAATCTGAAAAACGCATTTTTAGTAGCATTTGGAATTTGGTGGCCCTTATCAATTAAGAGGCTTTTATGTGTTTTAACATCGTTTCACTATTCAGCCGTTTTATTCTATGTATATAAGTACGTACCATCTTTTGACCACATCATCACTCTCCTAGATGGGATCGTGGTCAAGCGCTAGCTTAACAAACATAAAAAAGCAGTTATTTATTTACTTCGTGCATAATACCACAACAAGTATAATGTCAAAAATCAACCGTATTTCTCCGTACATAAGGTTGCATTCCCATAACAGAAATGGACAGTACACTGGAGGACAGCAAGAGCAAGTCCAGCGGCATAATCCGGCTGTCCAGCATCCGCAGCATCATGGAGCGCGGCAAGCACGCGCTGCTCGACATCACGCCCAACGCCGTCGACAGGCTCAACTACGCGCAGTTCTACCCCATCGTCATCTTCCTCAAGGCCGACTCCAAACACGTCATCAAACAGCTACGAGCGGGACTGCCCAAGTAAGATACTCTTTAAGCGTTCTTTGAATTTGTCAGCGTAGAATCTTACTCATCCACTTGCCCTTATCCCTTACGGAGGGTCGGCAAAGTATGTGCTGCTCTTCCATACATCATTCAGCCGAAATATCTGAATCCACTCTTTTTATGAGAATATCTTTCACATAATCCTTCCATACTTTTTTTCTGTCTTCCTCTACCTTTGTAGCCATCCACATTCAATCTTAACACTTTCCTGGTTTGTGTTACTTATATTATAAAATCGAAATTATAGATGGATATTTGTTGAAGTTAATAGCCTAATCTGCTGAACGGGTCTTGATGAAATTTAGCGGACATGTAGAATATAGTCTGGAAGAACACATAGGCTACTAGTTAAGTGTTTTTAAAAATTCTGCACAGATAGAGTCGCGAGTGAAATCTAAGATTTTAACATTTGTTTTTTCGTTAACAATAATGCCAATAATTATATTTCTGAAATGTATATGTATTTTTAATGTTACTTTAATTTTATGTATGACCTACCTCTACAGATCAGCGCACAAATCATCAAAGAAGCTTCTAGAGCAATGCCAGCACATGGAGCGCGTGTGGGGCCACGTGTTCACGCACACCATCACGCTCAGCGAGGCCAACCAGACCACCTGGTTCTCCAAGCTAGTGGAGCTCATCCAGCGGACTGACCAGCAGAAGTTCTGGGTCTCCGAGACCAAGGTGAGACCTAGAATACTGTTAACACCACTACACTAGCCACTATTTACTATAATACTTTATACAAAGTTGATTAATATGAACAGTTGTTACTTATAGAAGTATTATTTCTATTGCAGTAAAAGAAAAATAAACAATTTGTTGATTTTTAATTACTTAATTATGTTATAAGTCACAAAAGATATAATATCACTTTTTCTATCTTTATACATATTGCACAATATCTTATGCAATGACGCAATGTCCAATATATAAATAATTCATCTCTGGGTGTTTGGGACTAACCATTTCTATATCTGTTGTATTTAAATATGGATCATTTATGTATGAAGGCAAGTTCACGCTTGGAGGTCGCTTGATAAATGCAATTTGCATCGGTATATTGTATGTGCTCTTTGTATTCCAGTAGCCCTTGCACGGCTCGAGATGTGTGCGTACACACATCTCTGCAGTGTAAGGTATTTTATTAACCTATTTCTTTCTGTTCTGTCTCTTGCGGCGGTGTAGCACGTTGAAATGGTGTCGGATATATACTTCCCCATCCCTCCCTCTCCCTATCCGGCTTTCTACCCCATTTCCCCTCCTATCAACTACAGCCGCTCCCAGACCCCACAACGAACGATCCGTTCGCCACAAAACATATCATCTAACTATACCATAACTAGCACCAAACGTCACGATCAAGTGTATGACGCTAATAGAAATCATGTCGTCCCATATTACTACTCCGAAACATTAACCCCTTGCATGCCTAACAACTTGTACAGCGTTCCTAACACACATAACAGAAATAGGCACACCTTCGCTAGCTACCCCTACGATGAAAGACAAAAGTACTATCAAAGAATCAGAACAAACGCCAGAATTAATAAAACTGTAAATCCAGAAACATCTCACAGTCTTAAAAGTAACTCAATTCAACCTCAACCGTTTAGACCTTACAGTGTTCTAGAACGTTCTACTAATTCACCCATATCGAAAATCCAAAGACCTAGTTCAGTGATGCCAGACACTGAGCAATTCCGACCAGCGTCGGCCTTCTTCCAAAATGAACCTAAATCAGAAATACCCGAATGGAAAGCACGTCTTATAAAAGACACGCCAAAGTTGGTCAAAGGTTTGGACCAACCTTTGAAACCAATATGCAAAATACCGGATTGCAATTGCAACGGTAAACCTATTGTCGACCGAACAAGGTTCAGTGAATCTCGAACTTTGCCGTCGGTTTCCCCGCGATCCTTGCTTAAACAGAAGAACCTATCTCTGCCAACTCTAAAGTTAGAAGAGTTTGATAAAGATGAGAAATTCGATACGACCGAAGCTGAAAGAGATGTGCCTAGTGTTCTAAACAAACCTATTTCTGAACAACATTTGGGGTATGTTTAGGAACGCTTGTTTGTTCTTGTGAAAAGTTACCAAAACGCTTGTCAATTAATTTAATTTAAAACTGCATGATTGTTCCTATTTAACTTATATATTGCATGCTATATACGTTTAAGAATATATTTTGTTATTTTATTTACTGTATATTGCTTCATAACATATAATTTGTATTGGATATTTGTTTTGTTATTGCATGGATGAATTAAATTTGTTAATAATTGTTTAAAACGATTTTTATTTTGCGATCCAAACTACTCAATAATCTACGATCAGTGTGTGTTATTTAGTTTTTAATTTCGTTCTGAATTTACCAGTGTTAAATACCACATTTGTAAAATAAACATTCAAACACGAAAGAGACGATTTGATTTAATTTGCTTTTTCCATTTCTTTCATGTTTGGATTTTGTTTAAAGCATTAATCATCCACGGCTAAACACGATTTCAGTTTTTAAAGTGTTTTTTGCAATCATTCATTTTGTCTTGTCTTATCACCCCATTCCATAAACCCACCCTACCGTCGGACGCCGCACTTAAAATGGATAACAACAAAATGGCTGGAAACAGAGGCCTGAGCCGTTGTCGGATGACTTTTTGTTCTCAATGTCGTCGAGTACGGAGAACAGATTGTCGTACGCGTCCAGTCCGGAGAGTGACTTGGAAGTGAGTCCGCCTCCAGCGCCGAGATTGGTCAAGTCGTCTTCGGACCCTTCGATAGCGACGACACAAGATAACCTGGACAGAGACGATGATATTAACCACATGGTCGACGCTGTCCCTCCACCTTACACGGTTGGTAACATTCGTACTTATTTAAAAAAAAATCACAGTTTTGCATTTTACATCCGCATGCTTTTTACTCCAAAAATTAAGTTATAAATGCTTTCATGTGCTGTTCTACATATTCATGTTACGTTTTTAAAATTAGTAGTGGAAATATTGCAAATTATGATATTTAACTTATATTTTATATCCATAAACAGCAGGGTGGTTATGGTGACAGCAAATACGGTTTCTCTGCGAACGGCAACGGCACTAACAATGGCCTGAACCACGGCCAGAGTGGACACATGCCCAGCTCTGAGGCCCCGCCCTATCAGTGCAGCCCTATGACTAATTCCCCTCCGCACTCACCTTTATACGGAACAGGTAACTTTACTTAGTACCGACTAGTTATAAAATTACTATTTTAATGGCAATTATAATTAATTGTATTTGTTGTGTTTAGTACCAGAGTTGCCGCCTCGCGGGCCGGCCGCGCGCCCGACGGGCGGGGTCCTATTGCCCGCCCCGCCTCCCACACGCCCGCCTCACTCACTAAGATCTAACCAACAAGTAAGTATATTGAAGATTAATTGTTCCGTGCAGCTTTATCCCTATTAAACTTACTGCGTTGGCGCAGCGACCCATAGAGCCGAGAGAGCGCCAACGTCACATATTCTCTTAGAAACAATCCATCCATACTTTCTTCGGTTTCCTCTACCTTTCTAGCCATATTCAATCTTAACACATTCTGGTCTATGTCACCTTCTCTCGTCGCATAATATGTCCATACCTCGTTAATCTTTTGCTTCTCAATTTCTCGACTTCTTGCGCTACTTTCATCCTCTAATAGATAAGGTGATGAAATATGAATGAATTTGTGTTACAGAGTCGTCCGAGTGCGCAGGAGCGCCTGTTCGGGGCGGGCAAGGAGGGCGCGGAGGAGGCCACGTACGGCGCGCGGCCGCTCGGCTCCCTCGACAGACATCGACATGCAACTAACCCGGTTAGTATACATCATGTATTACTGACAGGATTGTACATACATTTCTCGTTTAAAATCTGTATTTAAGAGCAAAAAAGAAACTCGGTTTCTAGTGGTTTATTCTCATTTAATTTGAAAACTGTCCTGTTGTAACTTAGTCTCTGTGAAATTAAAAAAATGTATAAAACAGCCTGTGTAATTCACTGGTAACGTAGCTTTTGAACGGTAAAAGGAAAATCGAGCCAGTAGTTTTGAGTTATATCAATATATACAAAAATACAATTTTTTCCAATATCAATATAGATGAAAAAAACACAAGAAGTATTTGGTCTCTGAAATTTAAACCAATGTTATATTCACAGCAAAGTTCATACGAGGGCAGTGGCTACGAGTACGGTGTGTCAGGGGGTGCGGGTGTCGGCGGTGCGGGGGGCTGCCGCCTGCCGCTACCGCCCAACGCACCAGACGACCTTAAAGTCGCACCACCAGGGTAAGTCTGAATACCCAGTCCCCTCATGAGCACAGAACTGAATGAGAAGTTTCATCTGTCCCCCCATTAGCGGCAAGGGGACCGTTGAAACTTATTTTATTGCTTAACGGTTCCATCTGTCACCTTATCCTGATCAAGCCCCGCTAACACTAGTGGCAATTAGCGAATTTCTTTCCAACTAATAGTTTAATTGTTTGTTATAGCAAAATGGAGCCGCCGCCCCCGCCCAACCCCTCAGCCATGTCAGCGCAGAGCCCGCAGCGGAACTCCAACTCACACGAACATCCCTCGCTAGACTATAGACCTCCGGAGAACAATTACAGGTCAGATAACTCACTCAGATACGTTAAGTAGTCCTTAGTGGAGTGGAAGGACAGTCTTTCGATAAATATTTTCTATCAGAGTTTTTATTCTGTTTATTTAATTTATATTTATTAAAAAAATGTTTTGTTTTGTGTAAAAAGTTAAAATCTATACTAATATTATAATATAAGCAGAAAGATTTGTATTTTTGTATTTATTGAAATAACCCAAAACTACTCGATCGATTTCAAAAATTGTTTCACCATTAAAAGTTACATTATTCTTTTTAAATTTTATTAATATACAACTTCATGCAGATAAAGTCGCGAGCAACAGCTAGTAAATAAATAAATTAGAGTTATTTATCAACAGAAGCAATGACGGCTACCGAACCAATCGACCTGCAAACGGCGAAAGTCCGCACGCACAGCACGCCCCGCAGCATAGTCAACTAGCGCAGCACTCGCAGCAGCACAGTCAACTAGCGCAGCACTCGCAGCAGCACAGTCAACTAGCGCAGCACGCACAGCAGCACAGTCAACTAACACCGCAGCACGGAGCACAGCACAGTCAGCTAGCGCAGCACAGTCAGATGACTCCGCAGCACGCAGCGCAGCACAGTCAGCTTGCTGCGCAACTTCCGCAGCATCCGCAGCTTCCGCAGCAAACGCCGCAGCACGCCCGCGGACCCTCACTGCCTAACGTACCCACTAATGATCACGCCAAGTACAGGCAAGTACTATACCGTTGAGTAACTTAATATAGGCTTTTCATACTAAGGAAGACTTAATACACAAGTAATATAAAGGGAAAAGGATTTGTCTGTCCTAATGTTATAAAGTGGAAAGATTTGTGTTTTTGTATGTATTGATTTAACTCAAAAACTAGGGGGCGGATTACAAAATTTCTTTTGCCATTAAAAAGCTTCGTTATCAGATAGTAACATTACGGCTTTTTTGTTTTTTTTTTTAATTTAACGCGGACATAGTCGTGAGCAACAGTTAGTATTTTATGTTTGAAAGTGTGTTTTTTGTTCAGTGCGCGAACGAATTCAGCGTCACAAGCGGACTACCAGCGCAGCTCGGGCCCCGCGTACAAGCCCGTGCCTCCGCCCAAGCCCAAGCACTACCGCCCGCCTGACGCCATGCACCACAACAGAAATGGGGTAAGTAGCTTCTTACAAATATCCCCCTTCATTGGTTTTTATGGAGAAGGGGCTAACGTCATTTTCCTATCCTAGTTTATTTAGAAATAATTTAAATCAATTGCTTATTTTTCTGTCTGCGGATCGGGACAATTTTGAGTTTTAACGTTTTTGATTTGTCGTATTTTAATCTATACATCTTTACAACTATTTCTTGTCTTCCAAATCTGTTCATCAGTCCTTTCTTTCGTCTTAATTATATCACATTAGAATGGTGTTCATTCTGTTTTGTCTATCGTGTTTTTTTCTGTATGCAATAAAACTATCTCATTCAAGGTAATTTTTATTTCACTTATATTTATCAGAGTATGGAGCCGGCGCAGTCAATGGGCCCTAATGGCCAGCAGCTGCGCGGCGCCGCGCCCCCGCACTACTCGCACTCGCACTCCATGTCGCAACCCCACCAGCAGCTGCCGCACGCGCAGCACCCGCAGCACCCACAGCACCAGCAGCTGCTGCACGCGCAGCACCAGCAGCTGCCGCAGCACTCGCAGCCCTCGCACAGACCGCACGGACATTCCAATTACCAGGTTCGTAATATCACAAGTTAAAGAAAATCTTCTCATTACAATTGTAACAAGAAAGCGTTGTTTTCAATATTATGTCGTGCATTTGATAAAAATTGATAGAAATTCATCAATATACATAAAAGTACAATTTAATGAAACATAAATTTAATTCCATCACATTTATTTTTATGATTCACTAGCTTTAGTCTGCGACTTCCGCGTGGAATTAAAAAAAAAAGAAAGTAGTCTATGTGTTCCTTCAGACTATCTTCTACAACTATGCCAAATTTCAACGTGATACGTTGAACAATTTGCACTACAAACTCTAACAAACATCCATCCGTCCATCCATCTACACTTTCGCATTTATAACATTAGTAAGAGTAGTAAGATTTATATAAAAATGTGTTCAACAGCAAGGGATGTACGGGGGACAGGTGGGGCAGGTGGGGCAGGTGGGGCAGGTGGGTCAGGCGGGGCAGGCGGGGGCGCAGTCGCCGCCCTACGCCGGGCCGCCGCCGCACCGCGCTCTCAACCTGCCGCACAACCCGCAACTCATCGGTACACACTTCGCTCTTACACACACACATAGGAATTTGTGCCTCCACGACAAAGACATTTAAAAAACATAGACGAGGCTTTGAACAAAATTTCACCGGTACTTTCTCGGAAAGGTACTATGTCAGTTGGCAAGTTTAGTGCCACCTCGTATCCTTGTACACACCCATTGTCAATGAATTTAAACACAATTATATTGACATATGGTTTTGAGGCAAACAAGACTATTATTAGTGAGATTATGTGATAATTTCTTGACTGAAGTGTCTACTTTGCCTCCTCTATCTATTTTTAGATTCTTTGCTTCACGCACATAAATATAAGTAATAAATCATCACAAATGTCAATTTAAAACTGTCGCCTTTACTATTAATATCTTGGATTTTGTACAACTATATGGAATAAAAAAACTTGACTTACAAAATGTATCGTATACCTCTAGATCTGGCGGGTAGCCGAGAACAGCGTGGTTCAGCTTTCGAGTTGTATAGAAAGCCGCAGCACATGCACAATTTAAGGTAAAATAGACTCTAAGCACACACTTTTAGACTATATTTTCCCTTACACATGAAATTATTTCCCCATAAATCATTTGCAATCTTTCTACATAATGCATGTTGAATTGAAGGTCCCCAGTTTTGGTCCATGGCCTGTAGGCGGCCCACAATTTGCTCTAACATGCAAACACCGATCGCTTCACAAACGACTAACAATGTCTTGTCGGGCTCAGTATTAGCTATGGTATTGTATGTGGTAATTGTTATACATACCTATATATTGTAACATATATCTCTATATCGGCCGTTAGTTTGTCCACTTCTTATATTGGAATAACATTTTTAAACCGTTGTAAGTTTGATCAGAACAGCAGTACGTGTCTGCATTTTAGTGCAACTTGTCTCAAAGCATATTGATTTAATTTGTCTACTCTATTCTCGCTATTTACCTCTTTCTATCATTTTACTATCTTTAAAATCAATTATGTCTTCAATATTATCTTCATTAGATATAGTATTTAATTACAAAGTTACGTTAAACATATTTCTTGCTTTTTTGTGGCATTTATTTCAATATGCTTTTTTTATCATAAAATTCACCTTTAAAGAATTTGATATACTACGTAGCGACATCTCAGAGCCTTCAATATGGTTGCATTATGATATTCTAATCTTCCATCGATGAATAATGTATCGTATATTGAATTATCTGACGTGTCCATTATATCCATTATTGAGTAACTAAGTGGGTATTTTGGGTTGTGGGTTTCCACAGCTCGTCGGATGCGATGAACTCCAGCGCGGAGCCCGACGAAACGTTCTCGCCTAAAACTAAAAAGAAATTGTCGAAAAAACCGTCGTTCATTAAAAACGCGGTACTCGATTTGTTCCGTTCGAAAACGAAAAACTCTCGCAAAGTTTCGAGACAGAAGTCGCTGTGCGAGAGTGACTTGCAGCAGAGCAACATGGCTCAGATGCCGATACTAAGACGAGAGAAATCAGACCTGTGCGATATGAGCGTCCATATGAGAAACACTCAAATAAGAAATCAAATGCTACAAAGAAGCAATTCTACCTCATGCGAGAAACCCATTCTCAAACCAATTCTAAAACGACAAAGTTCATTTTGCGACGACAGAAATGGCTCTATTTGTACAGTGAGAGATTACGAGGCCAAGCCGGTCTGGAAAAGTCTAAGAAGACAGAATTCCATGTGCGAAATAGAAACAGAACCGAAAGTTACCCCATTGTTACGCAGACAGAATTCCCTCATAGAATATAATAGAAGAGGAATATACGGACAGACGTCCAATTTCAATATGATTACCAAAATAGATCCCATTTACCAAAGAACGCAGCAAACGAAACACGAACCATTTTATCCTACTCAAACCCTACCTCCAGAACCAATCTACCAAAGCAAAGAACATGTATACGATCCTATACCTAAGCCGAGGAGAACTTATACCTCTGTTTACGATACCTCTAGTGAAAACCCATATGCAAGTAGATCGGAAGTTTCCAATCAAAGTTTTGAAAGTCCTTACGGCAACCGTGAAACTGTTGCGATGCCTATTATTGAATCACCGTATGCGTCCAGAACTGAATGCATCCGTGACAATCCATACGCCACGAGGAGCGAATTAGAATCTCCTTATGGTACTAAACAAGATGTTACAAAACAATCTGATTCATTTTACAGCGAGTCTCCGTATTCTAGCAAAGAACAAATGTTAAAATCTAGATTACCATCTGAAAACCCTTACACTACTAAAGAAGAAATGTTAAGGCAAAGATTCTCAGAATCTCCTTATAATACTAAAGAAGAAATGCTTAAACAAAGACTAGAAGGTTCTTTTACTAAAGAGGCTATATATGGCAAAAGAACTTACGAACCTCCCCCGAGCACTTCTTGGTCAGAAAATTCTTACAGTATTAGACCAGATAGGAGGTTACAGACCCCCGTTAATTATCCCGGCCGCATATCACCTATGAGTAAATGTATGAGCGAACCTCCGTACGCCACTAGAACAGAGATGATGGCAAGGATTGGTCAAACTGAGTCACCGTACGCATCACGAGCCGAAGTTAAATCGAGCTGCTCCGATAGTAACTATGGAAGTCGACAGGAAATGTGTGATACAATACGACCCGCATCAGCAGAATGCACGTATGTGTCAAAACAAGAAATTTTAACTCAAAAAGCAGCCTTTCTTGCTAGCAAAGAATCCAATTACGGATCGAAATTAGAAGAGAAACTTGAAATAATAAAACAGAGAAACCAAGCTAAGAAAGACATGATTTACCAAACCCGTAAAGAGGCAAACGAAAGTGATGCTATGAAAGTGAGGGAGCCCTTGTACGTTTCTAAAAGAGAATTAAAAGATACTGTTATTTACGAATCTCACAACGAGGCCAAAGATATTGCACCGTCGCCAGCGATATCCCAGGGGAGCAGCACTAGAAGCAGCCCATATGAACTAAGCGATGCAAACCATCTGTCGCGTCGGGAACCCTTGTACCAAACAAAGACGGAGGTTCAAATTTCTAAAGATACTGAGGCATTCCAAGAGATCGACTTTTCAAAATTAAGACTAACCGAGTCAAAAACGGATGCTGAAAAGGAAAAATCGAAAGCAGAAAACATTTTAAAAGGGGAACCGACATACACTCCTAGATTGCACGGCAAGGACGAACATATTTCTAATGCTTTAAAAGCTACATCTTCACCGATTCCATATGAATCTACTACCTCTATGGAGACACAATATGCATCTGAATGCAGTATGAACTTTGAAAACAAACCACAAAGCACGCCATATACATCGCAAGATCTGCAAGAAAAGGCAAAATCAAACAGAACTGTAACATTTTGTGAAAGAATCGCCGAGAAAAGTGCAGAAAATAGTCAGGACACTTCCGAAAATATGTCGTCAAGTAGGAATGAAACTACGATAATTAACAATGAGAACACTGTAGTACAAGCGTCAGTACCAGAAGTCAATGAGTCGGGAAATAAATCAGGCGAAGTTGAACCAGACGGTCCTCATACAACTTGGGGTATATTCGATAGTGAAGGAGGTGTGTTAGAAGACAGACAATGGGGCGTATCTCTGATAATACCCCCAAAAGCGATAGCTCCAGGCATCAAGCAAAAGATCTACTTTACGGTGTCAGATCCGCGACTGAGCCAGCGCGTGGGGGGACCTCCCATCGATATGGATAACGGTAAATGCTTTTGTAACAAAGCACGCGTTGTAGTATCTTAGACAGCACTTACTAATTGGCTAATTCACTGAATGGATTGGACAGATATTGGGCAATGAAATGCAAGAATCGGGAGTGTTTTTGCCGAATGATTTCCTTCAACAATATCGCTTTAGTATGGATTTTAGTTAGATTTTTTAGCATGAATTGTGCATGTGGATGTTATGGTTTTAATAATTTATTCATTTCTATTCTTATATATTATAATACTATGTTAATAATGCACTAAACTTTAAGATATAATCACGATCAATAACATGTGTCACCAATATTAATCCGGAATTAAATCATTTATGTTTATATTTACGCAGTTTCTGCAACACAATACACTCGTACTTAGAGATCGAGGAGCGACGACGTCGACTGTGCTACCTCTACCCAACAGTTAACCCGTACGTTTGACGAAACATGTTCAAGCACCGTTCACACTTGTGCAAATGTTTCCATTCTTGTGACGTCAGTTTCGTCCCTTCTTTTGTTTTATTCGGAATCTCTCATCATATCTTTAGCTTGAATATTGAATTTCCAAAATAATTTCAAAGGAGATAAGATTTATTTTTTGGGTTAAAGGAAAGTCTATGTTTTAATTTCTTTGTTTGGCTTTATATTTTATTTGCTTGATCATGTCTTGCTCGCTCTAACGACTTGCATTAATGTGTTGCGATTTGTGTTTGTGTGTTTTTTTCCCTACAACCTATTATTAAATTGTACATGACTTATATCTGACAAGTTTTGCCTTTTTGCTCTTTACTGTAAAAATAAAATATCTTAAAGTTGTACAAATAGATTTTCCTGGTTTTTTACGTATGGCAATGTATTACAGCAACTTAAATGTTTATTCGCTAAACAGGTGAAGCAATGCTATCCCCGCTAGTGATGTGCGGGCCTCAAGGACTCGTGTTCCTAAGGCCCGTAACACTCCGGCTGCCGCACTGCGCCAACGCAGTACCTTCATTGGGCCTTACCATCAAGGCCACTGACACCGAGGCACATCTCAGCACCGACTGGGACCAAATACACCTCCCTGCTACAACCACCTTAAACACAGTTGCCGTTAAAGTCGACCATTTCTAATACTTAAGTCTTCGTTTCTTATGGTTTTTATTATGGTAACACTATTTAAAACTTTACTTTGTTATTACTTCTTGACATTAAAATTAAAACAATTGAATTATGTTATAAAATAAGTTACACGTTGGAATGAAGTTACAATGGCTTTTAAAATCGATTCAACATTTTGTATAAAAATGTTAATTTTATTCTGTCATATCTCGTTTAATTTTTAATCTGTTACAAATTCAGAAAAAGCGGTGTCAGTTATATTTGATCTCTTTCTAAGTAAAATATCTTCATTTACGATAATGTATATGCTAAGTCTTTTTACTTTAGAAATAGACATTGTGTACCGGTACACAGGGGTTTTCCTAAATTGCCTTAATATTGAAAACCATATTAAGTTATTGGCGTATTATCTTTTATAAATGTTACTATTGATTAATTAAATATTTTGATTTTTGCAAAAAAGACCCTCAAGAACCTACGAAATAATTTGATATAGAGCAGTCTAAGTGTTAACTGTCTTTATTCGTATATCAAAAATTTAGAATTTCCTTATTTCTCGACATTACAGTCTAGTCACTGCATCGCACAATATTTTTCACACACGCCACAGTAATAACGAAATGTATCCTTAAATAAAACGTAAAAATCAAAAACTCAATAATTTCCCACCTATCGTAATTAGACTCGACATATCCACGTAGTAATAGTGGTGCTAAATTCGACTTACCGTAGTACTCGACTCGATTGAATCTCGCACGAGTTTAGCGACGTTGGTAACGGCAATGTCATTTTATTCTCGACTATGACATTTTATTAATCCTAAAATTATTATAATTATTTTAATGCTTTACCACATTTAGGCTAACATTTTAGTTTTAATGTTAATAAATATGTTAATGTCAATATTTAATATGCATTTTAACGTATATTTTAGAATATTAATCGTTAATTTGAAATTAAAAGTGACAACGTCAAATATAATCTTTGGCTTCCACAGAATAAAAATTATCGATTTTTTTTGTATGTTAATTAATACAATAATGTAATTTTAATATGTTTGTGTACTTTTATTCTTGGTTATGCGATGGAATCATGCATTGTAAGTCGGCACCCAGATCACTGGGTTAGAATGATATTGTACATTTTTCTTGTTACTAGTGATATGGTGAGTTGAAAATTAACTCGATTATTAAATTTTATATATACAACTTATTACGTCGTTTTATTTTTTATTCTCATTACAAAATGCCAGTACGATTCATAAAAAAAAAATACTTATTTGAAGCATCACTAAACTCGCCTACTAACTGGTCCAATCACAGTTACTAAATGATGTCTAAAGCCCTTAGAGTAGATATCCCTTATTAAATCAATACTAAAGCTTAATAACTGATAATTGACTCGACATCTCAAAAGTAGTCAGATATTAATTGCACATTTTTACTAATATAAATACAAAAATTTAGATGGCTGGATGTTTGTCAAAGTTCGCCGCCTAAATGGCTGAAAGGCTCTTAATGTTTGGCGTACATGTAGAACTTAGACTGGAAAAATACATAGATGTTTACTTACTTTTTTTTTCAAAAAAATCTACTTTTCCGACTAATTCGCGGGCGAAAGGCACTTATTCAATAAAGAACACCTCCAAGGAAACATGTTACAAAATTTAAATTTACGAATAAAATATTATAGGGCATTCTTAAAAGCTTCTTAAATTCTTAGAGTATTTCTAAACGTAGCCATAATTATGTCATTAGTCACAAAATACTTTAGGCAGCAGTTATGTGCCAAGTTTAAGCGTTTAGTGTTGCAATACGCCATTATTCATGATATTGATGGTAAATGCACATTCAACATGCCGCGGTTTTCGTTCACTGCGCGGTTCAATGCTAAATACATTGCTTATAATGTTGCTCATAATGATACGATTTAATATAATATGAGCAAGTTTTAGAACAGCTCTAACTATTAATCTATTCTAATGTTATAAAAAGGAAAGATTTGTATTTTTGTATGTATTGAAATAACTCAAAAACTACTAGGCCGGTTTCACATATTATTTCACCATTAAGAAGCTACGTTATCAGTAACATAGTCTATATTTCATATTCACGCGGGTGAAGTCGCGAGTAACAGCTAGTTACTTATATACTATTGTAAAGAGGACGGATTTATATCTTTATATTTTATATGTATTGAAATAAGTCAAAAACTACAGGGTCGATTTCAAAAATTCTTTCACCATTAAAAGCTACGTTATCAATGAGTAATATAGGCTGTATTTTGTACTATTTTTAATTCCATGCGGACAAATACGCGAGAAAAAGCTAGTAAAATATAAACAATTATGTTTAGACAAAGAAAATCATATTCGTAACCTTTGACCATACTTGTGATATAACAGACATTAAATATGGTCGTAAAATGACCATGGTCGTAATGTGTATTTTGATAAAAAAATTAATCGCAGACCATCTAAGTATTCACTAGGGTCAGGGTGGAAAAAATTCCAGTCACGTCAGACGGTTGCCAAAGTTGTGTTTGTTTTGGTTTTATGGGGAGAAAGAACATTGCGTAAAATGAGGATTTTGCATAATTGGGCACACGATTATACATCACAAATGTAATTTAATTTTAGACCTTCAGATGGCGCTATAGAATGCAGCGTTAGTAAATGGATGAATGTTTGTAAGAGTTTATCGGTAAAACGGATCTCTGTGAAATTTGGCATAGATGTAGAACACAGTCTGGAAGAATACATGTACTAATTTTTCGTTTTTAATTTCGCGCGGAGCGACTTGCCGGCAGAAGTTAGTTTTATAATGATTAAGATGAAATTATTAACAGAAAAACAAATGCTTAAGATTATAAAATAAAAACCTGTAATTTAAAAATTTATATCCTATCTTATCTATGAAGGAAAACAAAAGCTATCTCCAAATTATAAAACAAAAGCATCGAGCCATCAGAGCTGTCAGGCTAGACTTTGCAATCTAGATTGAAATCACAAATGCTTTGTTATCTCGTAAGCTTCTGACACTAATTGTAATGAAGCATTTTTAAAGCGTCAGTCACAATCAATATCATAGTATAAAGCCTGATACACACTGTAAGCTAGCAATATATTTGGCAAAAGAAAATTAAACTTGAAAATTGATAAATCCAATTCTATAACAAAATGATTTTTAGATTTCTTTAAAAATAATTTAACTCCACAAATAAATTATAAGATTAAATTTCTAGATTTTCGTGTACAAACCCTAATTTTAATCTGGGTCTAAATGTCAAAGCTTTTTGTCTGCATAACCTAAACAAAAGCTTAGACAAGCGCAATCACTTTTTGCAAAGATAACTGCCATGTTTGAATTCCATTGTGTACATAATATGCATTATATTGTATCTTTTACTCTTTAATAATCATGACGTATGTCGTGCGAAAAGGTCAGACTTTTTAAAGAAAAAGGATGTACCGGAGTAGAAATGATAATGGACAAAACCCACTGTCATTTCCTTTAACTGTATTAATAATAAAAAAAGTAATACACAATCTCAAATTAAAAGTAAAAAATCTCGGTAATTTAAAAGAAGTATTCTACCTCTTTGGTAGAAGTTATTTTAGCTTTGTTAGCAAAGAGACCGTACTGGCCACTAAGAATGATGCGCGTTAAAAGTAGTTATAAAAAGTTACGTGAAAAAAATAGTAGAGTAACGCTTGTGTTCCCACGAAGATTTGCAAGTAAGAAATATCACTTATTCTATTCATTAAAAGTCACTATACCCTACTGAATTTTTGATCAATTTCACAACAAGCGTAGAGCGGTCACGTCCCACGAATTAAATTTCACCTATGACACGAGACGCAGCGAGAAACGTTCGTTCGTCGAGGAAACAACGTATTAAACCATCATTTGTGCGTTACTTATGTAACAATCAATTTGTTACCAATATGACGAAAGCAACGCACTTCAAAGCAATGAAGGTGACAGCAAATTGCTTCTTCTATGGTTCCGTCAAAAAGTTCACTGGTCCTTGGACACGCCCACGAATTTTTTATTAAATTAAATAACTAACCAGTGACAAAGATATTTAAGACTAGCTGTTGCTCGCGACTTCGTGCACGTGAAGTTAAAAGAATAGCCTATGTTACTCACAGACTAATTACCTTTCTAACTGTGAAAGAATGTTTAAAATCGGTCCAGTAGTTTTTGAGTTATTTCAATACAAACATACTTTTCTCTTTGTAATATTAGTATAGAAGTATAGTTAAAGATAATTACTACATTAAATTAGGAATAGTTATAAAATAACTTTATTAAAGACAAAACGTTATCTATCTTACTAATGTTATAAATGCAAAAGTTTAGATCGATGTTTGTTTGAGTTTGTAGCCTAAACGGCTGAACGGATCTCGATGAAATTTGGCATAGACGTAAATGATAGTCTGGAAGAACACATAGGCTACTCTCTTTTTTTAATGCCACCCGGATAGAATCCCGTGCGAAGTATTATTTCTAAAAAGATAATAAAATTACTCGATATGTAGCTCGGTCAACTTTGACTATTGAAGCATGCACTAGCGACTTGCCTGATGTACAAAAAGTCGATATTGATCCATTGTTCTTTGTAATGTAGTGTCTTTTGTACTTTTGTAAACACAATTAACTTACAATGCAAGCGTAAAATTTGTGTAGCATTTGGTTTTTAATGTTGTTTTCTACGTATACTTTTTAGACTTGGTAATTTATCGGGTAAAAATAAGTTAAGTTTTTGGGAACATGTATTTTAAAGATTACAAAAAAAATATTTGAAATTTCTTTAATGCGGGTGCACTCCTTTGACTTGAATGTCGAGCTGCGAAACAATCGACAATCGCATAACAGTTGTGCGATAGTTTAGTCAATGGTGTACGCGCGCTATGGTTTTTTTTTCCATTTATTTCTTATGATACTATATGCTGTAATTGTCTCCAACACTTTACACAACATGCGGTACAGCGTGATGGGTCAAGACGATTCCCTGCGTGATTATTAGAGCTCTATTGTTAAAAAATAATGAACGACTTCGCTATCGCCGTGATCTTGAAGCGAGGCTTTGGTCACGAGATCGCACCTTCATTACTCGATAATGATAAAGTAAGACGAAAAGATATTGATAAAAAAAAGTTATTTATCTTTAGATTATAGATGATATTTTGGCAAAATAAGAGAGAAAGGAATCAGATCCTACTTCTACGCGTGTTACAAGCTAGGCAGAGAAAGTAAGTTCCAAGTTGGGTCATAACTGTAGAATCATTCTTACTTCATCCACACTTCTTCCTAATACTATAATGCGTAAGTTTGAATTTTATGATGGATGTATGTTATAAAGTAATTCCAGAGCAATAGACATCGCTGAAAATGGTTGAACGTAGAACGTACAAGAATGAAATATAGAACGTAATTTGGAAGAACATTAGCGATTTTTTTTATTCCAAAAACAATTTAATGGCTACAGCTGGTCGCAAATAAAGCAATACATTACGTAAGTTCCATTTTCATACATTGTAACAGTGTTTCGTGAAGTCGATGACACAAGTAAACACGGCAACAAATACGCCGTTGCGGCATCTAATTAAAACACTTCCCAGGAGATGACACCCAACTATTGAGGACACGGATTCACAAAAAATAATTTATTTTGTCCAATTGATTCAATTTCACTTTTGTTTTCACTTGATTTGAACTGAACTGTTAAACTTTTACCTATACAAGTACAGTTTTAACTGAACAGCTCGACTTTTCAGTGAAAAAAGTCAGAACTGAACATATATGGTAGGTTATTTTGATAACTGTAATATTTTTTTTTTTGTCTTGATAATTGACTCTGTTTTATTTCAAAACAAAACTTAAAAACATTTCAATCTTACTTCTTACTGATATTATAAATGTGAATGTTTAGGTGGCTGTTAGTTAGAGTTCAAAGCCTAAACTGTTGAACGAATCTCGATGAAATGTGGTATAGATGTAGAGCAGTCTGTAAGAGTACATAGGCTACCCACTTTTTTTTTAATGTCACGCGGACGAAAGTTAATATTCAAATTGTTAGGAATAAAATTAGTACCGTGCTATAGAATTGGCGCAACTCTAGATTATCGGCATAAACGGCACGTCCCTAGCTGACAGCTGTCAATGTCACTAGAAGTATGGATAGATTGGCGCGTAACTTGAGTCTTGACGAGAAGTATTGCTCTGAGTTAAAAGCGACAGTATCAATTAAATAAGTTGTCTAATAAAATGAATATACTTAAATAATTTTAAGACAATGCTATAAATTAAAAGTGTTGTAATAAGTTCAATACGAATTGACTAACGTAATGAACTTTAAGTTTTGGCAGCGCGGGATCACGTCTGACTCCTCAAAGACATGAGGCGTGCTCTCCGTCACGTACAACCTTGGGTTACCTATTTATTGTTACGTTTACATATTTATATAATCTAGAATATATGTAAACAAAACAAATCTATTATTATTACAGTTAAAATTTCTTCCACTGTTTACCCTTTCTACTAAGGCATAGCTTATTAATCATAATTAAAATGGAATTGTATAATATGAACTCAATTAGAGAAAGGCTTAATGAGACAATCAAGGAAAGCCCTTTGTTCAGTTTCTTTCCACCCCAACACCAAAAAAATAAATAAAGTGAGTAGCCTATGTGTTCTTCCAAACTGTCCTCTACATCCATACCAAATTTCATCGAAATCCGATGAATCGTTTAGGATACAAACTCTAACAAACATCCATCCATCTAAACTTTTGCATTTAAAATATCCGTATTAAATATTAAGTATGTATAGTATGAATAATATTTGTTTCAGTTCCACACGGACGGAGTCACGAGCATAATCTAGTTAATATTTTTATATCGATGGAATTCTGGTACACGAAAGACAAAATGCAAGGTATTTGATTAATAATTTTAATTAGACCGCAATACCCAGGTTGAGCAAACATTGGAACATGTTTGCAGTAGTTTTGTATAACGGGGGCAAAGTTGAGTTGTAACTTGATTCCTCCCGACTTCTGCTCGGAATAAATATGACGTTTGAACTGACATATTACTCAAGATGGCCGACGTGCTCGCAAATAATAACTGAAATAATAAGTTTGTGCAATTCGAGAAACAAACTAGCTTTATTACTAAATATTTGAGAAAGACGGAAATTCTACCGCCAACAGTACAGTAAATCTAACTATAATGAAAACTAAATGAAAAAAACTAAATAAAGATTACCTACTCATTCTAGAAACTTCTGTATATTATTTCTAGAAGACGACTAGAGATCACAGTAATGATTGAAAATAATTATCGAATTAAGTTTACTAGAAGCTAAGTTCTAACACACACAAGTGCAGTTTGATAACTTTTTAAAGTTGGTTAAAAATCACCATCAACTGGCTGAATACGGTGTTAACGTTGGAATAAGCAAATCGTAACTAAATGTTTTGTCGTAAATCCAGTAACAGACTGAGGCGTGACACGGGATCGCTTTTAATGATACATTTTAGCAAATCTTACGACTTACGTGGATTTGCAAACCGACCATTAACTTTATTAGACACTAAAAGATATAATATGACAAGCTACCAAATTAAATAAGAAGTACGAAAGCGTAAATCGAAACTCTTTCTACTTTCTTGTCTGGATTACCGAAATAACTTAGTTAAAGTATTGTTGAGTAAGCAACATAATTTTTATAGCATTTGCTTTACGTGGATATCAGTCCTAAAAGCTTAAACAAAAGGAAGATGTCGTGCAATATTGATGTGGCATGGCCTATTATAATGAAATACCATCGACTCATTTTATGAACTCTTTTTGAACTCAAGCATCTGCAAAAGGAATTCTATTCATCTGCAATAAGGTACGTTTTATTCAAATTTCGACTAATTAAAGGTAACTGGGTTATCGCATTTGAAGATTCACATAAACGCATTTTACGTGAATGTATGGAGTTATTGCTGAAACTATTGCGAATTGTTACATTAAAAACAGATAAACGTCGTTTTTAGGTTATTTTTTAAGAAAACTTCTGACATGAGATTGAGTAAGATAAGTTGACCATATCAACTTTGTTATTGTCAAAAGTTTAACACGGTTTGATCCAACAAATGGAGTGAAAAAACGCGGCAAATCGAGACGCTTATTATTAGGGGTATATAAATCGTTGTTCTATTAAAGATCAATATAAAACATAAAACTATTTAAAAGAATTTTAGCTTTAATTTTTAGCTATTCAAATACGTTTCAAAGTTACAATTAATAACAATAAAGCACTTTCATTTTTGTCTTTACAATAACTGTCACAGCTGTCATTGATTTTAGATCACAGATTATAAAATTTTGGATACAGATGGTGTGTAATTTGATAACGATCGTTCTGACGGATTCCTATAGAGCTGAAAGCAACTTTCTGATACTTCTTTGTCTGTAAATAGCCTAAGGCTATGTGTAGAGTAGAATTTATTTTAGCCAATACAATAAATGTTAACTACTTTTACTGAACAAAACAATATGAAATCTAGCCCTATATTACAGTTGTAAAACAATGTGTAAGTATAAGAATCCCACAATTTTTAAACTACATAATAGATATTTTATATTTATATCGTAGTAAACGAGTAAGGGGTCACCTAAATTCGACAAAATAGAGAAGTAATCACTGCCCATAGACATAGTGCGCTAAGTTTAATTTTTGTTATTGAAAATACCATGATAGGCCGATGTTTCCTTGAATATTACAATTTTTATTATCAATTTCAAATTTTATTATTCAATCGATGAGATTTAATTATAAATCAAAAACATAGGAATTGCTTCTATATTTAAATCTTTGCAACACACCAGTAATACATGCAACGTAGTTCACAGATCGAAAAACAATTCTATTTCATAAAATCTAGGTAAAATGTAGGACGATCTAGATATTTTTGAACTCTAAAATTGCAGTTATTAAGTGATTACCGAGATGTTACAAATAACGAGATGCACGAACAAAGACATCGTTGTAATCTCATGATATAAAAAAGAAAAAAAAACTTATGGAACAAGGAACATTAAATTTACCTGCAAATGCAAATTGGTAATTAATTTCATATGTAATTCTGAAAGGAGAGGAAAACGAGTACATCGGTACTTTCACATGTTATAAAGAAGTTAGATTTTTGTTTGTATTGAAATAACTCAAAAACTACTATACCAATTTCAAAAATTCTCTTACCATTAAAAAGTTACGTTATCACTGAGTATTTTTTAAATAAGTTAAGCTAACTATATTTTTTCTTTTTTTTTAATTTCACGCGGACGACATCGCAAGATACAGCCTTTCTATATAACATATTCTCAGTTAAAATTGCAATTGTTATTTTGTGTCAACACTGAACATCGAACTCGCTGTTTTTTGTTATGAAATTGAAGTCAATTGTATCTTTACATTATGCCTCCATTAACTTTTACATATGTCATACGCTTACAATATTCTGATGACATTTTGTAGTACGCACTTAGAGTTACTAAATTGCGGAATCTATAGATTTTTTCAGTAGTTAGTTATATTAAAAATGTTACCAGATTTGAATTGGAGACACGTAAGTTAAATTGTCACTAAGGGCGATAACTTAAGAATCAACGGTTAATTGTTAAAGTAAGTGATGTGGGTGTTCTATATTACATTGTTAATAAATTTTGTTACAGATATTATATTTGATAATCTCTGGTGATTGCAACTTTCTTTAAAAAAGCAAAGGGAAAGACTAGCGTGGAAAAAAACACAAAAAAAACAACATTGATTGTTTTATTACTCGGAAACTCACGGATTACGTTAGTTTCAACATTAGGTACGTATTTTGAAACTAAAAAAAATACTCAGGTTTGAAATCCAATTATCGATAGATTTCTAGAAGAAAAATGAAGTGATTGTCAGTTATTATAGCAACACTATCAAGGCTATCAGAGACCAATGTCGACGTATCAGCGAATCTTCAGGTGACCCAGTTTATTTGGGTACGATTTCGAATGGCACCCCTTGCCGCGAAGTGGTGGTTGTTTGGGCAATGCACATAAAATGCCCCGAACGGGACCAACAGTGCACAGTTCGCGCCGACACGCTAGCGCTCCGTACGCACACGGTGAGTTTTTTTTTTTCGTAAAAAGGACAAATGTTTAGTGACAGTTCGGAATTAAAAAAATATAAAGTGTGCAAAGATTAAAAATAATTGTGCCAGTTATTTAGTAGGATGCAAAAATTTTTAAATTAAAAAAAACAATTGATAAAGGATTATCCGTGCAAGAATTAATAATTTTTCTTAACATTATAAGTAAATAAATTTAAAAACACCTAATAAGATGTTAGTTTTTAAGTATCTGTGGGGATTGGATTTTATAATTCCGCCCGCCTTTCGTTTCATATGTTACTTACATTCGTTTCTGTTTCAATGATTGATAATATTTAGACATCTCGATTTATTTAAGCCAACTAAATGTCCACAAAACATTGAATTTATTCCCAATAATAGTTTTTTTATCCACAAAAAACCCGAAGAGAAACTACAGTTATTTATTTATTAGCAAACGTACATTAGTCACACAGTTAAGTGCTCTTATTTAATCTACATGTACCATTAACAGTTCGTGTTGTCACTTCAAACAATGGACGTTCGCATGCGTTATCGCCGTCTCCATTGCGCTCTCATCACCTGATGATATTATCTAACGCCGGCCAAATGGAGCAATGATGTCTCGTACTGCGAATTTATCTGTTTTAATTCTATGTTAATTAATTCGCGCGATTAAACATCTTAATTAAGTTACAACAGTTACGTGAGAGTAATTATCTATTTGTAAAAAGTTTTATAGTTTTAATTACAACTTAACTAATTTTGGATGTTAAATGCATAATAGGCCAGAAAAAACGCATAGAGTCGTGTCAGTCCTATACTTTGCCTTATTTTTAACATGTTTTATTGTGACATAAAATCTGATATCTTTTACTTTGTATTTCAACTGAGCAATCAATTAAATTTTCAACTGACAACTGTATTACCAACACTCGTTGCCAACTGTGATTGTAATGTGTTTGTAAAAACAGCAGATAACAGCGTTTTCCCACCACGAGGGCAATTAGGCGGTCTGTTGAACCGCGCGGCTCGGTATCACTTGGGTCACGATTTACCTATCCAATGCGATATTTTACAATCAATAGATTATACAGAACTATAGTCAAATAAGTTTGTTGTGCTATGTGAAAAGCACTGCTATAGGTTCGTTCTGAAAGGACGCTTGTGAGTTCTAATAATAACTTGTCAGGCTATATTAAAAACTAGCTGTTCCTCACGACTTACCGCATGAAATTAAAAAATATAGCCTAAGTTACTCACCGATAAATTACCTTTCTAAATGTGAAAGAATTTTTAAAATCGACCCAGTAATTTTTGCGTATTTCAATACATACAAAAACACAAATCTTTCTTCTTTATTATATTAGTATAGATGTATAGATATATATTATTATTAACGTGTATATGTACGATTATATTAAAGATTACACCTTCAATAACTGCACAGTTTTAACTGGTAACTGAATGGTACAACTGTGCGGTTAAAACGTACGTGTATTTTCATTTTCCAACGTCTATAAGGATCGAATATATTGTAGTTAAATTTTTCTAAAAGATATTTGTATTTTTTCAGATTTAGTTTAAGGACAATGAGGAGCACCAACGACATGTTTCGTTTGACAACGTTTTTCAGTAAGTATTATTATCAGCAGACGTCCCCTTTGAAAGACTAAGAGCCACCCTAAGTTAGGTGTTAACCATAATAGTATTATTGCAATGCTATACGTGTGCAAATTTTATAAAGCTTTTAATACGAAACTGGCTTGTTTCCAACATCTCGAGTTATAAGTTACGAAACATTAAATCCTAAATAAGAAACGATTGAATATTACTTAGTTATAACGTTACCACAAAAACGCGTGTAAAACCTTTGTGCGATGTTGTCTAGCATTATGCGGGGAAAAATAAAAGTATCAAAAGCTTTAGTGAACACAAAATGGACACTAATGACAGTCTAATTGAAAGATTAGATCTACAAGTGAATAGTCATTCTTTTGTTTGCTTTTTAAACTAAAAAGGATTAATCATTGCGGGGTCAAGATGGAGAGAGTAAATTAGCGATTTTTTGACCAATTCTATTATATCCAGATTAGTATAATTCAATGTAATTGGTTAAGTTTTGACGAAGTTTAATACTATGTAAGATAGAGTTAAGTCTGATACATAAGTGAAAAAAGTGGAAATATTGTGAAAGCGGGGTTTTCAGGACGAAACTTAACGTCCTATTTACAAATCTGCTTTTCATAAAATTTAATTAACTAGTTATTGTAACTATTTTCGGTTAACATAAGACGTCTAATAAGGAATACAGATGGAGTAGTTATAACTATTATAAGTGTTAGATAACAATACCGTTATAGTTAGCATGTGCAGAACTTTGTACCTCACAATAACATCCGAGAGGTGTCGTTAAATAACATTCTAAGAGAAATTATATGATTTCAAAAGGTTCCTTATATTCTCATTTACCAAGTATGTTAGATATTAAATTATGTTCGGTTTTATGAAAACGATTTTTAAGGCAGACACACATCTATAATAGAGATGGATGGATTGCGTGAAAGGTGACATGATCGAAAAGGGTGTGATGACAGAGATGACGTACGATTACGATAGACTTATTTAGGGGACAAAAACCTGTTGCGCCGACCTTACCTGAATATGATAAGGAGGATGTGATAATCTGTAACTGATTGTAATTTCTCTCTAGGCTTAACAACAGTGTTGTTTCCTATTAGCAGACAAACTTTTTTTTTAATTCATACGTATTCCAAGTTAGTTAGTTAATTATATGAACATGAAATGCTAAAGTAAACAATCATTGTCTGTACAAGTCCATTAACTTGTAAATACCGACTTCTGTTTGTAATAAGTGATTTCGAAACGCATTGTGCTCTCGCTACGAGAGTACCAGCTCTAAGAAACGAACGACAAACAAAATGTCAACTTGCGCGGGAAAATCGACAAGGACGCGTTTGTTGGCGTATCCGGCGGGAAACGTGGCTGTTTCTTGTCTATGACATACACACTTTCAGTTTTAACTACATAGTTAACATTAAAAACAAATGAAATAAATAAATAGAATAAAATAACATTTAATCTTATCACCACTTTAACACAATTAGGAATTAAAGAAAAAAACAACAAAGTAATTAAAAAAAACGGGATAATAAACACGGAATTAAAGGACAAACAAAGTATTTATGTGTATTGCAAATGCTGACCGGATTGGGTCCTCTCTCAGCTATAAATGCTGGATGCTTCTTATCGAAGTACCCAGCGTTAATCTTCCGCGAGAACCCTTGGGATCATCCACACGTCAGTAGTAGCAGTAGATAGGCAGAAATTATCAATTTACATACATTTGAGTCAATAAAGTGAAAGAAAAAAGTAACTGCATAAATATGTGCCAAAGATAAGAGAAAGAAGAAGATAATGACAACACATAGATTAAAAGGGGTCCCAGCTAACGACATATTAACTACACACGCACAGATTGCGAAGGCAAAATTTGAACTGTCGGTTACAATGTAGTTCCTGTTAAAATGTTGTCTATACTTTCAGTTTTAACTATGCAGTTCGACTGTTCCATTATATCGGGCTTTACAGACTACGTAATGTATCTAAGAAAGTAACTAGTTATATTCATTTCTGAAACTAGCAAGTTCAAGTATCTCCTAGTCTGTCTGTAGAAGTTTTCTAAACTCTTGATCCGCGATACGTACGAACCTCTTGGCTTCATAATAAAAGGTTAAAATAACTTTAAACTAGATATATTAGTGTACCAAAATGTAAAACAATAATATCTGGAATTTATGTATGCAAAGTATACTTAGCAGAACTAATTGTGCAAACAGTAAAATCAAAGACGCGCACTTCAAACATTAAAGCTACGCCATCTCGTGACTAATGCCCGGTTCACACTTAGCCAGTACAGTTGGACAGTTGCGACGGCAAGCGACACTCATTGGCGCCTATTAGCATTCATATTCTGCCAACGGTCCAATCTCTCTACTTACCTGTACTGTCCAAGTGTAAACCGCGCACAATTTAGCAAAACACAAGACAATCTTTGAAGGCTCACATCGTTTCAGTCGTATTGCACAAGTAGGGCGTCGATGAATGCTGCATTACACCAACAACTAAAACTACAAATCATTATAAAAGCATACTTAGCTTACAAAGCCTCTATACAAGAAAATCTTTAAGTAAATACTCAGCTAAGCAATATATCTCTTAGCGATGCTAAACGTATTGTAGTACTTAGTAGATATTCACTTAAATGGATGACTCGATGAGACTAACTCGGAGCGCACCATCGTACAGCTGCATAGAATATACAACAAAAATTTGACATCGAAACTAATAACTACAAGTGTACACACACTACCATTTGGATTATTAAAAAATCATCAAATCAATCGACCAGCTTCTGAGGTAGAAAATAGCACATGAAAAAATATAGAAGTCACTAGCTTTCGCCCGCGACTTCCGCGTGGAATTAAAAAAAAACTGACTAGATTATGTGTTCTTACAGACTATCCTCTACGTCTATACCAAATTTCCTCGAAATCCGTTTAGCCGTTTTGACTACATAGACTAACAAACATCCATCCATCTAAACTTTCGCATTTATAATATACAAGCTTTAGCCCGCGACTACGTCCGCGTGGAATTAAAAAGAAAACAAAAGTGAGTAGCCCATGTGTTCTTCCAGACTATCCATTACATCTATACCAAATTTCATTGAAATCTGTTTAGCCATTTAGGCTACAAACTCTAACAAACATCCATCTAAACTTTCGCATTTATAATATTAGTATGAAGTATGATAGTCGTAGTTAGTATAGATGGTGATAACCTCCTCCTTTTGTAAGTCAGTTAATATAAATCTTCACTTCAGGGTTAATCGAGTCTGCCGCTCACGGACGCACATTGTGTAACTCGCACAGATAAATTTTACATCTTAATCGTATTCAAGTAAATGAGAGAAGTTTCTATTGTTACTTCGCTGATTCACTTTACGAAATCACCATTAACAAACTTAACGTCTGCAAGACAAGTTCGCGCGTTTAACACTTACGCACTTTTGTCTTCTTGTAGTTTGTGAAATGCGGTTTATTCAATTGATAATATGATAAACACAGAGATATAAGACCTGTGAATAAATGACATCATACAATAAAAATCATATACGAAATGTGTTCACGTTACTTTCTCGATTTAGCTTTTTTACTGCACTTACCTAACATACAATGTTCCTTTAATCAATTCAGTCGTTCCTTGACAGAACCTTAATATAGAACAAAGTCTGTTGGTTATGTCGCAGCTTCCTTGTCTGTTTGGACCAATTCGTGCGCGACGGTCACGTGCACAGCCGAGTGCAAATCGGAATGACCTGCACTAGCAGGTCATTCCGATAGTATACTTCCCAGTTACATTGTTCTATCTGACGATGCACGATCGATAGCAAAGTAATGGTTTAGAGCGCGCGGACACTATTTAAAAAAATATCGCACAACTGTTTACTCTCGCTTTGATTCCAATGAGCTTATATGAAGATACTAGACTTTTAGTTGTGCAACTAAACTGTTGAATGGGTTGCGACACAATGAACAATCGCACAACAGTTTTGCGATATTTTGGTTCAAAGGTGAAGGCCACCGATGGTGTCTCAATATACAAGAAAAAAAACCCATTGGTATGAGCAAGAACGTACTAAAACACGCTTTGCTATCTGAAACACGTGCTAAAATATTTTTTTTAGGCGAAAACTTTTTTAAATCGTTGGTTATTATTAGTATGTATGTTATTTACTCTTGATAATTTTGAACAAGTATTTTGTTTTTTTGCATTCAAATATAAGATCTAGACTTTCACTAGATAAGAGTCGAAAAATAAATCTATTTCCACTTAGAATCATTAATCAGTATAAGGATTTCAACATGTTACAATAACATTTATTGCGGAAACAAATGAGTACAATAGACGAACAATATGTAAATTTGAATCCAAAGAATATGTACCGTACTTGAAGTACCTAAAATAAATAAAAAAAACAAAAGACAAATAGTTATAATAATTGATTAAGCACATAAAAATAACCCCCCCCCCCTCGTAATGACCCTAAAACCATTTGGTACAAAGTATGCTAACCAAACAATGAAAAAGATTACATTTTCAACAGATATAATTTCTTATTATATCCATTAGTACATAAGAATTGCGGCGTATGTATTTTTTGTGGCGAAATATATTTAAAAGCAAATAGGGGCCGCAATGTACCGCACAATCAATTTAATACTAGGCTGAACCCAATGAGTAAAATTATGTCCATTGATGCCATTTCCCCATTAGATGTATTGCGAAAGTGAAAGATGGGATATGATCACGCGATGTTAGTTGCTTACGGGGCTGCCAACGTGCATATTTTAAAACACATCGTTTTAAATACCTAGGAGTTTAATTTTTTTCTGTGACATCTTTAGTACCAAGATGAGAGAGAAATTAAGTTTTACGGAAATACAAAAAAAAATTTACAAATCAAGGATATTGTTGAATTCATTTAGTGGCAACCATATAATAACTACGTACAATATCTAACACATTTAGCGGTTCTCAGCTCACCATTATGCCTCGAGGATGGGATTAGATAAATACTAAGGCACCTTCAAGAATAATATAGACATTACACCGTAACCACTTTAAATAACGATAATAATGACCGACAATTTCACAGTTGAATAACTAACAAGCTGTTGAATTTTCATACATACAAGTGGTGTCATTGCAACGTATTTAAATAAACCTAAGAAGCTGCAAATGTTCGAAGTATTCACCAACTTCACGTAAAAATACTTTAATTACTCATTAATCCCGTTCTTTTGTTTCAGTTCTTCTGGCATCAACCTTCGCCCAAAAAGGTTACGAATACAATAAACCAGGTACACCCTTTAACCAGGGACCTCAGCAAAATGGACCAGGATACCCAGGACAAACAGGCTCTTCAGTCAATCAGTATCCTTCATCACCTACATCACCATCTTACCCTAATCAACAAAACGATGCTTATCCAAGTGGTGGTGCCGGACCGACACCCGGGTACCCATCTGGACCTTCAAACTACCCTTCTGCCGGAGCTAACCAAAACTACCCAGGAAATAACCAACCTCAAACTGGATATCCCGGATCAGTCCCATCTTATCCAAATCAAGGAATTACTGGTCCCAGTACAAGCTATCCCGGGCAAACAGGGTCCAATTACCCAGGACAATCTCAAAACTTCCCCAACCAAAATGGACAAACAGCAGGTCGGCCCGGAATTTCTAACACAAGTCCCAGTAACTCCGGTGCTCCGAGTTTGATTCCTAGCTCACCTGGATTTGGACCTACCACACCCGGATTCGGCCCTGTGTCACCTGGATTCAGACCTGGATCACCTGGATTTGGCCCTGGATCGCCTGGTTTTGGACCAGGGTCTCCTGGATTTGGCCCTGGCAGTCCTGGTTTCGGCGGAGATGACACGGGAGCGTACGAAGGTGGTGACTACTCGGCTATACCTGGAGAGCCAGATAAAGACTATCCTATACTCTCTGAGATACCTGAAACTAGTTTTAGCTGTGGGGCACAACCTTATCCTGGGTACTACGCTGATATTGAGACTCGCTGTCAAGTTTTCCATGTGTGTGCCAACAATATCACATATGACTTCCTTTGCCCCAACGGTACGATTTTCTCTCAAGAAGTTTTTGTTTGCGTCTGGTGGAATCAGTTTGACTGCAACTCTGCGCCCAGTTTCTTTGAACTTAATGCCAATCTATATGATTACTCCATAAAAGGACCTGGACTAACAGATTTTGGCCAACAACAAGGATCGCCTTTCCCTGGAAATGTTGGCCCTCAGGGCCCGTCAAACTACCCGAATATACCAGGTACATCTCCCGGGATTCAAGGAACGGTAGGTCCTTCAGATTATCCTGGATCCACAGGACCACAGGGATCTCAAGGTGCATCATCTTATCCTATTGGTCCTCAAGGACCGTCGCAGAATTATCCCTCAGGCCAAGGTACTCAGAGCCCACAAGGGCCATCTTCCTTCCCAAATCAACAAGGCCCATCATACCCTGGACAAAGCTCATCATATCCTGGCCAACAAGGTTCATCTTCCTATCCAGGTCAGCAAGGTCCCTCTTCCACGTATCCAGGCCAACAAAGCCCTTCCCCTTCTTACCCGGGACAACAGGGTCCGTCATCGTCTTACCCTGGGCAACAAGGGGGCACGTCTTCTTACCCTGGACAACAGGGAGGACCGTCCTCTTACCCTGGTAGCTCTGGATATCCAACATCAACATCATCATCTCAAGGTCAACAAGGATCTAACTATCCATCATCTCAAAGTCAATCGAATTACCCTGGTGGCAGTCAAGGATACCCATCTGGAAAACCTAATGGGCCCAGTTTCCCAAGTGGCAGTACAAGGCCTCAGGGCGACAGGTATCCATCACAACAACCGAACAGGGAGTACCTTCCTCCTAGAAATCAATAACAAGTCCGTACCAACGACCATAGCATTCTTAAATGTTTAACTCATAGATTAGTATTCTAAGTACAAAAAGTATTATGTATGTTAAAGATTGTAAAATTTAATGCCAGTATGATGCGTTGTCAAACGAGTTAGTTGGTGCTACAGAAATATTAGATATATACGTATAGTTATTAGATAACTATTTGACTAATAAGTCTTCGTAACTTTGTTACAAATAAGGAAAATCACTACGGACTTAAATTGTGATTAAGGAAATTTGAAATGCGATTCCGATTTAACGAAAGTTACCAAAACTAGCTCGTAGTTTTTTAAAAATGAAGAAAAAAATTGATATAAGTATGTGAATTTTTATACGTTTTTGTAAATAATTAATAAAATATTTTTGCAATAATTCTTTTGTTTTATTTCTTCAATATGAAATAATTAAATGTGTTTTTCGCTTACGTCAAGGTTTATAATTGTTTGTAAGCTAGAGCCCTCCTAGTAGAAATCATAAATCACTGCGTCTGAAAATGGCACAAATATGCTTCATCATTCGGAATGAGGTTACTATTCCCCGAAGAGCATTTGCGTTTATCCGAGTTGCTATCAAAGAAAGAGCTTTCAATTAGGATTAAAATATTTTGTGGTAGGTGCAGAAGCAGGTATGAGAGTCGAATCAAAGAGTTGCTCAGCAATAAAAGGTTGTCTAATAAGTTCAAACAAAAACTGCCATAAACCCATAAGATACTTGTAAAATACATAGAGCGTCTACGAGTTTTAAGAGTTGTAAGCCCTTAGCCCTTAGTACTTAATTGGGAATTCATTAGAGCTGTAAGATTAATTTAAAAAAAAAACACCTTCACATTATGGTCACAATGAACACAAACAATAAGACGTGTTTAAATCAGCTCAGAACCGGTTCAACAGATCAGCTCATTTAGCCTTGAACCATTGAGCTACGACTCAACAACTGAATTAGCATTTCGTGGATGAACGCGATCTAATACTATAATTATGGAAAGTGATGAGCCGCAAATTGCCCAGAGACTCGCAACTACTACAATCTTACCACTGAGCATACACATTGAGTTAATCTGTGAGTCGATTGCCTGATCTGCTTCAGCCACAAATCACTCCCAACTGTGATCTGTAGGTTACCAATTTAAGTTTAGATATTTCGGCTCATAGAGACGTATGGAAGAGCAGTACATATTGTGTGCCGACATTACGTATGGACAAGGGCAGCCGGTTGATAACTGAAATAATTTAATGAAAGGTATTTTTAGTTTTTTTGGGTGATACATAACTATTTTTGAAGTGCAAATAACTGGCAACAATAAATTGACAGTTTAATTTCATGATGGGTGAAATGACTTTAGTTCTTTAGGTCCTCTGATTAAATAGACCGTATATTACATCTATCCATCCATCCTACAATCCCATATTCTATTTCAGGTCCTAGGTTATTACAAAATTTTTCCAGTATACTATTTAACAATTTACCGGTTAACTTCAACAGCGATTCCTCTTCAAACATTTGTTCGTGACAAGGTAAATATGACATTACATTACTATTTTCTTTACTATCATTTTTTATAAATACATTTTTTTGAGTTGACGACCTAATGTATTCTTGATTCGGCTATTTTTTCTATTTTCGCTCTAACACTGTAACATGAAACTGGAGTGTTAGGTAAAAGGGTGGAGACGGTATTGATTTTCAAACTACAATTTAATATTTGACTAAACTGTGTAGTATTTTTTATTAGTTCTGGAATTAGACTAATGTTGGAAATTATCTAACCAGAATTTTTTTGTATAGAATTTAATTAGTATGTACATTTGCTCTATACAATTCAGTATAAGATAGATATAAAATAAATATTTGATTTTTTTTCAAACTTTTTTGACAGAAAACACAAAAATGAGTAAGCCGGAAAATAAGAAACCACAAGAATTCCAGTAAGTTGGGTTTATTTTATTTTAAAACCATAGAGAATAAAATTAATCAAATACAGAATAGACATTAGAATCATTAAGTTACAAATGCCTCAATTTTATTGTAAACTTAGTTATAAAAATCATTGCTTAAAACCACAATGTTGCTTACATCTTTCTAATATTATCAATGTGAATGTTTAAATAGATGGATGGATATCTGAAGGTATCTCCAGATAGGCTTAACAGATCTTGTTAAAATTTGGCACAAGTGTACAGCAAAGTCTTGAAGAACACAGACTAAGTCGCAGGCAATAGGTTTTAGTATTACATAACACTTATTCCACAACTTATATTATTTCAACTTTATTCAAATAAGATTGTGAAGTTTCATTGTCAGCTTTGTTATTTATGTCTGCAGTATATTAGAGAAGATTGTAGAAGAACCAAATTCTTCAACCATAATTGTGTAGAAAATCAGTTGTTTTACCTTAATAAGATTCTTACTAGGTGCCCATATTTTTAATATAAATTTCCTTTTTTGAAATGTTAATGTTAACAAATTAATTTCTTACACTTTTTATTAAATATTGTTATGCATTTTTTAAATATGTTTGATATATTCAACATTTCAATTACTTAAGTTAATTTTTTATCAATATACAGTTCAAAAAAATTGCCAGTGTTTAAAACTATTTTTTACAAATATACCAGCTTTTGCCTGTGACTCCATTTATGTGGAATTGAAACAAACCAAGGGATGAATAGCCTATGTGTTCTCCCAGACTATCTTCTACATCTGTACCAACTTTTATCAAAATCCATTTAGCCGTTTAGGCTACAAACTAACAAAAATCCATCCATCTAATCTTTCGCATTTATAGTATTAGCATGATTCTAAGGTCAAAGCTGTTTTAGTTAAAGTAAAAAAGAGTAAAGTACCATTAACATAGTTTAGCCTCACAATGATCACTATTTAACTAATTATGGGACAATTTAAATTAAGTATTGTTTAAATAAAACCTTAAACTCTTGGGAATAGAGTCTAAAAACCATTGCATGTATCAATTTGTTACTGTCATTGAAAAGTATAGACTCGAACCAATTTATCTTTATGTCGGAGTTTTCATTGCTGGTACACATGTACAGAAACATAGGCATCACCCTCATTCTCTTTAGAAAAAAAAGAACCGCAATAGGTTTTTTATAGATATTTCTCTAGTGGAAATTCCCTGTTATACATGTTAAGATAATAAAACAGTGAATTTGCTTAAAGAACATGTTAAGTTGGCAAGTTAACTAGTTTGTCTCAAGGTGACTTTTGCATGCAGACTTGTATCTAGTAAATTTAATTTAATTTGCATATTATACTTATTTGTCTGCTTATATTTACTTATGAAAGATTTTGTGAAACAAACACAAGATTTTGCATTACAATACAACAGTATAAACGCAAACTATCTCTGATTTTTGAGTGCCTTTGACGGAAATTCTAAAAAACAATTTTGTGACGTCATCAACAAAATTCTAATACTTTGAATAAACAAAGATAACAATATTTTCGTTTAAATATTTCATCAGAATCATAATAAAAACCCCATATTTGTTTTTAATTTCAGTCTTCTGCCAAAAATCATCAATGGCAGTATCGCGGGTATTGTCGGAGTGTCCGTGGTCTTCCCCATCGACTTGGTGAAGACCAGGTTGCAGAATCAAACCATCGGACCAAAGGGCGAGAAGCAATATGCCAATATGTAAGTGACTTACAAATCTTTTGTGTTCCAATCTTTATCTTTTGTTACCACGATACCTGAAATTGTGTTCTACACTGTAGTGATACAGCTGTCCCCCTCTAGTAACTAGCTGTTCCCATGCGGCTACATCCACATGAAATTATTATATCAAAATTCAAATGCACAAATGACAACAAAGGCCTTTGATATTAGATAACAGTTACCGTTACCATAGCAACCATGTTTTGATGTCAGCTTTTAGTTTTTATCCCTTTCCTGCATTTCCTTTTTTTTTTTTCAAATTATTTACTCTAAGATTTATAGTGTGAAAATATGTAGTATAAAGCGTATCTTGAGTGTAGGGCATGTTATAAAAAAATGTATTTACTCAAAAATATACTGTGATTGCTGACATCCTACATAACTATGTTTAAAAAAAAATAAAACAATGTTTAATCCTTGTCAACACTACAATTATGAAAAAAAAATTATCAAACACAAAATAATGAGAAACGTAACTAATGAAATGAAAAAAAAGAAAAAAGGTATATTTAAAATTAGTGTTGCAATGCTGACCGGATTGGGCCCTCGCTCAGCTATAAATGCTGGATGCCACTATTGAAGTACCAGCGCTGATCTTCCGCAATCCGCTGATCTTCTTTACACTTTTTATTAATAAAGTAAATAAGGTGTGGATGATTTTTTATGTTATTTGTCCTTTGTCCAGGTTGGATTGTTTCAAGCAAACATATCGTGCGGAGGGCTACTTTGGAATGTACCGTGGCTCTGGTGTCAATATTTTGCTGATCACGCCAGAGAAGGCCATCAAGTTAGCTGCCAACGATCTCTTCAGATTCTATCTCACCAAACCTGATGGGTATGTCTTAACATTAGTTTTCACCACCCTGTGTTCAGAATATTATTATCCTGCTCATTCTGTTTGTAAAAAGAGAGATAACAATATGGTTTGATTAAACTTTTTAGGTAGTAGAAATTTACGGTCAGATTTAACATATCTTGCTTACTAATTTTATAATTGCGAAAGTTTGGATGGATGTTAGCAAGTCCAGAATATCTTAACAGATCTAGATTAAATTGGAATAGGGATAACAGCCCAATAGGGCATAGACTATTTAGTTTTTTTTTTATTTTGGATGTACAAAGTTGCGGACTACAGTTTATATCAATTGAAATCAAAGCGATTCTTGATTGTAATTGATTACAAATGTATTATCTTAGTTGTAGTTTAGATAACATATTCTCTAATAGATATTATTGAGGTAATTGTATTATTGTAACGCAGTGTACAGTTTTTCTATTTCTCATTATTGTTATTTTTTTTTATAACATAATGTGGCAAACGAGCAAGCGGCCACCCGAATCCGCCAAAATGGCGAAGCGACCGCTGCCCATAGACATCCGCAATTGCAGATACGTTGCCTACCCTTATCCGACGGAGGAGACGCACATAAAGAGGATATTTCCCCTTCCTATGCATCTCCTCCACTGTCAAATCCACTTACCCTTCCCATTCTCTCCTTATGAGAAAAGGGTGGTAAGGAGTAAGGGACTTCATTTACATAATGTTTTCAATTATGAGAATATTTTATATATAAAGTGTAAATTACTGGAGAAATAATCCTTTGATATTTAAACAAATCTAATTAAAATATAAGTGGCTACTATTTAAGCAAAACAACCTTATTTCATATAAATATTATAAATGCGAAAGTAACGATAGATGGATGTTTGTTATAGTTTGTAGCCTAAATGGCTGAACGGATTTCGATGATATTTGGTATAGATGTAGAGGATAGTATGGAAGAACACATAGGCTACTTATTTTTGTTGTTTTTTTTTAATACCACGCCAACGAAATTGCGGGCGACTTGTATATGTAATAATGAAATCTAAGGAATTTACGGTTTTTATATATGTTTCATAATAGTATGAGAATTCACATTATTGTATGATCTCAGAAAATTAACTGTTTGCTAATTTTTTGTGTCTAAAATCTATATTATAATGCTTTAACAACACAATATGTAGCTATCAATCTCGTTATCACATCAACGTCAAGATACGAACTGTTTCGTCATGTCTATATATGGATAAGATAGTGTTGACCAAACCCCCAAAACGTGTACTACTGTACTGTAATAGTCGTTTAAACTTTTTTTACGCACGGACACCACGACCTGGAATCTATTCATATTCAATACAGTAGAACCTCGTTAACATGAAAACCTCTATAAGTTCAAAAAATATGTTTTTTCCCATCAGAGCCCAAAACCTCTACAACATAGACCCTTGATAACTCAAAACCTCTATAACTTAAAATATTTTGTTTCCCTTGGATTTTAACTTGTCGAGGTTCTACTGTAGTAGATTTTTGTAAATTCCTACAGGCCTAGAGGCTTTTATGGATATGTTTTACAATAGTCGAATGGTGGGATTAGAACCCTCGACCGCATGATCGGAAATCCGTACGAACCATAAGGCTATTGGCGCAGTTTTTAGGTAAAAGGTCTATCAATGACACGACTTCTTTTTACTATTATCCTATCGTTTGCGCAACTCACTGCAGTCTAATTGGTTATTTATAAGAAGGGGCGAGGTTTGTCTCGCAAGGAACAAGGCAATTTTTCCATAAGTGGAACGCCGCAAAGGACTGACATTATGTTATAGTAGCTTTCGACCGCGACTTCGTCTTTGAGGAATTATTAGAAACAAAAGCAAGTAGCTTAGGTGTTCTTCAAGACTTATTTTGTCCTATTTTATTGAGATCCGTTCAGCAGTAAGCCTAAAGGCTACAAACTCTAACATCCATTTATCTAAATTGTCGTATTTTTAATATTAATATGATTTCAAATAAGGAAGTATGTTAAAATAAAATTCATCTAATGTAGAAATAATAGAAATGATAGCTTTTTATGTTATTTGTTACAGTACAAAATATATTTTTAAATAGAATACTAAGGACCTGTTCCACCAAATTGTAAATTGTCTGACAACAATCCAACGTGTAAAATATGTGATGGAAATATCGGATTTTGTTCCCTTACCTGACAGTGACGTTATTTTTAAGCTATCTGAGCCCCTATCAGCCAGTGGTGGGACAGGTCCTAAATATATTTACATTGTAGGTCGCTACCACTAACGAGTCAGATGTTGGCTGGCGGCAGTGCGGGCGCGTGTCAGATCGTCATCACCACGCCCATGGAACTGCTCAAGATTCAAATGCAGGACGCGGGCAGGGTGGCAGCACAAGCTAAAAAAGGTACATTGACTATACCGCACACAGAATTCATTAACACTTATAGTTGCTTGGTGTATTTCGTATTCCATTTATATATCAAAGCAGATTAAGTAAACATTATTAAATAATACTTTTTTTTTTAGTTTTAATAGTAAAAATATATTTATAATTTTTTTAATGCTTCGAATTTTTGTTAATTAATCAACAAGTGAAAGAAACAATTTTTAAAATTGCACTGAATGTTTAATACTTTTTTTCTAGAGATAAGCTAATAATTCAAAAGAATAATATATCAATTTAAAAAATCTGTCTTGTGTGGTCGCGGTATTACACCGGGCGAGCCGAGCCTGCAGTGCGAAGATGTTGATGCGGGTTCCACTGTTAAAAAAGTATTAGTGGTAGAGCCCGTAAATAGTTATATAAGGATATTTCCCACCCGTCACCCCACTCTGTCCCCACGTGAGGACAGATGAGAATAAAAAGGTTCATTCGTCGTAGCTTTTGCGATGAAGGGACAGTTGAACCTTTTTTTATTTCATGACTAGCTTTCGCTCGCAAATCAAATCGAATAAAAAAAAACAAAAATGGATAGCTTATGTGTTCTTCCAGACTATCCTCTACATCTATACCAATTTTCATCGAAATCCGTTCAGCCGTTTAGACTACAAAGTCTAACAAACATCCATCCATCCATCTAAACTTTCGCATTTATAATATTAGTATGATTACTATGATGGTTCCATCTGTCACCTTATTGGTGATAGTGGGACTGAAAGGTGGGACGGATGAAATTTTATTCTCACATAGGGACAGCGAGGTGACGGTTGGGAATAACCCTTATATAAATGCAGTTGTATTTATGTTGTTGCAACAATGCAGAGGGCCGCAAGGTGGAGCGGCTGACGGCGACAGCGCTGACGCGGCGGCTGCTGGCGGAGCGCGGCATCCTCGGCCTGTACCGCGGCGTCACCGCCACCGCCGGCCGCGACATCTCCTTCAGCATCATCTACTTCCCCATGTTCGCCATCCTCAACGACATGGGCGCCAAGGACGGACAGGCCCCGCCCTTCTGGTGACTTCAGTACACTGTATTCTATACTAGCAGTTGCTCGCGACTTCGCACGCGTGAAATTAATAACAAAAATAGAGCCTATGTCACTCACTGATAACGCTACTTTTTAATGGTGAAAGAATTTTTGCAACCAGTCCAGTAGTTTTTGAGTTATTTCAATACATATAAAAATACAAATCTTTCCTCTTTATAGTATAAGTATAGACTAGTTGTTGCTCGCGACTTCATTTCCGTTGAATTAAAAAAAATTACACACTCGTTCAAAATTGATTGACAATTTTATGTTATAGAAGTTGTGGAATTTCTTCAACTTACTGAGGGTCGATACAGAGATTATTTAGTTAAGTAAAGAGGTTGCATATTTTAAGAGGTTTTGGGCTCCAGTGAGAAGGGAGTATATTATTTTTAAAAGTTATAAAGGTTTTTAAGTTACCGAGGTTTTATTGCAGTATGAATAGGTAATAATACAAATGCAGGTGGTCGTTCCTGGCGGGGTGCACGGCGGGCTCCACGGCCGCGCTCGCTGTCAACCCCATGGACGTGGTGAAGACGCGCATGCAGACCCTCTCCAAGGGCAGCAATGAGAAGCAATATACCTCCATCATGGATTGTATCACGTGAGTCATTTTTATAGAGCTCCCGCCAGCAAACTTTGTTAGTGCGGTTTAAAAAAATGGCCGTCTCTAACTACATTACGGCAGCCTCTCGTAGCAAATACATAGTACCCAGAATTAATAATTACGGCGAATAGAACAATAGGAAAACGTCAATCAATATATCCTCCTGATATCTGAATTAAAATTCAATTCAAAATTCATATCTAAATTCAAAATGTAAATTGTTAAAAAAGTGTGTAAAACTATCTTTTTGAAAATAGTCCATGATTTTTTGTATTTTTATAAACACTATGTAAGTATGTATTTTATACAATTGACACAAAAAAAAATACACAACTACACCACATTACTACACTCTATATAATATTGTGACACCGCACCCGCGGACAAACCAATTATATGGTTTTGCGAGGCTATATTTTAACAGTGGTAGAGCCCGCTTTAACATCTGCGCACGAATGGGCCGGCTCGCCCCCAGCAATACCACGACAACATAGAAAATAGGCGTGAAGTGGAACCAATTCCGCGTTTAGTCTGATGAGTGTGGTGCCGGAGGCATCATTTTAGTCCCTTTCCATTTCCACCCTTTTCTTAAGAGGATAGGATAGGAATGAAAAGTGGATTTAACAGTGGAGGGGACGCATAGGAAGGGAAAATGTCTTAATATGCGTCTCCTCCTCCTTCAATCAAGGGTAGGCAACGCATCTGAAATTGCGGATGTCTATGGGCAACGGTCGAGATCCATTTCACTAGATTCAGGTGGCCGCTTGCTCGTTTGCTATTTTATATTATTAAAAAACTGTTTGTATATATATTTAAACTTTGTTTTTTTGTATACTTTTCAATAAAAAAAAGCATAACTATGTACCGTAATCTTAATGGGTCTCGATATCATTTTTCAAGACGTAGAGAAATGTCTGGAAGAACAAGGCTTCTTTTGTATTTTTTTAATTCCACGCGATACAGTCGCAGGAAATGTCAAGTTTAGTTTTAAATTATCTATTAAATTTATATGTATTTTCAGTACAACATTGAAACGGGAAGGTGTGACCGCGTTCTTCAAGGGCGGGGCGTGTCGTATGATGGTTATCGCGCCGCTGTTCGGTATCGCACAGACCGTTTATTATATTGGTATAGCCGAATACTTACTGGGATATAAGTAAATGTACCCCGTTCCTCTCAATCCGTGTTACTTTGGCTGTTTACGTTGTAAGTTCCTAAAAGGTTCAAATTAATAGCTTTACCGTTTGTTTCTATTTCCGAAATACTAATATCTCTTTTTTTCTCGAAAAGAATGAAAGAGATGTACAAATTCAATTGTGTGAGAATTTAAATTAACATTTTAGGATATAGTTTTTCATTTCTGTTGAATTGGAGTATTTCGATTGTGGAAACAACGGTTATACTTTCTTATGTATTATGCTGGGAGAGTTTAAATAACATTTACGAAATAATATTTAAATATATCCAAAATACAAAGTGAATCAATTTTATATTGGTAAGGTCTCTTTAATTTCTTTTTTGACTATCATATTTGTTGGAAATGTATACTTAGATCTTACATCTACGATTTTTTTTGTTCAGTTAAAAATATGGTCCTTCGAGCAGCCGACATTCTTTTCAAATGTAGGCATAAATTTTATAAATACACGTCAAATGGCGTTTTTCTCAAAATATTAGTATTGGAATTCAGTGTGCAAATGTTAACTGACAGTTGGTCAGTGTTGCCACTTTATCTTAAATCTCTTTGAAAAAAAACTTCTGTGATATTTAAACTCTTTCAGCTATAAAATACGAAGCCAATATTATTTATTAGCAAATTTTGTTTTTTTTTTACGATATCGTTGATTTAACGTATCAATTTGTTAAATTATATTTTTTACATAATTATTTATATTTAAATATGATACTGGAGTGATAGTTAATCATTGAGTTCTCGTTTAAGGCGTATAATAATGTAGGTAACTAGAATGACAGTTAAATTTGAAAAAAAAATAGAAATTTGCGAAATACATGGAAACAATTATATTCATCCCTTGCACTTGTTGAAATAAAAGATGTTTTCTATATTAAAGAAAGAAAAAAATCATTTAACTATGAAATTTAATCGAGTATTGAAAGCATCTATCTCTTTTACTCCACCTATATATCTCTCTTATAACGAAATGTACCAAATGGCTTTTACATTTCCTGTCTCCAGTTTTACAGTGTGGCCATTAAAAAAATGTAAAAGAATAAATAAGTTTTTAACTGCCATTCATATTATACGCCTTAAAACATGAAATTATAATTTTAAATTATTTCATTTAAATTATCACAAAGTTAAAAAACATAATTTATTATATATTTATTTATTTAAATTGCTAAATACTCGCCATAATTGGTTTTTATAATTTGTATACATAGATTTATAATCTATAGGTAAACACTTTTTGGAGGGAAAATTCCCTCAGTGTTGTCATTTATAAAACAAAATGTCATTTCGATAATCGACTCTCGATTAGACGTTACTTTACATGAGAAATTATCTTTAGGTTATAAATCTATCGTTTTACAGTTGTTATAGAAAATTTGCTTGTAAGCGATTTTATGAACAATGACAATTATTAATTTTTAATGTATCCAATGTTTAAATCACACTCAAGCTCGTTAAGTAGCCACTAAAGGAGTTTCTTAGTATAGTTTAATAAATGCACTAAGGAACTACTTAAGTTATTGTTACAGCGACTGTGAGTGGTAGTAAGTGTTAAATGTTCGAATATAAAAAAAATATATATAGGGTTTGTAATGTTATCATAGATGTACAATCTATAGATATCTTATCTAAAGCACAAAAGTGATACTTAAAATGTCTTTGAAAGCCTTTTGTTGAGATAAATTCCTTCAGTAATTTTGCAATGTATAAATGACATTTCAGCTCTTAATTTTTTTTAAATCTGAAGGAAATCAGATTTCCTTTGGGAGCGTAGGTTCGTATCCTACCGGCTGCGCCATGTTAAAGAGCGGGAACATGTAATAAAACAACAAGCTTCAGATGCAGACTGATTTATTTCTCTTTTTCATTTATAAGTGCCATGAACATTGATTCACACATACTGACACTCGTCAAACTTATATTAAATTATATATATACCTATAGATTATACATCTATGTTAAATATTCAATTAATACATTGACAATAATTACACGCTATATAAAACGGGTGTTAGTGTAACTAATTATTAAATTGATGTGTAGCTGAAAATAATGTCAATTTTACGCTATTTATTACACTCGTAGTAGACCTTGACAAACTTTGTTTATTTCTATTCAATAAGTTTATTACCTGTTCAAAATTAAAATTTCTACTGTTGGCATATTTAGACATTTCTTATATGGCAATACTGTTATATAGATGTCATGATTAAATGTTCGGTAAAATCTAGTCCAAAGTGTTTTAAGTAATTTTCTCGCTTATTTAATGTATTTTAAAGCTTCCATTTTTAATTACAATATATTAGGTATAGTTTTTATTTAAGCTTTTATCTTTATATTACTGTCACATTTAGTATGACAGTTTTATTATAGTTATTTATCAATTTTATTTCCGACAAGTAATTGAAAGTAAATTATTGGTATTAAAATCTTAATTGTAATTGTTATCAATAAAGTCTTAAAGGTATAGAACAAGTAAATTAAGTTATAGAATTTTATAAATCTTCCATTCTTGTTAATTTAATTGTTTGCACTATTGGCCGTGTGCAGGTTTGCCGATGACAGAGTATCGTCAGTCAACGCGTGACTTTGTGAAGTCATCGGCAAACCTGTATTTGAGTTATATTGTAAACTAAGCGTTATTGTCAAGGTCTACTCTTGCCCTGGTTAGCCATATGGTCAATTATCCTGAAATTTTTATATCATTGAATCAATTGTTAAACGCACTTTAGCTTATCAGTAGAGCGAAGGATTATGGTAACGATCATAAAAATAAAATTACGATGTTTGTAAAATAATTAAAACTGGCAACATTCTTAAAAGTAATGCCAAATAAGTGTAATAAAGGCTAAGAATAAATTACACACTTTTATTCTCAAGGCTAGTTATGTGAATTTATAATAACCGTGCTAAATGGTTTAGAATCGGTATCGAAAATAAAACTATTTGGTGTAACAGCTTTTATAGGTATCGATATTAATCATTGTAACGATATTAAACAATAACAATATTAACAAATAGGAATTTCGAAATGCAATATCGTTACTTTTATTTTTATGATTGGCCTGAATGTGATGAAAATAAACATGTATTCCATTTGGCCGCAAGCCAGTGATATATGACCTGCCAGTTGTTAAAATGAAGTATGGACCTAGTCAAATATTATAAGTAAAATGTCTTCTGTTATCAATTTGACGAATTTGAAATAATGGATGCTGGTGAAAATTTCATACAATAGAATATGCTTGTTTTAGACCTAGAAGTTCAATAAATATTTATGGAATCTAAATCTTGTTTTACTTTTATTAAGACTTATTAATGAGTTACTGTCGGCTATCGTGAGATATATCATAATTTTCAAATGTGTTTCAAACACAGAACAGTTGCTCTTCGATTGGTTTGAATAAGGTATTCATCAAACACGGACATAAAATTATAAAATCGTCAGTCACATACTTGGACAATTTTACATTTTTTTTATTTGAATTTTCCCAGAATATCGTTTTATGGATGAGTTAAATTAATAAAAAAATCATACGTTTATTCTACTAAAATAGTTTCTGGATATTTAATTGAATCTGTTTTAGTAATAATTTATAAAGTGGCAACAAAACCACACAAATGTCAAATTGAAGGGACGCCGTGTAAATCTCAAACATTTAGTAGAATTTAGATATTACTGTGTTTACCTAAATATTCAATTGAAAAGTAGAACTTTTGTGCTTATTAATAGTCAGCGAGATGGCAAGCTTAGGCCCCAAGAAGGATGGAGGACCTAATGTGGATTTCTTTCAAGCGCCGGAGTCATTAGCACAATTTGATCAGATTCGTGTTTGGTTGCAAAAAAATTGTAAAAAGGTTAGTTCTAAATGGACAAAACATTGCTACTATTACTTTCTTGGACTACGTAGACAATGTTAGATACATTGTCTACGTATTTTAGATAAAAACTTATTAATTGTTGCAATGGAATAGTAGATAATTCATATTTCCTCCTTTATGTACACCTTGTCAAATGAAATCTGCAGAATAGGATAAAAGCTTATAAAAGATCAATTTTTTTTGTAGCCCACTGAGTTTTGTATATCTTATAGAAACTTACACATATGTCTTGTGTGGTCATCAACATTACTACAACATTTTGTGCTTTATTGACACAAACTTACTTACTTATTTCTTCTTGAGTCAGTTCAGTCACCATATTCACTGAGAGAAAATAAAATTGAGCCTTTCAATTAAGACAGGTCACCTATAAGATATCTAATACATAACATTATTTCCCATTTACTTTAATTCTTATAACTTTGCATTATAATCTTATTTACATACTCTTTGTGTAATGTGACTACAATCTATATGTATTTGCAGCATGTACAAACAGATCCACCAACTAAAGAGGGTCTGGCACAACTGGTTATACAGCTTATTCAATATCAGGAAAACAAATTGGGGAAAAATGCTTCAGACCCACCATTCTTAAGGCTTCCGGTAAGTTTATTATAAAATAGGGACTTGTTTTAAATATTTCACATTTTTATAAAACTTACAGCACTAAGTTAAATTAGTTGATAGCTAAAATATTGCTTTTCGAAGAAAGAAGACTTGTTAATTTTTATTTTTAAATTTATTTGAGTTTACAAAAATAGTTTTATATAAAGTATATAAAAACTATATGATTTTATAACTGGGATTTCACAGCGCTCAAAAGTACAAAAAAACATTATTCCTTCCATTCTCATTTTTAATGGTGGAAACCAACATTAATACATATTAATAATTTGATTTTTTATGCTCCAATTAAGAGTTGATTATCAAATTATTTTAATGAGTGCATCATTGTTTTTATACATATCTTCAGCAATATTACATTAATATACAAGAATTCTGCATTCAGTGGTAGGCATTAAGGAAGGCTCAAGTCCAGCAGTGGGCAGACCAAGATAATACAATTCTTCAATATTCAGCAGCTCCTGGATATATAAACTGGTTTTCCGGCAATCCTTTTGCACCTGTGCCTTGTATAGCAAATAGTGAGCCTGCATCAGGCTGTTGTATATGTTCCGCAGCATTCAGTCCAAAGTTACTTGTTGTTACATACAATGTTTCTAAATCATGTCCACCCCATACTACTGATGTCACCTTGCTTGCTGGAAATTTATGTTGCTCTAGTAGTTTGCCTGCTCTAGGGTCGATTTTTATGACCTAAAAAGTTTTTCAAATTATTAGTTAGATAAAATTTAATGGTGAAAGAATTATGATTTTTTTTATAGGTAACCTTTTCTGGAATATTTGAACTCAAATGTTTAATTATGTATTGGGTAATTTACCTTTCCGCCGTTAAAACATGCCACCCACAAATTGCCATCTCTGTCAATAGTCATACCGTCCGGTAAACCAGTCACATTTTTTGCCTCAAAGCTAAATATAGTCCTCCTGTTACCTATAATCAATACACCATATTTATTTGACTTTAATCACCATGGTTTTTATTTTCTTCTTATATAAGCTTTAATCTTACTGATATTATAAATGCGAAAGTTTAGATGAATAGATGTTTGTTAGAGTTTGTAGCCTAACTGCTAAACAGATTTTTATGAAATTTGGTGCAGATGTAGAGCATATTCTGGAAGAACATTTGGCTACTCACTATTGTTTTTTTTTTTTATTCCACGTGAACGGAGTCTCGGACGAAAGCTAGTATTCAATAAACCAGATCTGAATGTTATACTTTTTTCTTTAATAAATCACACTATATAAATGTCTTTATTCTGTTAAACTAAATATATCAATTTGTTTAATTCAAGTTTTAAACATTTTTATAGCAAAAAAGATGCTTGTCTAAAGTGAAAGTCACTCTTTGAAGAAATTCCTCGATCAAAAACATTCAAGCTATATTTCTATCAGTGTTTGTTATTTTATACATACGTATAGACCCATCTTCTAGATTAAAATCGAAAACATCAATATTTCTTGTCGGCGTGTCGATGTAGAACATGAATTTGTTGTCTCGTGTCCAAGCAATGCCGTTCGACACGCTCACAGGTCGCACCCACACGGCCGGCTCTAATGCGTTGTGTTGGTCCACCATGTATAAACTGCCTTGGTCTTTGTCGACATTTGTACCTACTTCTTTGCCCATTGTACCTGGAATGTGATATTGGTGTAATTGCAAATTAAAACATAAATAACCAGCTTTGCTCGCGACTACGTCTGCGTAAAATTAAAAAGTAAAAAAAAAAACAGTTCTATGTTAATCACTAATTAACGTAGCTTTAATGGTGCAATTTTTTTAATTGGTTCAGTAGTCTTTGAGGTATTTCAATACATACAAAAATACAAATATGTCCTCTTCATATTATAACAATATAGATATTTTTTTTTGAACTAAGAATGTTTTTCAAAATTGCTATTTTATGTCGTTTTGTGAAAATATTACGAAAGGTAATTTAAGGTAGGCAATAGCAAATGGAATTCGGTTTTTATTAAACTTTTAATATTCATTGATAAGGTATATCGTAAATTAATTTTGACTTGCCTTGCCTCATTACCTATTGCATTTTTTTCGTTTTATTAAACTGCACGATAATAACTATGGCAGTTTTATTTAAATTAACCAATAATGTCTGGTTTTTATTAATACTCGATACATAAACTAATTCATATAGAGTTACTAACTTTCGCCCGCGACTCCGTCCGCGTGGATTTTAAAAGAAGCAAAAGTGTTATAGCCTATGTGTTCTTCCAGACTATCCTATACATCTATACCAAATTTGATCGAAATCCGTTCAGCCGTTTAGGCTACAAACTCTAACAAACATCCATCCATCCCTCCATGTAAACTCTCGCATTTATGATATTAGAGTAAAGTATGATTAAATAGACCCTTAGTAGAATTTAGTTTAAAAAATTACACTAAGTTACCATTAAATGCAGCAGTTTTATTAAACTCACCAAACCAAAGCCTTCCTCTAGTATCAACCTTTCCATCATTACATCTATTATCAGGCAGACCCAAGTCGACAATACTGAGAAGTCTCAAAGCGCTGTCATTGGCAGGTCCATTCCATGTCATCAGGTAGAGTTCACTCCGCACGGTGACTAGAACTGTACCCGGGTTGTCTTGTACAGTCACTACCAAAGATACCGGACCGTAACCTAAAATTATATAGAAAAATTAAACCATAACTCGCTCTTGATCGAGGTAAAACTTTCGTTCCTGGCTTCATCATCATCTACTTGCCCTTATCCCTTACGGAGGGTCGGCACAGTATGTGCTACTCTTCCATTCATCTCTATCGGCCGTCATATCTGAATCCTCTCCTTTCTTAAGCGTATTCTCTTTCACACAATCTATCCATACTTTCTTCGGTCTTCCTCTACCTTTGTAGCCATCCACATTCAATCTTAACACTTTCTGGTTTATGTCCCCATCGTTTCGTCGCATAACATGTCCATACCCCGCTAACGTTTTGCTTCTCAATTCGTCCACCACTGGCGCTACTTTCAAACTTCTTCTATTGTACACATTCTTAACTTTATCCAATCTTGTCACCACACATTTATCTTAACATACGCATCTCAGCTACATGCAATCTCCTTTCAACCGCAACTTTAGTGGCCCAACATTCAGATCCATACAATGCGACACGTCTTATGATGGACTTGTAGATCTTTCCCTTAAGCTGTACTTCATATTACTTTTATTTATTAAATAAAATGATAACGAGTCCGTTTTTTTTTACTTTTTTCTACACTAATGGTTTTTACCTATTTGCTTGGTTGTAACATTTCCCGTCTGTGCATCCATTCTGTGCACTTTCTGTTCGATGATATCCACCCAGTAGAGCGCATTTTCTTCTTGCGACCAATGGGGGCCTTCGAAATGTGTTCCGCCGCGATACACCTAAAAAACAATAGAACCCGTTTTTATTATATTTTAATTCATATTTATTATAGAATGCTGTTAATAAAAAGACTGACATGTTTCTTAAGAGGTCAAATGTTGTCGTTTGATTTGTTTACCTTCACCCGTGTCAGCTTTATCGTGGTATTTACAAGAACCATGAAAAACTAAAAGCGCGTTCGTAATTAGGAATTACATAATCTGCTTACCCTATTTGAATTAAAAAGCGTGTTTATAAAGCTTAGTTTGCTTACTCTATCAATTTAATAAAACATAAATACTTACAGTTTTTATTATCGGTGCTGTTGACCTCGACGCATTTAATATTTCTACAAAAGATATTAAAACAAGTATTCTTATGATGGCCATCGTTCCACTTAAGATATCACGGATTTTTGTCTTTAAGGTCGATGTAATTATTGTTAGTAACAGTAATGCGTCTTGTCCTCTCGAAGTTTCACCACTAACTGTTATGCCAAACTAGTATCTTGGTAGTTGTTTCCATTACGCTACGTCACACAGTTCAATGGATCTATTTTATTGCAATTCCAATCGTTATGTCTTTTAGTAATTAGCCGGTTTTTTCTTCTCCAATTGCGTAAATAAATATTACGAAGTATATCTAAAGCCGTATTCTAATAATGTCTTTTCTATAATTATTTTCTAATAGCTTTCGCCCGCGAATCCGACCGCTTGGAATTAAAATAAAAAAACAAAAGTGTGTAGCCTGTGTTCGTTCAAATTATCCTCTACATTTGTACCAAATTTCATCGAAAACCGTTTAGCCGTTAAGCTACAAACTCTAACAAACATCCATCCATCCATCTAAACTTTCACATTTATAAAATAAGTGTTAGTATGATGAGAAGGTTTTACGAGTGATATTACAATGCTTAAAACAAATGAAGTCATAAAAATGCAAATAAACACTCTTTAAGTAAGTAAAAATGTCTCAAGATTGTTTTTTTTTTTGGGTCTGCGATACTATGGCAGTGGAATATTAAAAAATATTTGAGGATGCAATTGGACAACCGCGTCATGTATGTTTTTTTTAAAACTACGTTGTTCAAATTCATTTATTTTACACCGGTTATGCACTACTGCTCGTGCAGCGCGGAAGTCCGCGTCACAAGGTTTATAACTAAAGAGGTTTCTCAAAATCTGACCATTATTTGTTTGATTCTAGAAATTACTTTATGAATTGACTGCTTTTATCTTATTCAACATATTTTACAATACTTTTAACGCCCTATTACCTTTTACCGAAGTACTCAAAATATATTATCGTCTTTTTTATACTCTTCGAAGTAACAAAGATAAAAATATGTTTTTGTACAACTATCTTGATAATGGAAACCCATCGCAATACCAATAATAATGACAAACAAGATATGAAGGAAACTCGTGGGTAGAAGCTGTAAAGATTGACGCAATTATGATCAAAATAGATTATTATGTCAATTTTACGCAGTATCGGTAGAATCTTGAGACAAAGTTCCTATGTTTTTTTATTTCTTAATCCTTCAAGTCACCTATGTTTTTTTATTTCTTAATCCTTCAAGTTGCGGAAAAACATACACGAGAATTTGTCATGACCGGCGTTGCGTAGCGTTTCACAGAAGTATGAAAGAAAAAAATATCTTTAAAACATAATCTATACTAATATTATAAAGAGGAAAACTTTGTATTTTTGTATGTATTGAAATAACCCAAAAACTACTGGGCCGATTTTAAAAATTCTTTACCGTCAGAAAGGTATTTTATCTGTGGGCAACATAGGCTATATTTTATTATTACTAATGTTTAGGAACTATTAATAAACAACGTGTTTCTGGACGACGGCGTTAAAAATTCACTCAACTTTATCTTTTCTCGGTATACGCTGCGTAAACCGTTAGAGGTGTATAAAAATGATTACTACTAAGTTAATACTTTTGGTAATAGGTTGAAAAAAGGGCGAAAGTAATAGGTTATATTTGTAATTTCACGCGGGCGAAGTCGCGAGCAACAGCTAGTCTTACTATAAATGCGAAAGTTATAGATGGATGGATGTTTGTTAGACTTTGTAGCCTAAAAGGCTAAACGGATCTCGATGATTGGCATAGACATAGAGGATAGTCTGGAAGAACAAAGGTTACTCACTTTTCTTTTTAATTCCATGTGGACGGAGTCGCGGGCGAATGATAGTAGTTCTATAGTCTTATTATTATGTTGTATAATTTTAATACTGATTACTGTTGGTGGTGCATATTATTGAAAACCAAAGCCTCAAATGGGTTTCCTATATTGGTATCTGATATCATTGCTTTGTGCTTCATAAGGGTTTGATAATAGTCAATCTATCAAATTACAGTATGGCCTTGTGTAATGGTTCTATGCCAGTGAACATACTTTGTTTTATTAGTTTCTAATGATTGTATACTGCTGGTTGTTAGGTATATCTATACTAATACAGTAGAGCCTCCATAACTCAATCCTCGGTAACATAAAAACCTCTATAAGTTCAAAAATAATATCTTCCCTTCCCATCGGAGCCCAAAACCTTTATAGTATAGAGCCTTGATAACTTAAAATATTTTGTTTCCCTTGGACTTTAACTTATCGAGGTTCTACTGTATTATAAAGCGGAAAGATTTGTGTTTTTGGATTTTTGTATGTAATAAAATAACTCAAACAGTAAAACGGTTTTAAAAACTGATTTACAGTAAAAAAGGTACGTTATCGCTGTAACATGCTGTGTTTTTTTTATTTTACGTAGACGAAGTTGCGAGCATCAGCTACTAAAAAATATATTCCTAATAACGATTAGGATTAATGAAAAAAATATTTTTTCGTGATTTTTTTGAATTCTTGACTTTATGAGTATTTTTTTTTTATAAAAGTGAAGTCACCAAACGTGTCAATGGTGTTGAATGTTTTAGAAATAAAGATTTTTTTTTAAATTTCAGATGAAAGTGTTCATGGACATGAAGCCAGGAGGTTCGCTGTGCACGGTCCTCGCCACCATGTTCCGCTTCAAGTCGGAGCAGCGGTGGCGCAAGTTCGACTTCCAGGTCGGTAAGGTATGCAGTCGCGCGCACGCCCGCCTCGCTCTCACCGCCCCCGCAGCCCCCGCAGCCCCAGCAGCCCCCGCCATACTGCGCGGCCAGTAACATGCACACAATCACACCTGAATGATAAAAACATTTCCCGCTTCAAACCATAGACGTTTGTCTTTTTTTTTTAGAGCAATAAAGTTTTTTTTAATTTGCGTGATAAACGGGATTTTTGGTAATGTTTTAATCATACACGTGTTATTGTCATTCCAAAGCACGTTCCAATGGTATGATATTACCTATTAACACTATTCTATAATTGGTACTGTACTTTCGAGTTTTTTTTTTACATTTTTTTTAGTAAATGACAAATTGCAAAAATATAGTTTTTTGTAATTATAACGTTTATTACTTTTTTTATCTCTGACCTTGTTTGATGTAAATAAAAAAACGTTTAAAAAATTATTGAGCAAAAACATTATCATTCTGAATTCCATTTCATGCAATTCATTTTGTTGCAAAAGCTTGTTTTGGGATTTAAAGGTGTGTTTCTCTGTTGTATGTTTTTTTGTTTATGGCCAGTTACTTTTTAATAACAGTTTTTGTTTTGTCACTAATTGTTTGTATTGGATCTCAAGAAACTCACCCTCAATGTTTTGCATGTATAACAAATTTTTTCATCAAAATTCACGAAACTAAAAATTATTTTTTTCTTCATATTTGTTGCTTAGAGTTTTTAAAAAAATATAGTGATATTACAAGTGTAGTAAAAATGCATAAAAATCTAGTTTTAATGTTAGATAGAATAAGTTCATTTGTGGTATTGAATAATTGTTTTTGAACAGGTTTTAAGGTGATTAGGCTTTCACTTACTTGTTTCTTATAAATAGTACAATATCGCACGTAATCCCTATTTTTTTCTTACATCAACGTTAGAAAAAAAAATTGATACCTGTGCACAAAAAAAAATTCTTTACTTTATTATATCTTTTATTTAAATAACTTTGCTACAAATCCCATGCTTTTCTAACCGTTTGTGTTATTCGAATTGATACTAAAATTATTATTTTTCTTTCCCCTTCCCCCACCTGCCTTTCCAGAACCCGTCCCGTAAGGACTTGAATGTGCAGATGATGATGGAAATTGAGAGTGCTTTGATGGGGGCGGAAATAATACGCTCCCCCTGCGTGTATATACGACCTGAAGTAGATAAAGCAACAGCTAATAAAGTCAAGGATATTGTTAGTAATCATCAAGGAGAGATTTGTGGTGAGTTTACTTTGATTTTTTTTAATTTGTTCTGCAGCAAACGGGTGAGCCACTAGGGTGTTCAAATAAATTTAAAATTATAACTCGTAAGGGAAGTGAAAAAAATACAGATTAAAAAATGTTAACAGTTTTGAATCACACTGTATCTATTTAACACGTTCAATGCCACCTATTCAATAATGTTTCAAAAATTTTAAAAATGTAGGAAGTTTTCTTTACTTTCTTAATTGCCATGCCAATCTAAAAATAACATCCCTGTCAAATTTCTCAGAATTTGATTTTGTTTTAAAAGTACCCTATTATTATTAAGTTTTTCAATTGATTTGTATATTAATATTACCAGATGACGAAGAAGACGCGACTCACATAATTTACCCGACCGTGGACCCGCTGGAGGAGGAGTACGCGCGGCCGGTGTTCCGGCGCGGGAACGGCACCCTTGTGCACTGGTACTACCTGCCCGACAGCCACGACATATGGACACAGACCGAACTGCCGGTATGTAACATGTTGTATACTAGTTGTTGCCCGCGACTCCTCATCTACATGTATGCCAAATTTCATCGATATCCGTTCAGCCGTTAAGGCCACAGACTAACAAACATCCATCTTACTGGCATTTCGTTAGAAATTTAAGAACTACGAAATATATGCAAGAATGCCATTGCGCTCACACATACTATCTTTTGTCCACGACTTCGTCGTCGCGGAATTAGTAATATCGTTATCATCTGTACTAAATTTCATCGATATCCGTAAAGCTAAATCTAATTTATAGCTGTAAATATATATTAAATTAGCTGTTATGTATACTTATATAAATAAACTAGCTGTTGCTCGCGACTTTTTTACAATCGGCCCAGTATTTTTTGAGTTATTTCAATACATACAAAAATAAAATCTTTCCTATTTATAATAACAGTATAGATAAATAAATAAATAAACTCGTATTTATTAGTACGATTTTTGTCTTTTACTTTGTAGAAATGTAAATAATAAATTGTGTGTTGTCAAGGTGGATGCGCCGGAGGGCATGAGCTGCGAGTGGTCCCGCAGCGAGCCGTGGCGCGTGTCGGCGAGCTGGGCGCTGGACCTGCCGCAGTACAACGAGTGGATGAACGAGGAGGACTACGAACTGGACTCCAACGGCAAGAAGAAGGTTACCACGAGATTTATAACTAGCTGTTCCCGTGCGGCTTCATCCGCATATAATTATAAAAAAAACTTTATCGGTTACATTTGTCAAATGACAATGAAGGCATTTGATGTTGGATAAGAATTACCGTTATATATATTATGGTAATTGCTTCCTTGATGTTGGCAGCTTGTGGTTTATGGTCCCTTTCCCATGTGAAGTTTTTTTTTCAATTTATTTATCCACCAAGTAAAATAACATAAAAATATATAGCCTAGCATGTCGTAAGTGTAGAGGTTTTTATTAAAGAAATAATCAAAAATATGCTGCGATTGCTGACATCTTACCGACGTAATATTTACGCTTTATTATATTAGTACATATCGTCGGTGGCTCAGTGGGTTAAGCACTTGACTTGTAATCTACAGGTCTTGGGTTCGAATCCCGCCGTCATGTACCAATGTGATTTTCGATTTTTCGAATTTTCATATGTACATAATTTACCCGACGTTCTTACGGTGAAGGAAAACATCGTGATGCAACCTGCACATATCGGCGAAGAAATTGAAAGATATGTGTGAAGTCAACCAACCCGCACTTGGCCAGCGTGGTTGACTATGGCCTAGTCACCCCTTAATAGGAGGGTAGGCTCCGAGCCCCTCGGTGGGGACGTATAGTGAGCTGGTGATGATGATGATGATGATGATATTAGTACATATGATCTCACTCACAAACTTTATAAGCGCGGAATTTAAATGGTTGCCTATAACATTCCCTCATGTATCACCTACCTTCAAATCAAAGTCCTGTCAAAATCGGTCCATCCGTTACGGAGATTACCCATAATAAACACGACTTACGGACTGATATCCAATAATTTTTAAATGCGATTTTTTAAATCAATATTTTATTTCGATATATATAGATTACAGACAGTCCAATTTTGTTAACTGTTTAGATAGGTAGCGCTAAAGAATCCTAAAGTGTAGAAGGCGCTGAATCAACTAGTTTCGGGAATAGTTTTTAGCACCTTTTTTGTTAGTAAATATTGCGACTGTCATCACATTTTTTGTTTCTCTCTTATTTATATATAATGAGAAAGATAGAAATATGCGTCATTAAGTGTCACGGCACTCGAAACTCATTATTATAAAACAAAAAAACATATTTAATATTGATATTTATATAAATTATTGCATTTACAGGTTCACAAACTGCGTCTATCTGTGGACGATTTAATCCCGGGCGCGGAACCTTCCAGCAAGGGAAAGAAGGGCAAGAGGAAGCGGTCCCCCTCTCCGCCGCCGCAGAAGCACGGCAAGAGGAAGAGGTAAGCAAAATATACACTCAAACTCCTTTAACAATTAACTTGTTACCGCAATTTTCGACTCACAAGAATAAATAATACGTAATAAATGATGACATGACATGACTTTCAAAGTGAAATCTAACTAATATTATAAATGCGAAAGTTTAGATGGATGGATGTTTGTTAGTTTGTAACCTAAACTGCTAAACAGATCTCGATGAAATTTGGCATAGATGTAGGGCATAGTCTGGAAGAACACATACCTACTTTTGTTTTATTAAGTCGCGGGCGATAGCTAGTTAAAAAATAATTGGGAAGTAGTCTATGCGTTCTAAGACTATGTTCTACACCTGAGCCATACTGATACTAGTTGTCGCCGGCGACTCCGTCCTCGAAATTTGAAAGAAACTTAAGTAAATAACCCACGCATTCTCGCAGACTATGTTACATTTGTACCAAGGATCATCGAGATTAGAGTATACATCCATCTTGTTAAACTTTTTTATTGAGATGCGATAAGCGTTCTATGAGATACAAACATCTATACATCTAAACTAACATTTCTAATATTTATTTCTATGTTTATTTCAGTCGCATCTCGAAGCGTCGTGACAATGATGGCGAGGATGAAGAGGATACAGCATCACGAGACAACACCGACATCGCGCCCACGCCGGAAGCGGAGCGCTCTGCTGACAGTCTGTATACTCATATACAAGTATAAGCAGAGATTAAACTTTTTCTATTCCCGTCAGACATTAAAAAAATATGTAAAAGGGACACTAAACAAAACTTTTATCACCGGTAATTTCTCGGAAAGGTACTATGTCCGTTGTGAAGTTTAGAGCTACCTCGGGTCTTTGTATTTTACAAGTAATAAGCTTTATCTTTTTTTATAAAGAAACTAAACAGTGTTACAAAAATAGCATTTAATTATATTGACGTGGTTTTGAGAATCTATCAATAATAGTCATCTAGATAGTTATAGTGATTTTTCAGAGTTAGTGATGATTATATGAAAAATGTTTCAAGTGAAGTGTCTATTATGCCTCCTCTGTATATTTTTTGAATCTCTGACTCCCGCAAACTTAGTGTTTGTTTAACTTGTTACCGACAGCGCGGCAGCCAACAATACAAAACACTTTTTATCAAACTAACACATCTTTATTCAAAACTTATTTACACAAATATATACAAAAAAACTCAAAACTATCTGGTTCACATCTTGACTTCTTATTCTTCTTTTTCTATATATTTTCTTTAACCAACGATAAATGCCTTGGTGGCCAGTATGCAACCTCTTTGGCTGTATACATACTGCTTATCAGCCAAAGAGGTTGTATTTTGCACTCAACAGTGTTTACTCGTTTCGTTTACGCATACAAACTCTGTCCATACGTATACATAAATATTTTTGAACCAAGATGTAGTGATTTAGGTTTTTTCGCCATTAACTTTAAAATTATTAAAATTTGTGTAATTCAATTAAATAATCTGATTTATTTATTTTATTACGTCCACGAAATACCTTGACTATATAAAATAATCATAAAAAAGCGGAAATGCGCAGATTATGTATTTATAACTAAATCTGGGTATTAACGGCTTCATTTTTAGAGGTTATTCAATTTATAAACTTAATATTTACTCTTAGAGATGATTGGAACAAATAAAACAAACTTTTTAACATTTGTAGCTCCGGGTGGTCCGGCGGAGGGCGCGGGGGTGTCGGGGGTGTCTGGCGGGGAGGCGCCCGCCACGCCCGCGCCCGCACTCGACCTGCACGACGACTCGCAGGGCAAGCATAGCGACTCCAACACACAGGTACCGCAATGTAGATCACCGTCTCGCTCACACTTACCCGTTAGAAAGGGATAGCATGATACAAAGATTAACATCTTTATAGATACGACAGTACAAAGTCAGATTCCCCATTTGTTACCAATAGTGTGTTTAGTTTGAGACCTTCATATCTCAATGTTATTGCATTTTAGTATGTTTTATTATGTTTTGCATTGAATTCATAGTGGTGTAAAATTTTTGAAAGAAAGGACGTTATAAAGAAGCATGTTTTTCTGTAAGTAAATGTCTGTTTAAGAAATATTGCCGAACGAAATATTAAAGGCCGAATTCTGAATCTCATTTTGCTTCCTAAACACTGCTGTAATCTGATATGTCAAAGAAGCCTTATTTAAATGTCGTTTCAGTATTCATTTCAAATCCACAACCAATTTAGTCCACTTGAAGTGACATTGAACACTAATTACAGGAGATGTTAAGTAAGGAAGAATTAGAAGACAATGTGACAGACCAGACTCATCACATCGTTGTGCCTTCTTACTCCGCCTGGTTCGACTATAACTCCATACATACAATAGAGAAACGAGCTCTGCCGGAGTTCTTCAATGGAAAGAATAAATCTAAGACCCCGGAGATATATCTGGCTTATAGGTACGTATTTATTTATATGTTATAGTTACATGAAATATATTCCTGTTTTAAAAATTGATTAGCGATGATTTAAAAAAATTAAATACACTATTGTATATTGTATTTATTGCCGTACTTTGCCCTTTCAAAGAAATATCGCTGATTATGTAAAAAAAAAACAAAAATTTAGTAATTTACTCTCTGTTCTGGAGTAACGTGGTAACATATATAAAAGTTTGCTTTCATATATAAGTTTTGAAATGTCTGTAATACTAGCTGTCGCTCGAGTGTGTCCGTGCGGAATTTAAAAAAAAATACTAGCCTATGTGCTCTTCCAGACTATGTTTATATCTGTGATTTTTTTGCGACATCCGTTAAGCCATTTTAGAGATATGTAGTAATAAACATCCATCTAAACTTTCATATTTATAATATTAGTAATATTAAGAGAAAAAAAAAACGAACGATATTTACGTAATTATGCCGGGAAGATGTAGTCGTGGGAGTATTATATGGTACTTTTTCCTTGGTAAAAGTAACTGTGGTCCGTTAGTTAACAATGTTTCAATGTACAGGAACTTCATGATCGACACGTACCGCCTGAACCCGACGGAGTACCTCACGAGCACGGCGTGCCGCCGCAACCTGGCCGGCGACGTCTGCGCCATCATGCGCGTGCACGGCTTCCTGGAGCAGTGGGGGCTCCTCAACTACCAGGTAAATAACACGGATACATGTGTGCAAAATTTAGAAGACATACGATAACTGTTCCCGTACGACTTCATCCTCAAAAGGTTTTTTCTCTTAATGATAATTTTAGTCCAAATGTGTCATCCTGAAGTGAGGTAACATTCGATTCGTATTACTTACATACTTCTATACTATTATAATAAAGCGTAAACACACACTTTGTTGCCCAAGATGTCAGCAATCACAACATATTTTTGGATAACCCTTTGTTTAATAAAAAGCCCTACACTTACGTCATGCTTTAGGCTATATATTTTCATTTCATTAAACTTAGGGGGTAAATATTTTGGATAAAAACCCTAATGTGAGAAAGAAACCATAAGTTGCTGCCAACATCAAGAAAGTAAAATTGCTAAGGTTCGTCATGTCATGTCATTTTGACATTTGATATTAATAATTTGATAAATGTAAACAATAAAATAAAATTTTCATAATTTCATGCGGATGAAGCCGAACGGGAATATCTAGTTATAAATATTTGTTACGTTTTAATCGCGACTAGAATAAAAACTCGATTCCCGTGTTCTTCCAGATCAAGCCAATTTTGAAATTAACCTAAATCTAAACAGCTAAATAGCTGCTTTGGAAATATGTAGTCATCCAAACATTCGCCTTTCTAATAATAATATTACTACTGTTTATATAAGCATGCAATCATTGGTTTTTAATGTATGTTGTGCAGCTGGAGGCGGAGTCGCGGCCGACGGCGATGGGCCCGCCGCCCACCTCGCACTTCCACGTGCTGTCGGACACGCCCTCCGGCCTGCAGCCGCTGCAGCCGCTGCAGCCGCGCCCCGCGCACCCGCGCCCCGGTACTGCTTACTTATACTCTGCTAGGTGTCGCTTACACTTTGACTAATTGTTGCTCCCTACATAGCTCGCGTCACATTAACAAATAATAAAACTGATAGCGTAGCTATTGATTGGTGAGATTTTTTTTTAATTAGTCCAGTAGTTTTTGAGTTATTTCAATACATACAAAAATACAAATCTTTCCTCTTTATAATATTAGTATAGATAACACTAAATTGGTGTCAAATTGCGATTGAATATGATTAAATCTATCGATTGCTCTCTTTGATCGTTCATCTTTTCAAGGGCCAATCTCTCAGATTTCGATGATTCTACTTCACACAAAAAAGAACAAACATGATTGTTTAGGTTGTCTTAGTGTTATTTTTTGTTTTATTGGTTATATGTTTTTAATATGTTATGTACGTAGCGGAGAACGCGGCGGTGCCGAAGGTGGAGGCGGGTCTGCCGAACGGCGCGGAGGGCGGAGCGCCCGCCGCGCCCGCGCTGCCGCAGCTCAAGCAGGAGCCCGCGCTGGAGCTCGGCACCGCGCCCGGACTCAAACTGGACCAGGTATACATCAGACGCAGGTCGTCGTACTCGGCTCCTTACAGTCTTATAATTCTCTGTTCTCCCTTCTCCTAAAGTATAGTGAATAGGGGGCGTCATAATTGCCCAGGGTTTTAGTAGCCTTGAAATTAGTATTGTACACTACTGTTTTTACAATACTAAAAATTGAACCAAAACTCCTGGTTTCCAAGTAATCTATGTGGGTTTCTAGGCTTTAGTATTTTAAATTAATCCATTATATGTTTATTTTACAATTTTCGTGAGAGAAAGAAAAAAGGGAATTGTTACTTTGACGACGCCCATAAGCAAAAGGCAATTTTTCCCGTCATTTGTAATCAGTTTTAATAAATTCAATTAAAACTATCAATATAGTTCACTTTACGAGTGGAGTATGTATGTGTTGTGTACATGCAGTACCGCGGCGGCGCGCGCGGGCGCGAGTGGACGGAGCAGGAGACGCTGCTGCTGCTGGAGGCGCTGGAGCTGCACCGCGACGACTGGAACCGCGTGGCGGCGCACGTCGGCACGCGCACGCACGACGAGTGCATCCTGCACTTCCTGCGCCTGCCCATCGAGGAGCCCTATCTGCAGGACGCGGCCTCCGGTACGGCCCGCCCACCCGCACACAGGCTGATTCTTATTGGATTGCAACATATCTGTTGATCTGTCCGTTAAGAATCACCTGTATATCTGTAGCCATAGGTCAATATATGATGAATTCGTTACGTCACGGGACAAGCAAGTTAATTATTAAAAAATCATGAAGGCACTATAAGCGCTAATACTCTATTAGGACCGATATTGCTGTCTATGGTTCGAATCGCGCTCGATAAGCTTAAAGCTTAGTTAGAATGGTTAAAGGAAATTGACCAAAAATTAACCAAAATCTGCTAATAATCTTTTAATTACAAATATTGAGTTGCGCAAATAACGTATAGTACATATGATTCTCTGATTGTATATTAACATCATTACAATGTTTATTATACAGTAGAACCTCGATAAGTTAGTCAAGTTATCAAGGGTCTATGTTGTAGAGGTTTTGGGCTCCGATGGGAAGGGAACATGTTATCTTTGGAAGTTACCGAGGCTCGGTGTGTGTTGCAGGCGGCGTGCTGGGCCCGCTGGCGTACCAGCCGGTGCCGTTCAGCAAGGTGGGCAACCCCGTGATGAGCGCCGTCGCCTTCCTCGCCTCCGTCGTCGACCCGCGCATCGCCTCGCGCGCCACGCGCGCCGCCATGGACGAGTTCGCAGCTATCAAGGTATGCTATGAAGCTTTTAACTAGATTTTAACAGTGGTGGAGCCCGCTTTAACATCTTCACACGCATGGGCCAGCTCGCCTCCGCAATACCACGACCACACAAGACAGGCGTGAAGTGGGAGCAATTCCACGTACAGTCTGATGAGTGTGGAGTCGGAGACCCAGTTAGTCCCTATATCTTACCACCCCTTTCTTATAAGGAAAGATATTCCATTAATAAACGACAAAACTTCAAATAAGAAAAATGATTAAAATTATGAAAATCTGGTTTTATTGCCTATACGACAATTGACGGTTATAAAACCAAATATGACTCAGTCCAATTTTCTTACGTTTTAAACTAATACATAGTTCGGACTAATTTTTAATCAAAACTGTACTATTTTAAATGAATGTCTAAACAAACTGTTGTCCCTTTAATAAGCCACGTTTTGGAATCTTTGATTGAAAAAAAAAATGGGTTGAACCGTATTTGCTTTTACCTCTATTGTTGTCTCCCTTAGTATAAGATAGACTGCATAGAATTTAAAAATACTAAAGTATGTACCTCTGTATACTTCCAGACTATCTTCAACATCGATGTAAAATATCATTTAGATCCCTTCAGCAGTTAACAAACTCAGCATTTAAACTTTTGCATCTTACTTCTCACTCCATACTTATTACTATTATAAATGTGAAAGGTTAGATAGATAGACATTTATTAGAGATTGTAGCCTAAATTTCTGAACGGATCTGGATGAAATATGGCATATAAATAAAGGATAGTCTGGAAGAACATATAGAACTTTTTTTCACGCAACGGAATTTATAAAATTAGTATAATATATTATAATTAGATGTATAATGCGTGTGTCACGTTGTGCAGGACGAGGTGCCGGCCGCGATGATGGAGGCGCATGTGAAGGCGGCGGGCGCGCACGGCCCGGCCGCCGCGCTCGCCGCCACCGGCATCGCCGGCACCGCGCCAGACAACAAGCCAGCAGGTCGCACACACACACAAAATACCTCACTTACCATACTTACTTGCTATAAAAACAAATTAAATAATTCGAACCGCCCCCTTACAATCAGATAAACGTCAAAATGATAAAATTAATTAAATCTGGCCTTATAAGGCCAATTTTGAATATATTGCGATCTATAAGAAGATTTACAGATCCACAATATTCTATTTTCCATTCAGAATATCTGTAAAACAATTTTGACATTTTGACCGGTAAAAAAAACTTTAACTTTAAAATTTCCAACTGCGAAATGATCCTTGTAGGAATATATTTAACCACTGTCAAAGTGCGTTTCACAATGTCTTTTTTTTTGTTTTTTTTTTTTTGACTGAATGGCCGCTGTTTGCCTTGAAGAGGCATTTACAGATCCACCGGGCTTGAGGTGGCCGAGCGCAGATGGCGCTTAGCCTAAACCTCGTTTATGCGTAACTAAGGTCGAGAGCTCCCTCAGGAGCCTCAGCAGGAGCCGTTACTTCGTTATTATTACCGGATTAGGAGGCCACCGAGCTCTTAGATCGCTTCGGTGGACGTTTTTTTGGTATACCTTTTTATTTGTAAGTACACTTTCTTTATCTATATAATTAAACAGGTGAGAAGAAAGAAGAGCCATCGGAGGTGAAGGCCGAGCCGATGGAGGTGGAGGAGGGGGAGCTGAAGGTGAAGGAGGAGGTGGCGGACACGCCGCCCGCTGAGGAGGCAAAGGACACCAAGGATGCTGCTGAGCCCACAACTGGTAAACACTTTATCTTATTAATATTAGAAATGCGAAAGTATAGATGGATGGATGTTTGTTAGAGTTTGTAGCCTAAACTGCAGAATGGATTTCGATAAAATTTGGCACAGATGTAGAGTATAGTCTGGAAGAGGCTACTCACTTTTTTTTTAATTCCGCGGGGACGGAGTCGCGGGCGAAATTTATATTGTATTTACTACTAGCTATTCCCGTGCGATTTCATTTTTAAAATGCAAATATCAAAAATCAAATGCTTATATAATAATAAGGCTTTTGCTATTAATGTGTTTTTGTCCTTTCTCATAGAACATTTTATCCAATTTACTAATTTTCTAACGTTTAATTGCGTGAATTTATAATCATGCGTGTCGCAAGTGTAAGGCTTTTTATCGAGAGAAAATATACTTAAAAATTCACTGCAATGGGGATGTTTCCTAATGTTACAAATCCAAATAAAGTTGTCTTTAATATTTTAAAGACAGCATTTTATAACCTATAATAACATTTAGAGACCTTGAATGTTTGTCTCAAATTAAATATAAATTAAAAACGCTGCAATATTTTTTACCCTCCATTACTCGATCTCAAACACCAATGACGTCACTTTCTTGCATATAACATGGCAGTGTGACCAACTTCAGTGAATGTCAGTGCATTTTGTAGTTACATTTTTTTCTAAATGATTGTAATAATTGAGTTTGCGTGTTTTATATTATGAGGACTCCATTATTGAGTGTTTTTATAATTACGACATAAGTTATGAGCAAAACATTTTATGAATATTACAAAAGAAAAATATATCAAAATTCATAAGAGTAGCTTATAGTACAATTTAATTTATACCTGGTCACACTGGTGTAGGACGCAGTCACTGTTTACACACAAACATAATCTTCCACGAGAAGCAACAAGTGTAATTAATACGTTAAAAGTATCACCTTCTGTTCATTTTGGTTTTTTCATTTTTATCTCCATTACTAAAAACAACTTTAGACAACAAAGATTTACGAGTATTATCAATCAATGGTTCTTTCAAATTGACAGTGACAGGCCGTGACGCGAGGTTCGTATGCAAAGAAGTGACGTCATGGGACGTTTTGGGGGGAAATGAAAGAGTTGTTTTTATTTACGTGTTTTTTTATTGAAATAATGAGTATTATATTTTATACTATTTTTTTCGTGTTCATACATGGTTTATCTACAAAATAAAGGCTATTCCAAAAATTAGGAAACATCCCCATTACTTCAGTAATCACAAAGGATTTCAATTTTACATAACAAAGATATGTGTGTGTTTACCCTTCATTATATTAGATACTAATAAAAAGAATAGAAACAGTTAGATAGCGTAACTAATTAAAGTATATCCTTAATTTATTACCTAAACATTGTCGCACAGTTTTAATTTAATATGATTTTTACTTTGTATAGCAGAGGCGAGTGCGGGCGGGGGTGGGCAGGTGGAGGCGGGCGTGGCGGCGGCGGCGGCGGCCGCGCTGGCCTCCGCCGCTGTCAAGGCGAAGCACCTCGCGGGCGTCGAGGAACGCAAGATAAAGTCACTAGTCGCGTTACTCGTCGAGACGCAGATGAAGAAACTAGAAATAAAACTGCGACATTTTGAGGAATTAGAAGCTACTATGGAGAGGGAAAGAGAAGGTACAATGCGATGACGCATTTTTTTTTAAGATTATAATATAGCAAACGAGCAAGCGGTCACCTGAATCCGCCAAAATGGCGAAGCGACCGCTGCCCATAGACATCTGCAATTGCAGATGGGCTGCCTACCCTTAATCGAAGGAAGAGACGCACATAAAGAGGATGTTTCCCCTTTCTATGCGTCTCATCCACCGTCAAATTGTTTCCTTTCCATCTTTTTCTCATAAGAAAAAGGGTGGGAAGGGACTAAAGTTGGGCCTACGGCAACGCATATCGCTGTCCCTTATATTCCCTTTTATAAGACAGACAACAATAACGGAATTGTAGACAAATGTACAACTTGTTCCCCTTTAGGTCTGGAGTACCAGCGGCAGCAGCTGATCCAGGAGCGGCAGCAGTTCCACCTGGAGCAGCTGAAGGCGGCGGAGTTCCGCGCTCGCCACCAGGCGCACCAGAGGTACACGCACAGAAACAGAAGATCTACCTTTATTTTGCCTAAAACATAAATTCTCAACTGTTAATGAATATTTTACAAATTAGTCTTAAATGTAGAACATAGTCTGGAAGAACATATTAAGCTTACTAAGTTTTTTTAAAAATTCTACAGTAAAAAATCGCCGGCAAAGTCCATAAAAACAAAACATCAGTCAGAGTCAATGTAGAGCGTTGGTGGCTCAGTGGTTTAAGCACTTGACTTGTAATCTACAGGTCTTGGGTTCGAATCCCGCCGTACCAATGTGATTTTAGATTTTTCGAATTTTCATATGTACATAATTTACCCGACGTTCTTACGGTGAAGGAAAACATCGTGATATGCGTGAAGTCAAGCAACCCGCAGTTGACCAGCGTAGCTGACTATGACCTAGTCACCCCTTATTAGGATAGGCTCCGAGCCCCCTCGGTGGGGACGTATAGTGAGGTGATGATGTTGATGATGAATCAATGTTAATGTAGAGAAAAAGGTCATAAAGATATCTTACTAATATTATAAATGCGAAAGTTTAGATGGATGGATAGATGGATGGATGGATGTTTGTTAGCGTTTGTAGCCTAAACGGCTGAACGGATCTCTATGAAATTTGGCACAGGTTTAGAGCATAGTCTGGAAGAACACATAGGCTACTTTTTATCCCGGGATAATTTACGGTTCCCGTGGGATTCATTAATTTAGTTTTTTAATGTTTACTCGATCATTTTGCAACGGTTCAACATATCTTATTGAAATTTGGCACAGATGTAAAGCAAAGTCTGGAGTATACATGGGATAAGCTTTATCCCCGAGGTGTCCGGTTCCCGAGGGATACGTAGCTTTTTGTTATTTATATAGTTCGTATGTTTTCTAATACCACGCGGTCGAAGTCGCGGGCAACAGCTCGTTTTAAATAAAAATTGACTGATAGAATTATAGTCGAATTTCGAATAATGTTTTTTACAAAACAGCTCTCATTAAGACTGATGTTTACAAATTCGTTCCACCAATTACAACAATTTATCTAAATTCCAATATTTCTAGTAACTCTTTATCTTGACTTAATTTTAAATTTTGTTGCGATGCAGAATTTCAATAGAAATGTGCACGAAATTGGTGTGTAATTTGTGTAAAAGGTAATTAGACACGGCACCAATAACTTAATTTGTGCTAATTGATTTTAACTCTACTGTGTTAATATTAAATAATTTATCAGTCATAAATATGTGACTTTATATAGACGGTTATATAAAATATTTCTTAGTTACTTATTGTTTGCATTTTATTATATTCCTTCAAATATCGTTTATGACAATGACAATAGGCAATATGCATATGACGCCAAATTGATATATACGCATATGAGTACCAAACTTTTTTTAAGTATACTTTATAACTATAAAAACATTCCTGCTAAGATTTTTTTGTACCAGGAATAATAAAAATGTATCGATTTTTTACTTTTTGACCTTGAAAAGCAATGAGATACTTTGTTGTTTTTTTACGTCGAAGTGACATCTGAGCGTATGTTATGAATGGAATAAGACGATTGACGTCAATCGTCTCATGACAACTCCGGTCCCGTTTTAGTCGCTCGAAAATGGTCGTAATTTTATTTTATTATTTTTAGCTCAATGGTTGAATATTTACGTGTCATAATTTTTCTGGTTTTTGTGTAACAAGTAGAATCGTTTAAAAAAAGAAAAAAACATGCATATTCCCTATTGTATGGACTTATTGAATGCTAGCTGTCGCCCGCGACTTTATGCGCTGAGTAAACAAGCTTAGGATTATTTGTGTTCTAGACTTTTTCTCATCAGAGTCAGTTTTCAGCTAAGTTGACGCGTTTAGGAAATACCTTCAAAGATCCATCCTTCCATCTAAACTTTCGCATTTATAATATTACTAACTTTCGCTTGTATCTCGTAAATATTATGTAATTTATATTGTAAAATTTCATCGAGATCTGTTCAGTTGGATACGCTACAAACTTTCACTAACATCCATCAATTTAAAGGCAACACTAAGTCTGTACTGTACTGCAGGTTGACTTGACACATATCTTTGAATTTCTTCGCCGATGTGTGCATGACGATGTTTTCCTTCACTGTAACAACGTCGGGTATAATTTTACATGTACATAATGTAAAATTTCGAAAAATCGAAAATCACATTGGTACAAGGTGGAATTCGAACCCAAGACGTGTGGATACAAGTCAATGTCTTAAATCGTAATACATCACGCTTTAGGCTATATATTTTCACGCCATTAAACTTAGGGGTAAATGTTTTGGATAAAATTCCTAATGTTGGAAAGTTGTTGCCAACATCAAGGAAGCAAGGTTGCCATGATTTGACATGATATCATGTAATTTTTAACATTTGCATAATATGTCAAATTATCAATGCAATGCAATGCAATGCATTGATAATTTGACACATGTAAACAATAAAATAAGGTTTTCATAATTTTCTGGGGATGAAGTCGCACGGGAACAGCTGGTGTATTAATATGAGTGTTATTGTGCAGGTTGCAAGTGGAGACGGGCGTGGCGGGCGTAGCGGGCGTGGGCGGCGTGGGCGGCGTGCCGGCGCCGGAGCAGCCGCCCGACGCGGCCGCGCACCTCGCCCCGCCACACCACGTCTAGCACGCACGCACGCACGCACGTATGCACGTACGTACGCCCGCACGTACGTACGCAACTTTTACACTAATCAAACCTGAAAAATAACCCATTACATGTCTATTTCGTAAACATTTCTAATTCTACTGAAGTAACATTTTACGTGTACATTATACGGATTAACTCAATGATTTAGAAAGTGTAAGTTAGCAAAATATAGTGTTTATTATTTGCTAAAAAAATTATTCTTATTTATTAGATAAAATCAAATTTGAAAACAAGCCACTATTAAAGCATTAAAAAACCCACAGTGGTTATAGCTTATAGCTTATAGCTTATTAACATATTCTTATTTACATGTTGTTTACACTATTTGTTGTACATTCTTATAATGTCAATATACTCGTTAACTCTCAAAGTACTGCAAAAGATCTCTGTAAATTTATCTTACAATATTATACTAATGGAATCACTTAGTAATCAATTATTGACTGTGAGTGCAACATTTAATATCAATATTTGATATCCGCAGGCCGTGAATCCATTACGTGAACACCCTGAGCGGCTTCGGTGAACTATGGATAAATGACTTTTATGTTTTCTTTCTATTTTTATGCATAAGTGATATAGCTATGAAATAATTATAATATAAATTATTATTAAAATATTACAATGTTTTATTAAATTGCGTTTTTACTGTTAAAACTTGTATAAAAAATTTGACAAAAGTAATCTCAGATTTATAAATAATGAGTCTTTTTTCTGTGTTTATATTTTTCGTAAACATTTTCTTATCTGTTTTGGTATGTTTTTAAATAATGATATATTAATATGTCCTTTACATTCTGATTTTGACTTCAGAAATAAAATTAGGTAATAAAACTATGTACCGATAGAAAAAAACGTCTATATATTTATTAATTATTATTCTTAAGTACTTTAATTTTTTTTTATAACGTCACATACAAATGTGATTAAGACTTGTTTTTAGAAATACAATACTATCTACCACTTTAAAAAACCAGGGCGGGAATGTATTAAATGTTTTGATACACTAAAAGGAGATTTTTTTGTACATACACTTTTTCTCTTATAATTTTTTTATGTATTTCTTTTAAAATACTATTCAATCTGTACACAGAAATAACTTCAGTTCTATATAAAATACAGTACCTAAATAAGTATTAAATACATTTATAGATATACAATCTATAGATATCTAATCTAGAGCAGAAATGAGGCAAAGAAAGGCCTTCGCGAGATCTTTTTTTTTTTTGGGAAATCGCCTTAGTAATAAAATACAAAATAACATTAAAAATCGACTAACGGTTAGACGTGAAATTTCTTTGAAACACTCATCTATAGATTATATGTCTATGTTTCAACGGCGGATCCAAGGGGGGCGATCATGGGGGTCATGACCCCCTCCCCCTATGTTGGTTGGTTAAGATACTGACAAAATATATTTACATATTTTGTCAACCTCTTGACTATGTGCCGGGCGATAAAGTTGGATCCCCCTCTTGCTATGTTTGTAGATATTAAAAATACAAATATCGTATTTGTAAAATCGATTATAACAATTAGTTTTAAATCTTAAGCCATTAGTTTCACTTAAGTTTGTAATCTAGAATTCTAGGTATAAAAGGTGAAATAAACGATTTGCTGAATATACCGTTTTATTAACTTTACCTTTTAATCATTTTTGGATCTTTTAACGGCCTGCAATTGCTTTGTGAATGTGCATATTTCTCTTTTTACGATCGAGTTGTTTTTTTCTTCTAACGTATTCAAACAATGGCATTTTATCATAACGTATGCTGTTAGCTGCAACCGTAGTGCTTAATTTACGGGAATATTTAAATTTTTAATATGTATACACCTTTCTTAATCGTGTCTACCCTCCTGTGTGTAGTCGTGATGGACACATCTGTTAATCAATATTATAAGATTTCTATGGTAAGTAAATTTTTAATATTGAATATATTTCTGTATTAAAATATTTGATATTAGCTTTTGCTCGCGACTTCCTTCGCGTGGAATTAAAAAATAATAAAAACCATAGCCTATGTTACTGATAACGTAGCTTCTAAAATGTGGAAGAATTTTTAAAATCGGTTCAGTTTTTGTGGTATTTCCATACATACAGAATTCCAAAAATACAAATCTTTCCTCTTTATAATATTAGTAAAAAAGTTTGCTAAACATATTTTTTATAATAGTTATAGAAACTAATTTGTCACCCAATCCATCACTTTTTCATTTAAATATGAACTTTCGTAACAACTCGTAATTCTATATAAAGTAATTGATAATCTCACCAAAGGTATCTTCAAACGAGAATCCGACCCAGCCCGCACTGTTCCTGCACGGGGAGAGTCCTGTGTGGGACGCGGACACACAATCATTGTACTTTGTCGACGTTCACGCACAGAATATACACAAACTTAATTACATCACTGGTAAAATATCCACTAAACATATTGGTAAGTTTAAATAACTAATAAATATATTTCTTCCAAAATTAATTATATCCTAACTCTTGATTTACTTCATTGGTCGAAATAATAAGAACCTTTAACATTTTACGATACTGTGTAAAACTTGTCATTGCTTTATTTCATCTAATAGAGCTGTATAATCAATATCTAAGATTAATTAACTTGAAACTGAATCGAGCCTTGTGTTTAATCGATTTCACGATTAAATCCTTTAATCTCGGTTTCTTCACATCGGTGAAATATTATTCTGATGTTAATGTAACAGCAAGAGTATGCGTTTAGACATATTGCTATTTCGTATTCACAGGCGCTATTTTGATTCTTAAATTCAAATAATTTATACTTGGTGCTTTTATATTGTGAACACATAAAGAGTTAATAACAAAAATAGTAATTAAATCCAACAATAAACTAGGTTACGGTCAAGTCAATGTGATATCACTAATATCGGGCTCCAAGAGGCTGCTGGTGTCAGTCCGCGCGGCGCTGTACCTAATGGACTGGACAGTATCTGGGGATGCGTCGCTTCGGCTGCTCACCTCGATGGACGAGGGCGAGCCCGACAACATGATCAATGACGGCAAACCTGACGTTGAAGGACGCTTCTGGGTTGGTATGTTATCAATTTGTCTTTTATTTTGTATAAGTGGAAAAGTTTTGACTGCCGTATCATCAATGAATGTAATGACACTGCAAAGAAAATAAGTGAAAATAACGCAACAATAGAAACTAAATAGTGAAGATATTTTCAGATCTAAACATTGTTTACTCCAATTCATCATCATCATCATCCACTTGCCCTTATCCCTTATGGAGGGTCGGCACAGTATGTGCTGCTCTTCCATACATCTCTATCAGCCGTCATATCTGAATCCACTCCTTTCTTAAGCATATCTTCCTTCACACAATCCATCCATACTTTCTTCGGTCTTCCTCTTCCTTTGTAGCCATCCACATTCAATCTCAACACTTTCTGGTTTATGTCCCCATCATTTCGTCGCATAATATGTCCATACCACGCTAACCTTTTGCTTCTCAATTTCTCCACCACTGGCGCTACTTTCAAACTTCCTCTAATGTACATTGTTTACTCCAATTATGAGCAAAAATGTCGATTTCAAAAATCTGCTCAAAGCCTCATCACACTTTTTACAAAGAGTACGTGTTTGACAATTCAATAACTTCAGGTACAAAGGGCCCTCAGACCGGTGACGAGGTGACCCCCGACCGCGGCACGTTGTACAGCGTGCAGCAAGACACACGAGCACACATCCGCACCGCGCTGCGCCCCGTCTCCGTCTCCAACGGCATCGCCTTCGCACTCAATAATTCCCTCCTTTACTACGTAGACTCCCCAACACAGAAGATAGAAGCCTTCGACTTTGACTCGCAGAAGGGAGAAATCAGTTAGTTTACTTTTGTTTTGATTTTGTACTGACCGGATGTAATTCTTTTTTTTTAATTTCGACAAATACATCAAGTATGTAAGTGCTTTTAAAATAGAAGAAAACATAAATCATGAATGAGAAGTCTTAAAAAGTATTTTAAGTGTTATCCACAAATTAACCTCATCTTCAATGTAATTTCGACATGAACAGATCTTTTGATCTTGTTAAAATTATATCTGCATTGTAATTTGCTAGTTTGTAACTTGTGTGTTGTAGGCGGGCGGCGCACGATCATCGACGTGACGTCATACGGGTACGATGACGCGATCCCTGACGGCATGACCATCGACAGTAAGGGACATCTTTGGGTCGCGTTGATGTTTGGCGGCGCAGTGAGTATTACTATGTTATTGGTTGAATTCTCAGCTGTATTTATCCTTCCGCACATCCTTTTTTCTGACAAGTAAGATAAGCATTGCATTTGCAATCCTTTTATTTAATGTGTGCCTCTACCTTTTCTATTTAAGGTAGCTTTTTCTTTCATTACCTTTTTATGATACAATAAAAGCATATGTGTCTCGGGTTAGTTCTTATGTGTACACTTTTTCAGAATCCTCGGCAATATTTATACAAATGTTATAAAGAGGAGAGATTTGTATTTTGTATATATAAATAAGTCAAAAACTACTGGGCCCATTTTAGAAATTCTTTCACCGTTAGAAAGATAACTTATCTGCGAGTAACAAGGGCGATCTGTTTTAATGTTTTTATTTCACTTGAACGAAGTCAGGTACAGGTAGTCAATAATAATTTGACATTTACTGATTTTTTTTGTGACTGAATGGCCACTGTTTGCCTTAAAGAGGCATTTACAGATTCACCAGGCTTGAGGTTGCCGAGCGCAGATGGCGCTTAGCCTAAACCTCGTTTATGAGTAACTAAGCTAGAGGGCTTCCTCGGGAGCCTCAGCACGAGCCGTTACTTCGTTATTATTACCGGATTGCGAGGCCACCGACATTTACTGATAAATCCCAGGTGCTGCACATAGACCCGGACAAGCGCGAGGTGGTGTACGGTTACAAGTTGCCTGTGAGCCGGACCACCTCCGTGTGCTGGGGGGGACCTGACATGGACGAGCTGTTCGTGACGACCGGCCGCGACGCCGCCGCAGCGGAGCCACTTGCCGGGGCACTGTTCACTATCCGCTCTACCGGCAGTCGAGGTGTACCTATACCTGCTTTCAGATTCGATAACGCTGATTCTTATTAAAATCGATTATAAAAATATTTTTTTGTAGTTAATTGAAATAGATTGTGACAATCGATTTGTTTGAGGAATTGAAAACGATTTTGTGTTGTTATTTTTGTGAGATTTTTTGTAATTGGACAGTAAACTGTTTTAATATTTTTAATTTGTTTTATTTGTAATTCCTGAGTACATGTCCATCTGATTCTTATTAAAATCGATTATTTTAGGAATCGAAATCGGTTACAAAAATGTATTTTCTGAAGGAAATAAAATCGATTTTAAACAAATTTTCTTAAGGAATTGAAATCTATTTTGTTTTAATTGTTATTTTATGAGATTTTTTGTTGTACAGTAAATTGTTTAATGTGTTTCATTCAATTCCCCTATCCTTACATGTATCAAAGACGTTTACTTTTATTTAAGAAGAAAAAGCAAGAAAATCTAAGTGGAGCCACAGAAAAAAATCTGTATTTTTTAATTTTAACTTGCTGTGACCAAATAAAATTCTAGAAATACATATTTGCAGCTTAAAATAAAACCACATCATACTTATGAAATAATTTATTACAGCACAACATGAATATTGTAACAAGAAAAGTTCAACATTTTAGCAGCACTGAGAGTACTTTAATGGTTATTAAGTACCCTTAGCGACCATTAACCTACCATGAGGCATCTATAAATAACAAAATACTACAACAGCGATAGTCAAACAGTAAACATATTAAAAACTTGTTATATCACAGTATGTGATATTTATTTATATAGAAATTCGAAACATGAGATAAAATTTCCTTAAACATCAAATATTTCAATTTAAAATGAGAATGTCAACTTTAACAATTATAATCTACATATTAAAAAAAAGTAGGAATGTAATTTCGATAATTTTAAGCACAAACTAAATTATAATATTCGCAGAGATAAAAAATTGTTAACATATTTACTAATATTAAGATTTATGAGAAGGGATGAATCGCATGTAACAGGACGTTAGTTATGAATGTGGAGGTACATCGGTAGAGGTAGACCTAGAAAGAGATGGATTGCGTGAAAGGTGACATGATCAAGGGAGTGATGACTGAGATGACGTATGATAGAATGCTTTGGAGGACGAAAACCCGGTGCAACCCTACGGGAGTAGGATAAGGCAGGGGAGATGATGACTAATTTAAGCATTTAAAATACAAATAATCGCTTAATAAATTTTTTGGGCGAAAACATGATAAAACGATCCTTCGAGTCGGATGATCGTAAACTTTGTTAAATACCTCCTTTTAATTACATCCAAAACAGAAGTTAATTAACTTCATTAAAAATATCTTTCAAACAATGTAAAATAGGCCGAATTTAAATTATTTGCCTTACTAATATAGCCAATTACATAAAAACGTCAATTTTATTAAATTTAAAAAGAATTTGTGCTATATATATCATGTAAATCCATATCCCTTAAAACCCAACCCATTAACAATCCATTCCTAATTAATATTTTAACCCAATACCGATATTTTTTTTAACAATATTAACAATTTTATTTTGCCCTTTCCTTTTTATATACTCCCGAATTTGTCAATGTAGCTAAAACATAAATGTTTGTGGACTTACATTAAATTCATGAATTATTCATTAAAATTCATCACTTAATAACGAAAATAACTTAAAATATTTTGTAACAAAATTCGTTTTACGTAAAATCTTTGGAATTCAACAATTTATTAACTATTTGTCAATAAAATAACATTTACAATAATTTTGCCATAATTTTTCAATTATAATCTAAAACATTCTACAAACTCTAACATGTAACAAAGTCATGGACGTATAAACTATGAGAAATAAATCAAATAAATTATTTACATAAATAACTACTTTATCATAGTTATAATTTAATAACCAACAAATATTTTTTAACCCTTAGTTCGATGGAGTTTTTGTAGCAAAAAAACTATATACCAAGACACTTAATTTAAGTAAAATTCTCTAAACTAGTTCAGGGTTTTTTACTAGTTGATTGTTACTATCGAAATAAGTGTTACTTTTCAATAACAAGTGAGACAGAGAAGGAACATTTCTTTTGTCTCATATTATTCTGTCGCACCTATCGACTTTTGTATTCCGTCGTCTCGCTCACTCTATCTATTTCTAAAAGCATAAACAAGATTAGAATACAGTTAACATAGTTTAGTAATAAATAAAATTAAACATACTATAAATAAATAAATAGTATAATATAAAATAAAATAAAATAAAATAAAACAAAATAAAATAATATAATATAAAACAAAACAAAATAAAATGAAATAAAATAAAATAAAATAAAATAAAATAAAATAAAATAAAATAAAACAAAACAAAATAAAACAATGTGTAATCCTTGTCAACGCTACAAATATGAATACTAATGATTTTTATAACGAAATAATTACCTTATATTATAAATATCTGCATTGTATTAAAATAATTGCAAAAATACTGTGTAAAAGCGACTATTTATAAATTACAATATACAGAATTCATCGACTACTATGGACCTTTTAAGTTTTAAATATTTCAATAGCTATATAAAGTTTTAGGGCGGGCGCACACATTTGACTAAACTATCGCACAACAATTGTGCGATTATCGATTTTCAACTGCCTTCAACTGTTTAGTTGCACGTAAACTTTGAGTAACCTCCGTATAAGCTCAAAGCAATCAAATCGCGACTAAACAGTTGTGCGATAATTTTGTCAAATGCGTACTCTAAATCTACAACAGTTCTATATATTTTTATGTTTTTTTGGATTTCCATATATTAAAAAAACTACATTTTAAAAGCACGGCTCAGAATCTTTTACGATAACAATTAGGAATATTAACTTGAACACTGAAGTGTATCTTACCCGCATACTATTACAATAAGACATTTTAAAGCCAAATACTAAAACGAAACTTAAATAATTCATAAACGCTGCTAACTTCTTTTAGACGTAAAATTTACAAGGAATTTGTAGAAACCGTGGTCGTAATGACGTTTCAGTATTCACCCGATACAGGTTTTACCAAACAAAGAAATATGCAAAAGTTATATTGGACGATATATTCAAAGAAATCTTTAATGTTTAGATTTTCTAAAAAAAAAGTCTTATTTTAATAGTATTTTTATAGAAACTTACATATTAATTGTAATGACCAAATGGCAGTGATTTGAATAAATTGACCACGCCTACTTAAAACTCGACCAATCAAAATGTCGATACTTCTATCTCTTTCTCGCTTACTAATATGCATTTGTCTCACTCTTTTAGAATGAAACTTTGAGAGTTTCTGCTTTAATTATAACTTATTAATTATATGAACCTTTCATTTTATATGCGACTTAAAAATACATTAAGTTATTGAGGTTATGACGTAATACTTGTGTGAACCCAACACTATTAAAAGTTATATTGTATAGTTTCTTACAAAAGATTACCGAATTTTCTACGAAAAAACAACAATTCGATTATCAATTCCATTAATAACTACAATCATTTAAAAAAAAATTATAAACTATAAAAATAAAACTGAGATTCTTCAAGATAAAATGCGTTGATTTACGATTTATTTGTTAAAATTAATATATTTCATCTGTCAGTGAAATTGAAGCACCCCTGAATGATTTAGACAGTCCATTTCTGATATTTAGTTCAACTAACTTTGTTTACCCAAGTTTTTTTCATATGCACCATTTATCATAATATTATTGATTATTATAATCACATGATATGAAACTTCCTAACATTCTCTACATTCAATAGGCAATAGGCAATATGCATATGACGTCATATTGTACCAAACATTTTTTAAGTATACTTTATTACTATAAAAACATTCCTGCAAAGATATTTTTTAATATAACGTGATTTAGTGGCAAAATTTAATAATTAAAAAGTGTCTTTTTTTCAAATTTCTAAGTTCTAAAACGCACACTATTGGTCGAAGCAAATGGCTTATCTAATATGGCGTCGCTGTGTTGACAATACACAGTTCATTTAGAAATACACTCTTGAAGTATTTTACTGTAAACACGATATCAAAACCAACTTTAAAATAAAAAAAAAATAATGAATAGAATTACTAATTACCACTTATTTGTACCAGGAATAATAAAAATGAATCGATTTTTGACTTTTTGACCTTGAGAACCTTTGTCGTTTTTTTACGTCGAAGTGACATCTGAGCGTATGTTATGAATGGAATAAGACGATTGACGTCAATTGTCTCATGACAACTCCGGTTTTAGTAGCTCAAAAATGTCGTAATTTTATTTTATTATTTTACTTTTAGCTCAATGGTTGAATTTTCGCGTCAATTTTTTTTTCTGGTTATTTTATAACAATTAGAATCGTTTAAAAAAAGAAAAAAAATACATGCATATTCCCTATTCCAAAAAAAATCGCTTTCTACATATTCCTCACTATTTAAGTATACAACTTAGGTATATTGGTTTTTTTCTGTGTCTGTCTACCCCAGTTTAGATTTTGGGTGCAATAAGTCCGGTCATGATATCGAACGTGTTCCCGTCCGGCGCTACCCGCAGCTCGCGGGCCGCCGCGCGCACGCGCAGCCAGCCGCACTCGTCCACACCGCACACTACGCCCGCCACCGGGCTCTCCTCGCCCTCCCGCTTCAACATTATCTCCTCGCCACTGGAATACACGCTTATTTTATAACTTATCTTATTATTGTAAATGCAACATTTTAAACTGTTTGTAAAGTTGGATGGATCTCGAAGAAAGGCATAAACATAGAGGGTAGTCTGAAGGTGCTTGTTAAAAACAATCTCAATTAAGAATGTATAAGCAAAGGCTTTATTGAAATAATTGTTCGATATTACGTTTTATGAAATATAAACAACTAGCTTTCGCCCGCGACTCCGTCCGCGTGAAAGTAATAAAAAAATAAAAAAAATGTAACCCATGTTTTAAAATGGCGAAAGTGAAATTCATAGAATCAGCCCAGTAGTTTTTGAGATTTTTTCAATATATACAAAAAACAAATCTTTCCTCTTTTGTTAGCAGAGATTATACGTACTCATGCAACCAGTACTGGTAGTACTGCTGGAAGAAGACCTCCAGACCCTCATCAGTGTCGATATCCTCTAAGACCAGCTCCAGCTGCGAGCACCAGCGCGCCAGGAACTTCTCCACGGAGAGGGGGGCGAGTGGGGGGAGCGCGGGGGCGGCGCGGTTGTGTTCACTTATAATGTCGTTAATACACGTCGTCGGTATACTGTTGGATATGTTCACACCCGCACCTGGAATCGAGGGAATTAGTGTCAATAATTGATCAATAGATGGCGCTAATTGGAAGTTTTGAATTGACTTTTTTTATATTTTTTATTACATTTTAATGTTTTCAAAAAGGTGATTAAATATGGTATTATTAGTATTAATATATTCTGTAAACGTTTTTGTGCTGAATTAAATAAAAGTAAAATACGTTACCTATCTGTACAATGACGTCATCGCCTAAGCAGCTCGCTTTGGTGATGATGCCGCCTATTTTGACGTCACGACCGTAGTATATATCGTTGGGCCATTTCAGTCTGAAAGTTTATCACAAATTATATTTTAAATCATCGAAATTATGCTTAAAATATGGTAATAATTGTGTTTAGTTGTGTATAATCGCAGTGATATACCTTATATCCAATTGTTCATATTCAGTGTCAGCACGTATCGCACGCACTGCGGCCAGCGCGGCCGCGTGCTGCACCAGCGACAGACGGGGAGACATCTTACGCCACACCTGGAGACAAAGTTACTACATAAGCAGTATAGGTAGGAGAAATGTATGGACAGCGACCCCCCGCCCGCCAGCAGTGCGGTACAATGTACTGTACCTGTATAGAGAGTGCGGCCTGCCCGGGGGGTGTCAGCCAGGCGTTGCCGGCGCGCCCCCTGCCCGCCAGCTGGCGCCGCGCGACGCACGCCACGCCGTGCGACAGCGACCCCCCGTCCACCACCAGCGTGGTCGACTCTATCACTTCCGAGTATATCACTAGCCGACCGAGACTAGTTGAGGTTAGGTTCTGGAAGTAAAATTACATTAACTCAAAAATCTATACTACTACCTGTTCCCATGCGACTTCATCCGTATGAAATTATAAAAATTTCGTTTTATTGTTCACATTCACATTTGGCAAATTATCCATTGCAAATGTCAAAATGACATGACAGAATGTCAAACCATGGCCAGCAACTACTTATGGTCTCTTTCCCACATTAGGGTTTTTATCCAAAATATTTACCCCTAAGTTTAACGGCGTAAAAATATATAGCCTAAAGCGTGACGTTAGTGCAGGGCTTTTTATTAAAGGTTATTCGAATTCGGTGTTATTCGAAAATATGCTGTGATTGCTGAAATCTTAGGCAACAAAGTGTGTGTTTATGCTTTTTTATATTATATAGAATATAGAATATAGAATATAGAATATAGAATATAGATATAGATATAGATAAGATATAGATAATAGAGTTTAAACACGTAGTTCTTTGTTATAGAGGGGTGTTAGTAATAACAGTATTTTTTGAATATTTTTTTTTTTAATACAAAGCCCTACACTGGTTAATTTAGGGGTGAATACATTGGAAATAATTGTCATACAAGAAAGGACAAAAACTACAAATCAATAGCAGCAAAGTAACATTGGCATGGTAACAGTCTTAGTTGTTAATAAAACATTAGTATTTTGTCATTTGTAATTGACAATTTTACAAAATATAAACAATAAAATAGTTTCCATAATAATGCGGATTCACAGAAACATGTAGTTAGTGATATTTCATGTAACTATTGTGTAAAAAAACCGTAAATATATACTTACATCAAAATATTCGACAGTTGAAAAGTTTTCAGGGCATTCGTAAAGGCATACGGGCAGAAATTCTGCAGACGGAGGTTCTAGCGGCGTCTCCCCTCGCATGCACCATTGTATCGTTAGTTTATCCAGTTTCTGTATCCGTCTGCCTTCATCATCAGGGGAACACCATTTATTCACTAACGATATCTTATCCTATGTAAAAAATTGATAATTTTTAATTTATTTTTGTGATTAGAATACATTTCGATAGGAGACATGTATCACTTGAAAAGTGATTTAGAATTAAAAAGTGCCAAATTGAAATATAAAAAATTAGGTTATTTTTAATCAGATTTCATTTTAAATTTTAACAATAACAGCCAATAACATCTAAAATAAGGTGTAATAAAAAATTTTGTGTAAAATAACAGAAATTAGGTTTTTTTATTTATTTTTAAATTCACTACAAAATTAATTTTGCGATAGATGTCTCCACATCGAAAACATGCAACACTGATAGAAATAAATTCACCCTATATTTGCGTAAGAAATAGCAGTTTGTGCTTTTTGCGTAAAATTCACTCATTAGCATAATTTTAAGCAGATTTTAGCGTAAAATACAGCAATGTCTAGAATGGGGATGTTTCCTAATGTTACAAATCCAAATAAAGTTATGTTTAATATTTTAAAGACAGCATTTTATAACCTATAATAACATTTAGAGACCTTGAATGTTTGTCTCAAATTAAATATAAATTAAAAACGTTGCAATATTTTTTACCCTCCATTACTCGATCTCAAACATCAATGACGTCACTTTCTCGCATATAACATGACAGTGTGACCAACTTCAGTAAATGTCAGTGCATTTTGTAGTTATCTATTTTTTTAAATGATTATAAGAATTGAGTTTTCGTGTGTTATATTATGAGGACTCCATTATTAAGTGTTTTTATATTTACGACATATTTTACGAGCAAATTTTCGATCAATATGACGAAAAAAATAGTAAAAGTTATTTGAGTAAATAATATTCAAATTTGACAGACGGCGACGCGAGGTTTGTAAGCAAGAAAGTGACGTCATGAGGCGTTTTCGCGGTCTTTGGAGAAGTTGTTTTTAGTTAAGTGTTTTTGTAATGAAATGTTGCGTATATGATTTTATTATATTTTTTTTTCATATTCAGATACGGTTTATCTACATAATAAAAGCAATTCCAAAAATTAGGAAACATCCCCATTATGAGCGATTTAATTTTTCTGCCATAGATTTAAATTTTTAACAAGTTCCTAGTTATTGTAGAATTTAATTTAAGAGAAGCTTCAATAGCCTAAAATATTTTAATAAAGTATTATTGATTTCTCCATAATTTTAAAATTTCTTAATAGCAGATTTTTTTCTTTATTTTGTATATTATAATATAAGTATAGATAATAAATAGCATACAGTTATATGTTAAATTAGTTATTAGCTTTTATCTGCAATAGCAAACCATAGTAATTTATTATACTCTAAAAACATACAGCCCATAAGCATAGATTATTAGGAATTTGCGCCATGCTGTACATAAACACGATAGAATTAAGCACATTAGATAATATAACGGACATTTCAAGAAGAATATTAAATTTAATTACGTATAGACTAGATATTGGAATTCAATTAATAATTTTTCTAAACAACAAAAATCATTACATTGGTGGTGTCATGACTAAAAATAGTTGACCGTTTTCTCGACATTTTTTTTCACCGCCATTTTCATAACAAAAGCAAAATGGCGGTTCAAAATGGTCTTTCACGTATATCCTGGCAGAGGGCGGCCATCTTCATTTATTTTGGTCTTTATTTAGCTTATAAACAACATACATTTTTTGGTTATGTAAGATGTCAGCAATTACAACAATTTAAAAAAAATTCTAATGTTAATTTATGACATGTTATATATTTTCACGCTATTTAATTTCAAGGGTAAATAATTTGGAAAAAATCGTCATGATCTTGAGGATAAGCCGCATGGGGACAGTTAGCAAAAGCTACGTTATTAGTAACATAGACCCGGTTTTACTATTTTTTTTTAATTTTATGTGCGTGAAGTCGCGAGCAACAGCTAGTAGTGAATATTACTTCTTGAAATGTCCCTGTGTAAAGGTCGTGCAAAGCTGGCGGGCCTCACCGGTCAGACTGTCATGTGACCGCCGCGCCCCGCCCGCGCGCCCTAGCGGACAACACACGCATCATTTTGTTGTCTCTTTCTGATATATGGTATTGTTGCTCTGTCTCACTCTAATTATGTACTGTGTTCCATTGTATTAAAGTTTGTTTTGCAAACGCTAGTTGAACAGTTGTTTGAAATGTTTTGGGCAATTTTAAATTTCAGTTCGACATATTTTGGAATTTTAAAAAATGGTCGATTTAAGAAATTACTATAGACGGTTTTAACATATTTTTGTTAATTTTTTTTTCGTAAAAATATTTTTTTTTCTTCAACAATATTTCTTAAATTTATAGTGGAAAAAAATGATTTACGGAACACACAAAGTAAAGTGATTTTGTAAAAAATCTTTAGTGTGATGATATCCAATGATGGTGTTACTATGAAGCATGGATAAATACTTGGACATGACACTCTGTGTTAGTATGTAATACATTATGTACTAATTTATATAATCAATGCAATTATCACATAAAAACTGCACTATTATAACATGATAATGAAAAAAAAACGTTTATCTTTCATGAAATTTTAACAAAGATAATAAAAAAGCTGGATTTTTTAAATATTTTTCAGTATTAATTAAAATTGACTATTTTAAAAGAAATTGTACATCAAAAGTGTCTTTTAATTTTTTAAAAAATGTTTTGTACACCTGGAATAAGACTTTAATCAAAAAATAAACGTCTTTATGCAATAACTATGAACAAATGAGGATGCAATAGAAAATAACGATTATCATTTTAAAAACAAACATACCACATGATTGCCTAAAAAGTATCCCATGGTATAATCAACGTGACGTATTTCTTTAGGGTCCTTGACGTGGAGTCCCAAAATATCCCCCAATATCTTATGAATGATGCCCAAACGGGCCTCGTTGCTTTTAAACCCTTCATCACCTAAATAATCATTGGGATCCGCTTCGAGATGTATCTGAAAATTAATTTATTTCATGTAACAATTAGTACACATAAGAAATAGAAAAAAGGTTGACGACCTCTGACTTTTGAAATAATGTACGTTAGTCTTATTACCAATGTTTTTATTTGAATTATTACAAATTGCAATCTAAAATAAACATTTAAAACAATAATTTTAAATAATCTTAAATGAATGAATTCTTAAATTAATTTTTATTTATGTTTTACGCGACTGATGTATAAAGCAGGGGTTGTAAACCTTTTAGATTCTGACAATTATCAACCAAAACTATTTACTGATTTTAAAGCAATCTTATAAAATTAATATTATTCCTTTACTCAGAAATCTTAAAACATCACGTTTAATAGTGACGTATGATTTTACGGTAAATAAAATGACGTGACGGATATATAAATGGAATTGTTACACACAAACCTGTGAGAATATCGCGACTCCATTGTTGACGAGATCGGTGGCCTGCAGCAGCGAGGGTGTGCGCCAGGTCTCCTCTGACGCCAGGATCTGGATGTCCAGCTCGTGTCCCGGATGACCAGTGTATTTAGACGGTCTATTAGAAACACTCTTATTTATAAAATTCCATAATTATAAATCGATACATGCATTTGTTTATATTTTTTAAAGATTAAAATAATGTATAGTAAAATGAATATCTATAAATGCGATATTTTAAAAATACGGGTAAAATCAAGATATTTAAAATAAGAAAAGCTGCAGCTAAATTTATTAATACTTGTTTTTATTTTTATTATTGTCAGCTTTTAAACTATTTTGATGTACTCTGTATTTTTAAAGGTCATTTAGTCTGTGCTATAAATCAATACCATTTGTCATAATTTGAAATAACGATATAAGCTTTGTAATTGTGATCCAAAACATTATTTAAAATATTTATGTCATGGTTTTAGAATGTCATAATTCCGCTTGTTATGTTAATAAACGGATAGTATTCGGATGTCAAAAATAAGGGTGTTGCATTAACTCGACGACACGACGGCCATATTGGTAAGGTTATTTTGTGCAAATTAGAAGAAAACATAAGAGGTAATGAAGACTATATTTTATCAAAGCATAAAATGGCTGTAACGTCTACATAATATTAAAGTAAATTTATTTTAAAAATAAATACAATGCCAAACAATTGGTTTTTAATAATTACTAAATAACCATATTTTTTATTCTTAATCTTAATCTAAAAGCTTGTATAATCTAGAATTACTTTAATCCTAAAAATTGGCTAATATAATCGATTTAAATTCATAACATGCAAAAACATAAAATCGTGATATATTTATGTTCATGTCATAATTATATTTAACTTAGCAAATTACATTTTACAGCAAAACAAGCGAGAAATAATTCATTTTTTCGCCAAAACATACAATAATTATTAAAAAAATGTGATTTATTAATAGTATGTCATACCGGCTGAAATTGCCTTCTTGACTTGCTCTGGAAAATTATATGAGACATATTTATTAAAAAAAACAATGTAGTAATAAAAAAAATAAGTTATCAATCAAGATAACTATTCAGTTTTAGACATTTTTTGACCAACGCTAAAATATTATAAAGAGATTCTTTTTTCCCAAATCATTTTGCCCTTTTACTTTGAAATTTTGTGACGTGTTATTTATTAGAGTATCATATGTTTGTATTGAAACTTACTGCCTGTCACTCTCAGTGGAGAACTGCTTCTTGGCGGGCGAAGCCTGGTAGCAGAAGATGTGATGCTTCATCTTGACTGACTTCCATTTGTCGTAACTGAACTGGACTATTTCACTTTCCCGAACCTGAAATAACAACGTATATAATCACACTATGGTACTCTATTCACCATGCAAAAGTCTTTACAAAGTGTCTGTATATTAGATTAAAAGATATAGACGAAGTTTCGGAACACGCTGTATAGCGCTCGCATCACATAGCGCCCTCTAGTGCGTTTTGAAACACGCTGTATAAAGCACGCACGTCGCAACGCCCTAGTGTGTATTGCAACACGCCGTATATCGCACACACCACATAGCGCCCTCTAGTGCGTAGTTTAACACTTTGAATATAGCACGCGGTAAACCCGTTTTCTAGTATGTAATGCAACACGCTGTATATACCACATACCACGTGGCGCCTTCCAGTGTGTAACACAACACGCTATATATAACACACTCCAAACCCGACCTCCAGTGCGTATTGCAACACGCTGTGTATAGCACGCATTACGTAGAGCCCTCTAGTGTGTATTGCAACACACTGTATATCGCACACGTTGAGAATAGAATGCAGTAAACTCGCCCACCGTACTGGTGGGCGAGTTTACTGCATTCTATTGTACAACACGTTGAATATAGCACTCGGTAAACCCGCCCTCCAGTCCGTATTCGTAGTGCCCTCTAATGCATAGTGCAACGAACTATTACTGCACGCACTACACTCGCCCTCCAGTGTGTAATACATCACTCTGTATACAGGGTCGCACCTCAGCAGTCTTGTAGTAGGGCAGCACGGCGTGCAGCAGGTCGGAGCAGAGCGCCAGCAGGCGGCCGCCGTCCAGCAGGTGCGCCAGCAGCAGCGGCGCCGCGCGCCCCGCGCACCCCGCCACGCCCACCAGCGCCGCGCGCCCGCGCCACGCCCCGCCCTCCAGCGCCTCGCGCGACACGCTGTATATAGTGTACCTACACCACAATATATTAATTAACTACCGCTGCCACAAAACTCCGTCCGCATAGTATATACAAACAAAACAGTAGGTTATCTATGTTCTATATCTCGAGAATGTAGTAACATACATCCATCCACATAAACTTACGCATTAATATTACTAACATACAATAAGAAAGGATAGCTAGAATATGTCAGAAAATTTGGCGATAGTAAATACATTGTTATTTAAAAAAAAACTTGAAGTCCAGTTGACGGAATGACATTCATTTCTTCCGGGTCTTTATTTTGTTACAAGACATTTTTTTGTTGCATAAAAGAATCTATACTAATATTATATAGATGAAATTTGTATTTTGAATTTTCGCATGTATTGGAATAACTTAAAAATTACTGGGCCGATACAATAAAAAACTATGTTATTAGTAAGTAACATAGGTTATGTTTTTGTATTATTCGTTAAATTCACGCTGACGCAATCTGAAGCAACAGCTAGTATGTTTATAAAATTGTTATCTACATTAAGAACTATTAGACCAATTCAATATTCACAAAAAAAAATATACTTATTTAAATTGTTAGTTGTTGTAATGTGAATGTTGAAAAAATAAATTACCTGTCACAATCCAGTACTTTCCTAAGTGAGGCTTCTAAATTATCCCTCGCAACTACACTATCAGAATATATCAAAACATTAGGTGACTTTGTATTTATTAGTGGACGGGAACTTTTCAAAGACTTTGGTATACTCTGCGATGGACTTTTACTCACTTCTTCTTTCACCACTGGTATTGTTTCTTGGGTTTTCCTCGGCCCAGTCGTACTAACAATTCTTTTATGAGTAGTTATAGATTTTATTTGACTAGATATATTTAGTAACGAAGTCGATAATTGACTTGTACCTTTTTTCAAATCTAATTTCAAACTAGATTTTTTCGGTGTTATATTATGTTGAATTTCTACTGTCACATTTTCTAGAAGCACCTCTCTATCTTTATCATCTTCTATGGTCTTCTTTTCTGGTTCCGATTTGTCAAATTCATCTTCAGCGGACAAAGACCTAGTTGTTATTGTACTAACATCCGCTAAAGTGACAGTTTTTTTAGGTACAGTATCTAACTGGTCACTTCCTCCGTTCATTTCAACAGTTGTACTTCTATCAGATTTGATATCAACAACTTTGGATAATTTCTTCAATAATGCCGCATGAACTGGCCATTGGAATATTTCCGGTGTTTGTTTCAATCCGAGCTGTATATCAGTTCGTAATCCCCTCATAGATGCATCCGTAGCTTTGTTTGGTTCCCCTGATAATTGCACAGCTGAAAAAGGATTGTACATTTTTATATAAAAGCTATTTTTGTTACTGCTAAATATTGGTGCCCACGATACAGGCATTGCCTAGTGTGGGCATCACCAGACTAAAAGTATTAGACACAGATTGTAACTAGTTTTATGTTGGTATAACTGTAATTATAATTGTCTAATTCTTTTGTTTTCGACAAATTATTTCTATTTCTATACTGTTTACCAACTTTGCTGGTTTACTTTAATAATTTGATTTATTTTAACATTAACTTTTGTTGGAATAGTTTAAATAAATTGTTAATTCAATTTTAAATAGGGCCTGAGTAGTACGAGGCAAATCTTTTTTCGTTTGTTTTAGAATGTCTAGTTATTAGGAACTTGGAAAGTGTAACTTTTTCTAACATAATTTATCTTATTAACATTGTTAATGGAAATGTTTAGATGGATGGATGTTTGTTAAAGTTTGTAGCCAAACCGATTGGATGGATCTTGATGAAATTTGGCATAGACATAAAGGCGACAGGCTACTCACTTTTGTTTTTTATAATTCCACGCGAACAGAGTCGCAGGAGAAAGCTAGTATTAACATAAAATTATTACAATAACTTACTCTGTATCCTAACAACAGGTAGTTTATGGTCAATAATAAATTCTCCACCAATAAAATGAAAGCCGACCATACTGAGGTGTTCCATGTTTGTCTTCAATACAATGGCTAGATGTGACCCTGCCTTCCATGCTACTGGCTGGCCCATTGACTCTAACTGAAATTAAAAGGATTATATTAATATTATAAGATTTGTATTTTTGTATGTATTAAAATAACTCAAAAACTACTGAGTCAATTTAAATTTTTCACCATCAAAAAGCTATGTTGTCGCGTAACATAGGCTGTGTATTTTTTACAATTTTTAATTTAATGTGGACGAAGGCGCAAGCAACAGCTATTTGATATAACAAACTTTTACTTAAGGCCCAACAATTAATAATACAGTAGAACCTCCATAACTCAAACCTCGGTAAAATAAAAACCTCTATAACTTTAAAAAATAATATGTTCTCTTCCCATCAGAGCCCAAAACCTCTATAACATACCCTTGATAACTTAAAATATTGTATTTCTCTTGGACTTTAACTTATCAAGGTTCTACTGTACATTCCTTATTTAATTTACTTTTGATTAAACTTTGTTATTTTAATGAAATTATATTTGTGAAAATTTAGATAGATGGATGATTGGATGTTTATTAATGTTGCGGCAAAAAAATCATGTTTTCATATTTAGGGTTACATCTTTTCATTTAATCAAAAGAAAATCTATTTAAAAAATCACAATTGGATAAAGGTTTTAGCAAATGAAGGAAACCATAGATTGTTAATGTTACATAAATCATTGCACTGCAGTTTTATAAAATTCAATTAAGGTCTAATAATAAGTACAATGTCACTAGAAAAAAAAAGAAAATCATTGTCAAATATATGTAATAATACACTCATATGCCTCTTTTGAGAAAACCATAAAGAATAATTAATCTATCCTACAAAATATGAATAAACTCACTCAAGATATAACTGCTATTGTATGCCAAGTACTTATGAATTTCAGCCAAATTAATAACTTAAAAATACTGTTTAATTTTTAAATTTCTTTGCAATTCCTTCAAATAAAATATAAGGTGGCAAACAAGCAAGCGGCCAACTGAAACTACCGAAATGGAAAGAGACCGCTGTCCATAAACATCCGATATTGCAGATGCGTTGCTTATGCTTAATTGACGGAGGAAGAGACATAAACAGGACATTTCCCCTTCTTATGCGTCTCCTCCACCGTCAAATCCACTTTTCTTTCCCATCCTTTACCCTGAACAAAAGGGTGGAAAGGAAAAGGGACTAAATTTAGTCCTTCTAATTCTAATTGAATACAATTTTCATTTTTTTTCATTTTTCTAATATACATAATTAAAAATGTAGTTAATCTTACAGAGATTATGTCATGGTGTGAACTTCCTTCGTGCGGCTCCATCTCACATTCGAATAGCACTTCAACATCCAAATCCGTAACAGGAGAAATATCATTCGATCCTAATGGGAGGCCTCCGGTACATGTCACCCAGTCACATACATCTATACACTGTGTTGGCTTCATACTACATATCCTTGAGGCATTGGTATAATCCAGTAAATCACAGAGGTAAGCATTTTTAGGATTTGTACATAGTTTAGAGCTTAGTGTTGGTGTTTCTGTAAATAAAAAGTGATTAAATACAAAAAGATATAGTAGTAGATTGTAGAAACTATTTGACACTGTTCTATTCATTGATAATACCCTTTATTACATTGAATATTAAGGGCCTGTACCAACACTGGCTGATAGAGCCCCAGACAGCTTAAAAATGACATCAGTCAGCTAAGGGAACAAAATCCGATATTTCTATCACATATTTTACATGTTGGAACGTTATCAGACAATTTACAATTTGGTGGGACAGGCCCTAAGTCTTGTTAGAATGTTAAGATATTTGGAAAAGATAACTTTTAGTAACCATCAATAATTAAATTGTAACATAAATTTTAATATAAATAATCTTACCAGCTGCATTCTCAGGTACTTTACAGAAAGCCACACTTGTATTGCCGCTTAGGAACTCGAGAAGGCGAGCCCGGAAAGAGCGAATTCGCCAAGTTTTTATGAAAGTCATAGCGATATAAATCGGCGTAAACAACATATTTAAGAAAGGACGATTCACACGCCAAAGACACGCGCTCTACACTTTCATATTAAAGTATTATTCTGCGTATTACAATGCAATAAAATAAAAAAAATATATTATCGATTACAAGGTTTATCTTATAGGTCCAAATATTATGTCACTCAATTAGAGATATCGAGCACTGTTTTTACAGACTGATTAATCTTGTTAAAATTATAAATATGACATTGTTAATTCATAACTTTAAGCAGAAATATGATTGAAATAAATTAAATTTAACAAATCCAATACTTGCACAACGGCAGACCACAGACAAAACATTCGAATAAGATTTTAAAACGTCAAAGTGAAATGTCAATGATGTTGCGTCTAAAAACTACTTTTCTACATTCCTTTTTTTTTCTTACAAAATAAATAAAAAATCAAGAAAAACATCAATTTCTGCTTCTTGTGTGTACAACATACAGATCAAAATAAAATACATGATTTATTCTGAATGTGGTGGTAACTCAAGATAACAGGTATACCAGTAATTGAATTAATATAAAAAACGTATTTATTCTGATCTGGGTATGTTGTACACATTAGAACCAAAAAATATATTTTTGTTTGATTTCTTTATTTATTTTGTAAGACATGTAAAAAAAACGAACTGAGGAAAGTAGTTTTATACCTTGGTGTTACCACCACATTCGGAATTTCGTTACATTGGAATATCGCTAACACTTAGCAATTTATAATCTAAAACAAATAATTAAATGAATCAGTAAACATACTTTACGAGTTTATATTTTTGTAATCAATCGCAATTATTAACTTTGCAGGGAATTATATGAAATGCAGTGGTATGAGTTATTTTCTTGGTTACTTTTATGCCTGTACTTTGTTGTTTGGATAGTATTATAAAAAGTAGATTGCATAAACTATCTGTTACATCTCGTTATTTGTTTATTTGAGAACTTTAACCTCATTTTTATAGCCCATAAAGCCACGGTCTAACCGACCATTATCATTATTATTATATACTCCATTTACAAATAATTACCTATTTCTTATCGTTATCGATTAGCGTGCAAATACAAAAATATTCCTATGTTTATGACATAAACGTTAATTTAAATGTGCATAGAATGATAGTTTGTCTTTCTCTGCAAAGAAAATACTAGCATTTTGACCTAAATGTAATGAATCTTCGTCCCTAGAATTTAATTGTTAGATATTTATTACACTAGCTATTAAACATTAGGTGTAGTCGTTATCAAATTCTTCCTAAATAAAATACAGCAATTGGTACACGTTTCAACTAATAATTACTTAAAAGAACTACACGTTATTCTATATTATTTTGCAAACAATGTCATATAGCGATCAATTAAAACTACTCGTATAATCAGTTCATGACGACTTCCTGACTACTTCCTTGCGATTACGTGGTTAGCAGTCAACACGCATTGACGCCTTAGACCAAGGGCGTGACCACACTGGAACGGTTAAGCAAATAAATGATAAATCTAGTAAATGAAACATTCTTTTTCCTTGTTGTTAACGCACATTTAGATAATACAATTAAAATTTTATTTTGTACTCTTTACGCCTATTTGCTATAATTAACTTTAGTGTCATATTTATAGATGTAATCTAATGAAAAATTAAAACTTTAATACGTATTTTAATTAGTCTATCTACCCATTGTAAGAAATATTAACAGTTAGTAATTTTTAGATACCTAGAATGATCATTATAATACTGGCAGAACATAACCAGAAAATTACTACAATTTATTTAAAAAAAAAAAAACAAAAATAATGGCTGACCAGCATAGATGATATACACTATTTATAGAATCAATGCTTGTGATCGGATTATTAGCGCCTTGAACGCAATACATTATTGTAAACTTACTTAGAATAATCGTTTAAAATCAGGTCAATTGTCTATCGATAGTGGTGCTTTAGGGTCAGCGAAGTGCAAAAAAACATTAGACAAATAGCACACAAAGTATTTTTATTTAAATAACAGAAAAAAACAATCATTGCCTTTACCTCGTCCTTATGCCATTTGTGTCTATGCGGTTCCGGTTTTTAAACTATTAGTACCCTGGGCGGGAGTTCTACGGCCCTTTTTATCTCCAGTCTGTGCACTTCGCAGACATGTGGCATCCCTTTCTATCCAGCGCCCTGGACGGTTGCCCAACGACCCTGACACTATTCGGCATTCCGTTTTTCCAATCTTATACTCGCCATTAAAAACGCAATAATTTACTTTAAGAAATTTCTTATGTATGTGATATTTCTATTTAAATTTATTTAAGCTATTATGGCTACATGCATTTATATTGTTAGGATAAAAAGCGGGATATTAATAAACATTTCTGTAACTTCAAACAAATTATCTTGCACATTTTGGTTCCATATCTCAGGTAGTTTGGACCATTCACTTTCAATTTTATTACACTGTTAAATACAAAAATGGTCCCACAAAAAGACCTGTTGTTTTTTTTAATGCATTTAAGACGACATGGCCAGGACGTTCACCTAAATTTTAGTGATAAAATGTTTAAAATTTGTTTAGGATTTAGTATTTACGATTAAAAACTTGAACGATGACCTTGAAAGGAGTAGGGTGTTTTTTTATTTTGCTGTTAAGTGAAACAAACCTTTAAATTTATTACTTAAAGTGTATTTTCCGTTTCATTTTTTTTGTCAAAGATCAAAGTCGATGTCCCATTACTCATGTAGGCGCGGGAGAAAAGTATTAATAATTTATGGATTTCCTCAAATTCCACGAAACGAGCATAAACATAACGCCATCCCTGTCACTGTCATTTAAGAAACAAAGACAACATATTTTAATAAAACTTGCAACACCTTTTTACGCATACAATTAAATAGAACGCAAGTTGATTGTTATATTTTTAATTGAAAAAATAAAGTTATTGACCCTATAACAATGATCGTAGCAGCTCTGCCATTTTATGCTATCTCATAAATACATATTAATTGCTTATGTATTAAAATATCAACATAATATATGTATATTACGTATGCTATAATTTCTCTCGCAGATAAGGTAACGAGAAAAATAACATTTTTAGTCATATAACATACATTGTGTAACAAAGCAAAAGTAATATTATATTTTTAAATTTATGAGATTTCCAATTTTTAGATCAAAAAATGTGGTCTAAACTTTTGGCCAAAAGTGTACGTATCGCAGTGAACCTTTTTATTTTATTTCTCAGTTAAGAATAGCTTAAAGGCTTCTTCTCATATCTTTCTACCTGCGTCCGAACCCTCTAATATCGGTCCAACCGTATTCAAGATGAGCTGTGACATTCGGACAAACAGAAGAAAAAAAACTATTTAGATTTTAATTGTGTATTACTTTAAAAACAATTATTTACTGATGGTGTTTAATTATTAATTAACACATAGTATTTAGCATTTGACAGTTCTAATGGCAGTATAACCTATATTTTTCTACGACTATTAAAAAGAAACCAAGGCGAAGAAGGAATACGCCACACGACATGCTTACGTGAGTATACAAGGTATAATGCGTGCACAATAACACTACATTTAAGCCGGGAATCTAGCGAACCAATGGATTTCTTCGGTCCCGTAATATCATGTCAGACCCATATCTAAAATCAGCCATAAAACAGTGATAATGGAATACGGAGTTTGCCAAAGCTGAATTAGGTTTTTTTTATAACATATGATGGCAAACGAGCAAGCGGCCACCTGAATCCGCCAAAATGGGCGAAGCGAACGCTGCCCATAGACATCCGCAATTGCAGATGCGTTTCCTACCCTTATCTGACGGAGGAGTAGACGCACATAAAGAGGTTTTGTGTGGAACGGCTGTTAAAGCGTTTGCTAGAAGAAAATAAATCTATTTCATATTATCATAACATTGGGTTTGCTTTCGCTACAGAGCTGTAGAGGTCAAAAGTTCACAATCACTTAGAGATTTCCCTACGCCAAAAGTACTACGACACTCAAATTAGTAAGGTAATAAATTCCCTTCATTTCATTTATATCAACTGAACTATACTATCCAATATCAAGATGTGCAATATTTTGCCGGCGTTTAATATCACCCATTAAAGCGGGAGCGATTAACATCGAATGTTATTTACAACACGACCTCATGTCGGTTGATAAAAGCAGTTGATGTTGTTTACTTCTCTTCAGTCGAACATCGGACATAGTAGAGAACGGACGTGCTGACCGCGCAAGTTGAAAGTGATCCGTGATAATGGAACTTAATTTCGTAACGACATTAATAAAACACGACGTGAACCATAATGTGAAACAGTGCTTCAAATCTAAAAAACCATTCAGTAAGTTTTCGTTTTATTAATTTTAAAATTTATCGGATTACCCTTTATATATTTTTTATTTACAAACAAACTTAACTCATCATCATCATCTTCTGACATAGCTATCTTAAATCTAACTTAATGTTAAGTTAGTAAAGTAAAGATGTGATCAAAGTATGGTACACACTTGTTTGGTATAACCATAACTTGTTCCGCCTACGTTTCAAATAAAAGCAAATAAAAAGCCCGAAATACCTTAGAGGGAGACAGAATACGTCTAGTTTGGGGTCCAAAATAATAATAAATCGGAGCTTTCAATTGCCGTTTGTAAACATGTTTATAGTCATTTCGTCAATTTTACTAGTAAAAAATAATATTTTTATATCAATGAAAAATAGTTTTAATTCTTGAGAATAACTTTAAAATCATTACATGTGTATGTTTATACTTTATGTAAACAGTTTTTCACACTTTCATAATTAAAAATTAAGAACTTTCTGGAAGGTTCGCAGAACACCAAGTATCAAATAGGTCATACAACTTACTCGTCCCTTTTATCTGAATGTTTATATTTGAATATAATTAATGCAACAGCACGGAGAAATTATAATTGTTAGAAGCTACTTTCAAAGATAATCAAATCCATATAACACTATAGAAATAGAATGATTTCGATAAAATGTATTAAATGTAAAAGTATTTGTCGAAATAGATTTAATAAACATAATAAAAATAGCAAATGTGAGCAAAACTTACATAGAAACGAAACTTAACGCAACATTGAGTAACATTTTAAAATTTTTAGACGAATCTGAGTTCAATACATTTTACAATGAACAGGTAGCATTTGGACCTTACACCGAAATCTTTTGTATTTATTGTTCCGATCTTTGGGACTAGTAAAAAAAAATGCGTACGTGTGGAAGAGCACATACACGAGAATACAAACAATTTTGTCTGTGGAGTTACACTGGTAATAAAACATGTTGTCCCTCTCACATTCATTGAATAAAAGAAAGACAACGATATATAAATCTTACGGTTGTCAAAAAGTTCTTATACAGCTTAATATTAAAAGATTTTAAACATACTTCGCACTTCTGAACATATCACTTAAGATATAACAATCTCTAATTACGTAAACATATAATAACAATCAGTTTTTCGTAGAACTTTCGTAGCGTACTCCGTAGAACGTCAGGTATTAACAGCTTTTGCTTTCACCGAAAATATAACATACTGTGCACATTCCGGTTTTTAAGCGACCTTTAGGGCTTTGACGATTTAATTTGTAAACTATCTAAAGTAAAAAAACTTCAACTAAAAGCATGTATCGCAAAGTTCATCGACCTCTAATTTTTATTAGCAAATACCCCACGCACATGTCAACTGCAATAATTAGGATATTGTTATCTGTTTGTCGTCTAATTGTGACGTTTGAGTCCTGTCTTGTGAACGTGACGGGATCAACGTAGCGTACACCGAAGTCCAAATTTAATTGTATCTATATAATGAGTTGCTATTTGCTCCTAATGAGTAAATAAAATAATGTACACATTGTTAATTTAAGCAATTAGTTATTATTCCGTAAATTATTTTTGTTTTTAAATATGTTTAACAGAGATGTTCAATTGATTTTTTTATTGAATCGTCGAATATTTTGCGTAAACTTTTAAATTATTTACAAAACAATAGATAAACTCTTATTAAACAATTGACAACTAATATTAGAATAATAGTAATACCTTCGTGGTTTAAATTATTCTTGAATTATAAATTAAAGATTGGATTTTTGTTACAGTAACAAGAAAAGAAGAAGTAATGGCTATAAAAAATAAATTTCCTACCAAAATACCGGTAAGACTATAAATTTAATTAATTAAGTGACATAAATTCACTTTTTTCAATATTTCACTTCAATATTTTTTTTTAGTTAATCGTCGAAAGATCACACAAAGAAAGAAATTTGCCCGCGCTAGACAAAACCAAATTCCTCGTACCAGAAGATATTACAATGTCACAATTCCTAGTCATTATAAGAAACAGAATAAGGATTAAACCGAATCAGGTAAGATTTAAGAAACATAATTTATAATAAGTTATCTGTTTTAATATCCGAAAAGTGAGGCGCCGCTCCGAATAGTGATGGGGTCGAGAAATAAATTACGATGCTCACCGATGAACTCAACTGCATTAGTACATATTTTCATCCCAATCATTTTCTGTACTAAAACTGACTACAATATATTGCATTAATTCAATGTCACTGCAGTGAAATTCTACGGTAAGGTGAAAACTGACGAAGCAGAGAGTAGGGATGTACATAAGTTTATTACCGGTTTTTCGTCCGACATATTTTTTACGTTTTGAGATTGCAATTTGATTTTGGCTGTGTAAAAATCTCACGATTGTAATACCAAGATTTGGTATATCCCAGCTGGTGGACGGATGACTTCTGTTTTAGATAATAACGAACATGTTATTCATTACATCGATATTATCCGACCATTTGCTAATGTGTCCTTACACTATTATTAAATCTCATAATCAGTGCATATTACTTACGTCAGCGGTTTATATTAATTATAATTAATTTAAACGGCTGACAAAGACCGGGGCGAGGGCGATGATACATGATAAGGAAATATTAATTGAACGGAGAAAATTCTGTAGACACTTCGGTGACAGATAGCTGAGAGTGGCAACAAGATGTTACTCATTTATCTAAATTCTAACTATACGATATTCATAACAATGTTTCAAGCATCATTAACTTTAGTTTAGAAGATTTAATAATTGCATTTTATTTATTTTATTTGTAGGCACTCTACTTGATAATCAACAACAGATCAATGCTTAGTATGAGCCTGACTATGGCCCAGGCTTACGAGAACTTTGGAGACGAAGACGGCTTCCTTTACATCACGTACGCCTCGCAAGAAGTTTTCGGATATCACGACGGTAAGATATTATAAGAATCCAGACTTTACGTATGATAACTTAGCTTGTTTGTAACTATCGGCAGAGGTAAACACGAACTGCCGTGCGTCAAGCCTCCGTATTCTTTTACTTCTCGCCGATGAGTGAAATTGTGTCCAAGAGAACTCCTTCCAAATAGCAAGCCACCATAAAACGGTTGGCATTTAGAAATTTCAAAATAGTATAGTACGAAAACCTGCTCTCACAAAAACAATTGTTGACAGATATGACGGGACCGAGTCAGGAAGTTGAGGCGATAAGACATCGCTTCCCAAATAAGATACCGGTAAGTATCACATCACTATTTCTCCTCTATTTATGGTCCGATTATTTATCTTTTTTAAAATACTTATTTTTGTTTTTAGTTGTACGTGGAGCGATATTCTCATGAGAAGGAGGTGCCCGCGCTCGGCAGGAACAAGTTCCTGGTGCCGCAAGAACTCACCATGTCTCAGTTCCTTTATATTATTCGAACAAAGATGAAGTTGAGGGATTCACAGGTAACGTATAACTTTTGATTAGAATTGAGAGAAACCGCCTTAACCAAAATAGTTATTACTACTATTTCCAATGAGATATTTAAGCTTTATTTGTTATATCTTAGGCGTTATATCTATTGGTGAACGACAAAGTGCTGGTAAGCCACAGCATGACGATGGCGCAGGCGTACCAGCAGTTCCGTGGCAACGATGGCTTCCTCCGCATCACATACGCCGCTCAACAAGTATTTGGTTGATAATGTAAGTTGTTCCCTTTATACTGTTTAATTGTTTGTGACTGACACGTCCAATTCCATTAAGATTTTTTAGTACAAAATTAAATTCTCAAGGCTACACATTACAAGTATAAGTGAACCCTATAGGTATTCGACCAAAAGAATGCCGCAATTATAACTGATATGTTGTTAAATTACTGTGACCGCTTGCTCGATTGCCACATTATACTATAAAAATATGCTATATTTTAATCTTAAGAAAATGTATGTTTATATCAGTTCACAATGTTTACAATATGTCGATAGGCTTAAAATTTATTGCAATAGGCATATAAACAAAGAAAGTCGATATCGTATTGGATGGAAAGAAAGTCTATTTTTAGACATCCTCTGCCTTTTATCGGCCTGAAGCCAAGGTTAACAACGTAAATGAAAACAAACTCGTTATCTTGTCCCGATTCCTGTATTAAGGCGAAAGCAAAAATCAAAGCAAACAATGATAAATAATTTCAAAAATAATTCATTAAACTTTAGTAGTATTCTGCCACAAATCTGTAATTTTTTTGGTAAAATTAATCGTAACATGTACCGGTTACACAAGTCATTGGTACAACCCTATTTAGGCGGTTTCTTAGATTTGTTTGGCACATTTTTTTTATTTTATTGTACCGCTACTACTGCCAAATTCAAAATATCTTTAATTTATAGTTTAAAAATTGTATCAATTAATTTGTATTTCAATATCTATCGATAACTGATTTTCAATGAATAGATTTCCGAACGTCTCTTAGAAACAGAACGGAGATTTGTACTTCTGACTAGAATTACCAACAAAAATATTCCTATCAGTGGTTGGTATAACATTACGGTATAACGATACGTAATAGGTGCTTCTACATTATTGATTTATTGGTTTGTTGTGATAACTGGCCAATAAACAACATTACATTGTAGCACTCACGTATCTGTGTGGAAGAAAACACTCGATTATGTTGTGTATACGTACGTCATTGTAATTGAAACTTGATAAAATAAGTGCAATTTACGGTTACCATAAATTCGTCTCGATTAAAAGCCTAAATTTAATAAACGTCAAAAAATGTCTATAAATAGCGTTCATATGCTGCAAGAATTTGCCCAAACCGAACATTGATAATGATTCGTTAACGTTTAACCGTGTTTAATTTTCTAGATTTTTCTTCAGACGGACCAAAAAGTGAAGTTTCTATAAAAAAATATTCAACCATAAACATCAATTTTTAACTCTTATCATAACCAAAGCTACAACATTCGTTACCAACACGTGTTGCTAAAATTGTAAAACAATACTAAATGAAATTAAAACTTCATAGATTTTTTGTTGCGAGGCGTGTATCAAATTGCGACCGCTATCTGAAGGGTTGCTGACCGCGCTAATCAACGCAAACTTATGTCCTATTCGGCAACAGTGCCCCTTGACTATCATATTATAGTGATATTCCCGTAGCAACAAAATAATTATAATTTCATCTGTTCTAACATTATAGAACTTTACCAATCTAGCACAAAACCTAGATGTCTAGTCTACACGCTATTCCTGTCTAAATAATGATTTCTATGTTACAATAGACAACAATTTAGATTTTGTACAATTCCACAGATAATCATCATACATTATTTATGTCACAATAATAAGTTTATCTCGGGTCGTGGAGAACAAACAGTCGTTGCCAGGAGCGAGGATTGTCTCCAAGGAACTGATAGCGACAATTTATGCCCTCTAACAGTGATATCTCGGTAGCCCCCAGCGGATTCTAAATGAATCACGTCTGCTTTCAAGTAATATTCCATAGCATGCTTTGTTACATGTATCTTCGATTTATTGGTATTAAAGTTTACTGAACTATATTCACATGTTTCAATGTCAGCAGTGTTTTGTTATAACATGGTTTTCACACTTTTTAATCTCAAAATCTCTTAAATTACTTTAAAAAAGAATTGATTTCGTCGTGTAATGGTACATTTCGTTACATGACAGAGAAAGACGTAAGATAACGTAGGTGAGTGAAAGAGAGCGATAATGATTTACTCTATGGTGTTTCGTTTTTAAAATATTTTTTTTCTTGTTTCAGGTAAATCGTTCGATCCAGTTCAGTGGTAATACTGGTGTTTCCTAACGCTAATGAAGACTGATAGTATTTTATATTGTGTTTTAAGTTTAGGGTTTAGTATTTTTAAACAATGACACACCATTCAATCCGTGCTGCGAGAATGTGAACATATTTCTTTGAAGACAGACCTCGTAGTTTTACAATACTTAAATATATAAGCTTTTTTTATAAAAATCAATGTAAAATGTATTTAAATAAGCCATCAAGATCAGAGTATCTTATATTAGTATGTAGTGAATAGGGCTTCCGAAAATATTACATAAATAAATGCATTTAAAATGAAGTAAAACGTATGATTTTATATTATTTTTGTCTACTAAAGCTTATAGTGATGTATGTTCTTGAATTTTTTTTTTAATTTATAAAGGCCTATTTACTCTGAATAAATTTGTTTTAAATTATTTAACGACTTATGTATTTATATTTTATTGTGTACGTAGGTTAAGAATTGTGTTTTAATAATTGTATATGTAATGTAATCGTTCATTTGTATTTTTTTTATATTTTAATGTATCGATGTATCATTGAAATTGGATTATGATCTCAAATGTTTAAAAATTATATCATAAAATGGTGTTACAAATAAAATGAGGTGATTTATAAAAAACGTGAAGTTATTTTTTCGGGTATAGAAATAAGTCCTTTGTAATATTTAAACAATTTATTACTATAACTTAAGTATCTTAAGTTCAGATATTCTTAACAAGGCATTAATAACCTCCGCCCGGGCGCCATGCTGAAAGGGCGCCCTAACGTCGGAATGTAGCGGGCGCCGGCCAATGGCAGTACTTCTTTTAGTCGTCAGACTGATTTTTGCACGCGGGCGCCCATTTTAGTTAATACAGCCCTGTTTTGTACTTTACCAAAGAATTATAATTTACAGATTACACTTATTAATTATGAATAGATTTTCATATTACAATTTGTTTTAATTCCTGTCGGGTCAGTCGGTGGAGATGTTTTGTGCTGCAGCGACAAGTGTGTCATGGATGTCCTTGGCATAGGATATTTGAAGACGGACCGTGTTAAGATACTGCGGATACGTTAGCTGGGTATCCTGTGAAATTATTGAATATACTGTACAAATATATAAACGATAATTAAAAAATCATAGGACGGCAAGAATAATACAAACTTTTGAAAACTAATCTTAAGATAATCCATAAAACTAAATATATTCAAAGTATATGCATGAAAACTTTTTAATAAAAAAACAAAACCGACTTCCAAACAAAATACACTAAAAACAAAACAAAATGCACTAAAAACAAAACAAAATATT